GGAGTGGTTCAATGTTGCCATGGATTGCCTCCCGGGCACTGCGACGCCCTCGACCGCCGACCTGCGTGGCCGTGTTGCTGTCTTTGGGAGAACGCCGGCTCTTGCACTTTTTAAGGTTCATGCTTTCAGCCGTTCCTTCCTGTCGTTGGCATTTAGCCTCGTATTTAAACCTCGACTACTCCGTGCTCTCCTCTTGCTTCGGGAACTCCAACTCCATCTTTTCCATCAAGCTGCTGAACCATCCAAAATATCGCATTCCGACAGTCGAGCTTGGGCAACCACCCTGCATAGACCGCAGCGAGAGATACACGCGCCCACCCATCGCCAAATCGCACCTCGTCTTGGTCGGTATTCTTCTGCCTTGGCCAAGCTACCTTGGAAGTGTACCCCATCCAAGCCAAGGTCAGTCACTGCATTTCCTGGTATCAAACTTGACCACCCTATTGTCCTGCCACACCCGGCCATAAGTATACAAACTAGTAGTTGTATACACGACGCGAATCAGCATGCGCCGTCCCCATCAGTCAGACGCACCCAGAACAGGGGGCGAGTTGAGTTACAAGGAGCAGAGAACCACATCCCCACGGATTTCCACTTTCACCCCCAAAAGCCCGCCCCTGGGTCTCAGCTATTGCGCATGGTGATGAAGACAAAGTTCTTGTATAAGTGGCTCGGCTGTCCTAGCAGATAGGATGGAAGAGCCGGGCAGTTTTTTTTCTTTGGGTTCACCCTCGCGTTGGCGCACTTCATCTCAGGAGAATAATACAACATGATCGTCTTGTCGAATTTAGCATCTATGATCTCCTGGACTGACACAAAGAATGGCCAGTATTCCCGTTACTCAAACGACATTCCAGAAATGGCCGATGCAGTTCCTATCCCCGAGCCACCTGGCCTGCCATTGATCGGCAACCTCGGCGAATTCTCGTCTACTCCATTACAAGACCTCAAACGGCTGGCAGACACATATGGTGCGTTTAGTTCCCCGAATCTTTCTGCGATTTGGTCAAAAATTACACCATTTCTGGATTCCGCATTCTAAATTTTTAATCACAGGTGGAATCTTTAGACTTCACTTGGGCACTCGGCCCGTCGTCTTTTGCTCCACAAATGAGCTTGTTAATGAGCTGTGTGACGAGAAGCGGTTTCACAAGAGTTTGCAGTCAGCTTTAAGGGTAAGCCAATTGCCTTCTTGGACCAGCTTGCCATCTGTCATACTTCTTCTCTTCATAATCAGAGACATAGGCTAACCATTGGACAAGATTGTTCGAGAAGGCGTTCATGATGGCTTATTCACCGTAAGTAACATCAAGCTCTAGCATTGAACCTCAAGGCTGAGTTTTCACATCTTGCAGGCCCACGATGATGAGCCCAACTGGGGCAAGGCACACCGAGTTCTTATTCCAGCTTTCGGTCCCCTTTCTATTCGAGGCATGTTTGACGAAATGCACGATATTGCTACCCAGCTCTGCATGAAGCTTGCTCGTCACGGCCCTCACAGCTCCATCAACGCTTCAGATGATTTCACTCGTCTAGCCCTCGACACTTTGGCTCTATGCGCCATGGACTTCCGTTTCAACTCATACTACAGTGAAGAGCTGCACCCATTCATTACCGCCATGGGCAGCTTTCTTGTAGAGGCTGGTCGTCGCAACAAACGGCCTGCATTTGCCCCCAACTTTCTCTATCGAGCCGCAAACGAGAAGTTCTTCAATGATATCGCCATCATGAGAGATACAGCCGACGAAGTCGTAGCTAACCGAAAGAAGAACCCTAGTGACAGAAAGGATCTTCTAAATGCTATGTTGAACGGTGTTGATCCGGCCACGCATGAGAAGCTGAGCGATGAGAACATTACTGACCAGCTCATCACCTTCCTTATCGCTGGCCACGAGACAACCTCCAGCTTGCTTTCGTTTTCTTTTTATTACTTGTTAAAGAACCCTTCAACATATCAGAAGGTTCAGCAAGAAGTCGATCAAGTTATTGGCCGTCAGAAGATCAAGGTCGACCACCTCACCAAATTGCCATATACTGCCTCAGTATGTAGCCCATGCATCACAAACTTCTGCCCCTCCTTTTGACCGTTATAGTCTTTCTTACTTTTCATCCCAGGTACTTAGAGAAACCCTGAGACTGAGCTCTGGCATTCCTGGCTTTTCTGTCGAAGCATACGAAGACACTCTGCTCGCGGGCAAGTTCCTTGTCCGCAAGGGCGAACCCATTACTGCATTTTTGACCAAAGCCCATGTGGACCCTGTTGTTTTTGGAGAAGATGCTACGGAATTTAAACCAGAACGAATGTCTGATGAAAACTTTGAACGTCTGAATAAGGAGTTCCCAAATTGCTGGAAGCCTTTTGGCAACGGAAAGCGTGCCTGTATTGGCCGACCGTTCGCCTGGCAAGAAGCTTTGCTATGCATGGCTATGCTTTTCCAGAACTTCAATTTCACCATGGCTGATCCAAGCTACAATCTCGAAGTCCAAGAAACCATGACTATCAAGCCGAAAGCTTTCTACATGAAAGCTAACTTGCGACATGAAATGACCCCAACGGAGCTAGAGCAAGCTCTTGCCGGAAAAGTTGGTGAGACAACACACCACGCTGCCGCTGTCAATGATGCAAAGGCATCTGGCAATTCTATCAAGGGCAAGCCCCTTGCCGTTTTCTATGGTTCCAACAGTGGTACCTGTGAGGCATTGGCTCAACGGGTAGCAGCAGATGCACCTCGCCATGGTTTCAGGGCCACCACGATCGCACCTCTGGATGATGCGAACCAGAAGGTACCCAAGGATCGCCCAGTTGTCATTATAACCGCTTCTTACGAGGGTCAACCGCCATCCAACGCCGCTCTCTTTGTCGCTTGGATTGAAAGCCTGAAGGGGAAAGAGATGGAGAATGTGGCATACACAGTCTTTGGCTGCGGCCATCATGATTGGGTTCAGACCTTCCACCGAATCCCCAAGCTTGTTGACAGCACGCTAGAGAAGCTTGGCGGGAACCGTATTCTTCCTCTAGCCACTACCGATGCTGCCGATCGAGACATGTTCAGCGACTTTGAAGCCTGGGAGGACAACTCCCTCTGGCCTGCACTCCAAGAGAAATACGGAGCCGAGGATAGTGCTGATGCTACAGGTGATGCTCTTTCAGTAGAGATATCGGTGCCCCGCAAGACTACCTTGAGACAAGATGTCGAAGAGGCCGTTGTTATCTCCACGAAGACTCTTACCGATGCTGGCTCCGTCAAGAAGCATATTGAAATTCAACTGCCCACCAATATGACGTACCGCGCGGGTGACTACCTCGCTGTCCTTCCTTTCAACCCCAAGAGCACAGTCTCGCGCGTCTTCAAGAGATTTCAGCTGTCATGGGATGCCATGCTGAAAATCCATTCGGAAAGGCCGACTAGCCTTCCTACCGAGGCTACTGTATCAGCTTCAGATGTTCTCAGAGCGTACGTTGAGCTTAGCCAGCCGGCAACCAAGAGAGTAAGCTAACCATCGCGTGCATCCCTAACATGCTCAATGCTATACTAACCACCTGCAGAACCTCCAAGCGCTCATAGAGGCTACCCAAGACAAGGATACCGTAGAGCAACTTAAGAAGCTCGCTGGTGATGATTATCAAGAAAAAATTTCAAGCAAGCGGGTATCGATTATTGACCTCCTGGAGCAATTCCCAGCCATTAGTCTTCCATTTGGAGCATTTTTGGGAATGCTACCACCGATGCGTGTCCGCCAATAGTAAGTTTCTCATGATAACATGACGAAATTAAACTCGAGGATGGCTAACAGATACACCTTAGCTCCATCTCATCTTCCCCCTTGGCTGACACCACCAAGCTGACCCTGACGTACGGGGTGCTCGAACAGCCTGCGCTTTCTGGCCAGGGCTCGTACTATGGTGTTGCCAGTAACTTCCTCTCCTCACTCACAGCCGGAGAACGGCTCCACGTTGCTGTCAGACCCTCTCAGACCTTCCATCTACCCAGTGATGCGGAAAATACACCACTCATCTGCATTGGCGCCGGATCTGGTCTTGCCCCATTCCGCGGCTTCGTGCAGGAACGCGCCGCAATGATTGCAGCCGGAAGAAAGGTTGCTCCAGCGCTACTCTTCTTTGGTTGCCGCTCTCCCGGACAGGATGACCTGTACGCCGAGGACTTCGCCAACTGGGAGAAGCTCGGCGCCGTTGATGTCCGCCGCGCCTACTCCCGATCATCCAGTAACTCGAAAGACTGCAAATACGTGCAGCACCGCCTGTCTCACGACCGCGAAGACATTATAAAGCTGTGGAAGGCTGGTGCCAAAATCTATGTTTGCGGTAGCAAAGATGTGGGCAAGGCCGTGGAAGAAGTATTCCTCGATATGGTCCAAGAAGCTGGCAACAACACAACTCCCGAGAAGGCGAAGGAGTGGTTTGATAAACAGAGGAATGAGAGATATTTGACCGACGTTTTTGATTAACTAGTGTGATGGTTGTGTTATTTGAATATTCAGATTGGAACGAGTTATGAAAATGAACTGGCAAGGTTATTCAAAAGGGTAAATTGAATAGTGTATGAAAAGAAAAATGATCCTTAAACTTGGCATAACATATTTGGTAAAAGAAACTGGTTGTGGTCACCTGAGGCTGCTATGAAGATTGTCCTTTGCTTCATAAGGAGCATTAGTCACATCTGAATATTGCAATACTGGGCACACAAATTCTGGACACAACAATCATCACGTATGCAATATTGCCTCGTAAGGACTTCATGATGTTGTTTATGATTCAATAACTCAACAGGTATCTGAATGCCAACCAACAACGCCAAGTATTCGAACCTCCAAACTTGTCAGTCTGGCCCACCTCACATAAATGCACACATACCGCCATGACAAAACTCACTATCCCACCGCTCTACATTCCCATAGCCCGACATGGTATCAATTGTATCCCAACAGCAAAAAGACGAGATTTGCATCGCTCGTAATGTTGATGAACAAGCCCCACTACCTTAGTCCTGGAAGAACTTGATAATCTGTTGAAGATCCCGCAGACCGACACCGTGCTTCGGGTAGCAAATGTAGACTTCTTCGCCGAGAGCGCCGAACTTACTTCGGAAACCAGCCTTGCGACGGAGTCCCAGGCTATCCACAATGGAAGAGTAGGTAGTAGCCAGGAACCTGGCACGAATGCCATGAAGATGCTCTCCAGGAGTCAGCTTCTCGGAAACCCCGACGCCAAAGGTGACTTGACCTGTGATTGTGGACAGGGTGTACTCAATCAACACCTCAATGGCGCCGTTGACAGAACCAGGGAAGTCAAGCGCCCACTTGACTTGCCAGCCATGTTTGGGAGACAGCTTGGCCAAGACCACCATGGCCAGGACTTTGCCGTCCTTCTCGGCAGCATAGTAGCGGCGGTGTTCCATGTCGATCCAGGGGCGGACTTCAGTAAGGTGCACTTGTTTGCCCTTGCGGTTGGCCTTCCAGTTCACGATGGCTTCGTCTGCACGTCTGATGAAGTCGGCATCCGGCTTGACTTCGTGAATCTTGACACCCTCGCGCTCGACACGTCTGGCCTTGGGGCCACCACCATTAATGGCGTGGTGCTTGGTGGCATCAACACGCTGTTCCTCAGTGCACGACAGAGTTCGCCAGCTCATCTGCTGAGCGAGAATTTTTTGAATCTCGTAGGAGACGAGCATCCATACGGGAGTAAGCTTGAGCTCAGAGAGAACAAACTTGACGAATGCTGCACAGACATCTTTGTACTGAGTCTTGTCACAGAGAGGATCTCCAGTGATCATGGCAAATTTATCCTGCTTGACGTAGCCAACGGCTGCACCACTTGGGTGTCTCCAAATCTTGAATCGTTCATCCAACCAAGAGGTGTTGGAAGCATCGCCATAGTTAGCAATAAGCTTCTCGACAGGTGGCATGGCACCATCTCGAAGAGGCTTGGTAGTATCTGCGTCTGGGTGAGGCAGACCGGGTGCTCGCTCAGGCAGTGACTTGGGGTCACGGTGGAATAGAGATGCATATCGGACATCACCTAGCTCAAGCATCCAAGCCACAATTCGCTCCAGGCCAAGACCGGCGCCGGCATGAGGTGGTGCACCGAGGTCAAAGGCTGCAAGGTAGTCTTCCATGCCGTCTTCCGAAATGCCCACCGCCTGCATGTTCTCGCGAAGTTCAGCGGCATCGTGGATACGCTGGCCGCCGGAGCAGATTTCTTGTCCACGGATAAAGATATCGAACGACCTCGTCCAGAATGGGTTTTCAGGGTCCTTGTGCGTATAGAATGGGCGAGCGCTGGCTGGAAATTTGTCCAATACATAGTAGTCCGTGCCATACTTCTCCCGGACCAGTTCGCCTAGTCGGATCTCGTCGGGGGTAGACAAGTCTTCCATTTCAACGTCACGGCCATCATCCCGCAGCATCTGAATGCCATCCTCAAAGTTGAGTATAAGAGTCTCTTCGAGCCACTTGAACTCCTTGCTTGGCCAACGCTTCTGAACTTCCTTGACTTCAGGCATGGCGTAAACAGAAGTGAAGACATTCTTCAAGAACTCATCAATGACGCAAATAACTTCGTGGTAGTCGTGTTCAATTGACATTTCGATATCGAGCCCAGTGTACTCTGTAAGATGGCGATGGGTGTTGGAGTTTTCGGCGCGAAAAACGGGACCGACTTCATATACTCGGCCAAAGTCGGCTGATACCGCACTCTGTTTTGCTAGTTGGGGGCTTTGAGCCAAAAAAGCATTGCGTCCAAAGTAGTTGACTTTGAAAACAGCCGCACCACTTTCAGTAGCCGCGGGCTGGAGCTTGGGGGTGTTGATTTCGACAAAGCCCTGCTGCTCAAGGGTCTCACGAAACATGCGAGTCACCATGGAGCGGATCCGGAACAGGGCCTGGTTGGAGGGATGACGGAGGTCAAGGATTCGTGATGTCATGCGGTTGCGCAGCGTCTCGGGAGGTTTGTAGTTGGTGAATGGCGCTCCATGTGCTGCATTCACAAGATGTATAGAATGCACCTCGACCTCAACGCCCGAGTGTGTAGCAGAGCGGACGGCCTCGGGAGGCGCCTTGAGCACTCCATTGACCTGCACCAAGGACTCGGAGTTGAGCTTTTGTACCCATCGAACCATGTCGAGATATTCTCGAGAAAGCACGCCCTGAACGGTGTTTGTTTGGTCGCGGAAGAGGAGGAAGTCCAGATTCTTGGATAACTGTCGCTGAGTAGAAATTCTGGCTCGAAAATTCACCTCAGACCCGAGAGGGAGCTTGTCCAGCTCGGCAATGGGGTTGAGCTCATAGGGATGGGTAGGCCAGTCGGCACTCATGCTCGTGCGGCCACTCTCCATGCTGGACCTACTTGAGTCCCCGGTACGATCTGGGCTCGAGCGCTGAGATTTCTCGTTCAACTTGTCCAGCTCCTGGCGGTAGTTTGTCAAGCTGAGTTTCTCCATGCTGGAGCGGGCGGAGTCCCTGGCGACATCCACGGCACTGTCTGCCATTTTCGGGAGGTGCCTAGGACTGCCAAAGGCGCTTCCAGCAAACGTTGGAGTCGCGGGAACAGACGGTGAGTCAGGTGCTGAATTCAACGGAGTTGATGACGTAGTCCAATCGGCCGAATAAGTCGCATCAGTGACGTCGCCACGTTTGTTCGGGCTGGCAGTGCGACTGCGCGACTGCGACCGCGACCGGGGCAGCCCGAAGGCTGATGCCAATAGGCTAGAAGCCCCAGGCATGATGGCCAGGCGGATGTTCTCAATCTATGAAGTCGGGTCGAGGAATTCCTTCTGCCGTCTTGATCGCGAGCTGTGTCGAGCCTGCTTGCGAAAGTCTTGACTCTTGACGTCTTTAAGACAGTGGCGGACCACAAGTTCCGGAGTCTGGCCCTGGCTGGCCCTGCACGTCACACTGCAGAATCCAGATGTCCTCGGCAGGGGTCTGGATGACGTCCACGACGCACGGTGCGCTATGCGGCCCAGATGAGATGCTGCCGACAGGGGTGGGCTCAAGGCTCAATGGCTAGCGCACGTAGCTTCCGGTTGAGCCGAGCCTTTTCGTCAACGGATCGAGCAGACAATACTTGGCCCTTTTGATGAATCGCCTTGAGATTGTTTCTCGCGGCACTGCGTTGGTCCAATGCAACTGAAATTTGCCGTCTGCAGCCAGCGGGAGTGCCAGACAAATGATGGCGCAGGTTGGCGAGTGATTGGTGAGCTGGGCGACAGTGCAAGGGCCCGACGTAGCCAGAGCAGTGGGCTTGGTCGATGATATGAGACAAAGTGCCTGTCACGGAACAAGAATAATGAATTCGTGAAGCTCGGGAAAAGATGGGAAAAGGGGAAGAGCAGCTGCTGCGCCTCTTATCTTGTTCCAGAGCCCTCCTGTAGGGCTGGCGCCCATCAATCAAATAGGTAAGGATCGGATTGTTCTCCGTCAAAGTCTGTGGGAAGAAGCCGTCGATTCCGTCCTTTTGCTGTCATACCCTCCCGGTCTTGGGCTGCCAACCGCTCCCCCCGTGCGCACTTCGGCATGAGGAGACTCCCCGATGGGGCTGCTAAGTGGCCAACCAACTGCTCCGTACCTGGTTAATAACTGATTATGCTCGGCGCTCTCCTAGCTCTCTGTGATGGGTAATCCAGGGGTACCTGATGACAGAAGACCAAGGTAATTGCCTGCGAGCAGAGAAGGGTTAGAAGGGCCAGATTCTCAGCCATGACTAACCACGACACACCACGACAAACCACAGGCGTCATGCTGATCGGTCTACACCGATGGGGGGCGCCACCTGAGTCTCTACCCTGTATGCCCATTGCAAAAGGAGGAGCGAGGACCAGCGATACCGTCGCCCGCTGGCCTTGTTCGGGCTTTGTCAAACTCCCGTATGCCTAGGCCCGCGGTTGGACGGTTGGACGGTTGGACCATCGCCTCTGAAGCCCTGGTGGGGTAGCCAAAGTCTGTTCAGAACATGATGGAAGCTGAGGGGCCATTCAGGATGCGCACATGGCGCCTCTCGTGATAGGGTGGACACTCGATTTTTAAGCAAAGTTGGTTGGATCTGGCGGGACGTGGTACGGAGTACTGCGCTAGCATATCAAATGATAACTTGTCTGGCGCCCAATTCCGCTAATGGTTGATAAGCTGGAAAAAGGGACCCGAAAAGACACTGCGGCAGCAATGTCTCCAGAAAGTTTGTTTGCGATTCCATTTTCCAAGTCAGAGTAAAGCAAGCACTCTCATTCCCGTCGGACTTGCCCATCTGCCAATCGCACCTGGCTCTAATCGGAAACCCGATAACAAGTCCTGGTGGAGGGGCACCTTTCTGACGTCAATATCGTGAGTGATTGGAAGGTGCAACGGAATATGGTGGGGGCCTGGCCGACCACTAAACTGGCGAGACTGGAGCGCAAGGGCAAGTCGATGTTCGGACCTGCCGGCAGCGTCATTACTATGTAGTACAATGTAACTACGCCCCTGGCATGTTGGTTGAGAGAACAGGGAAGCAGCGAACTCGCTGCGCAGGTTCGAAACGACACTTGAATTGGAGGCAAGACCAGCGCTCTGTAGACGGTTGGCGGGGTCTTCCTACTACTGTACCCGACGTATTGTGCCTCCGGAAAGCGGCGCTTGTTCAAGTAAGTAACTATCGTCCCCTGCTGTTCCTCTACGTCTGCCAGGACCCGTCCCGATGCTCTTACTAAGAATGTTCGCAGCGATTGCGCGTCGTCGTCACCTCTGAGCACTGGCGAAGACGCAAAGCCCCGTTCCGAATCCGGTCTCTAGACTGAACAAATAGTTGCCATTGACCCCCAAACCATGGTTCATCTAGTTGTGTCACTGAACTTACCCATTCCGTTATTCTTCCCACGTCCAGCAGGAGAACCAGTATCGGTTGGCGTTTGCTTGCCCGTCGGTCGGTCGCTGCATGGCTGAGCGATTCGGGTGGAATTGTGATAGCCTGTCAAAGTCGCCTTCCCCCACACACGAATTGCAAGTCTGCTTCCGAGCCTTCCAGCAAGCTCCGGATTGGACCAAATGGACCATTCCCAACTCGAAAACGCACTGCTACAAGTGCCCGGCCAGCAGCTTCAGACACGCGTGGACGCACTGAAACGTACCGTGACCTATACGGGGACAACTTCAGCGCCAGCCACACTCACCAACACATCAACTATCTCGACGAGGGCACCAAGCCCGGCAGTTTCGGACATTGGCCCAGACTACGAAAACCCTCTCGAGGCTAGTTCACGATGGTACCTGCAAGCCAAGGCCCAAACAGTGCGCTACGCTGCGAGCCTGGGTTTCAGCATTCACAACCGTTCAGATCCGCCCGCGCCATATCATTCACGAGAAATCTGGCTTGATTCAACCTTGTCCCAATGGAAGGGTCGGAAGAAGATCAAGGTAGAGGTGTGGAATCCCCCAAGGATCTCTGTCGGGCCACGTGCCGCCGTCATCAACTTGCACGGTGGTGGATGGATTCTTGGCCAAGGCACCGACGATGCAAGATGGGCCGGTGCAGTCGTGTGTGATGTTGATGCCGTGGTCTTCACCGTCAACTACCGGCTCGCCCCCAGCTACCCTTTCCCAACCCCAATGGAAGACTGCGTGGATGCCGTCCTACAAATTGCCTCTAGGGCGTCCGAGTTTGGCATCGACCCGGACCGCATCATCTTGTCTGGATTCTCCGCAGGAGCAACCAATGCCCTCACCAGTTGGATCGTCTTGCAAGACCCGTCTCCATGGAATTATCAGTTTCCAAGCCCACCCCCGTCCATCCTCGGCCTCGTTCTCTTCTATCCCACACTTGATGTCACAATTACTCGCCCTGGGAAGCGGCAGACATGCAATCGGCCAGAACGCACCCTGTCCCCCGGAATGACGGATCTTATAGACGCCTCCTATTTCTTTCCACCAATTCCGCGAGAGAAGTGGACGGATCCTAGAATGTCTCCGGGTCTTATGTCAGATGATCTTGTGAAGAAGTTGCCTCATTTTCATATGATATTGTGTGAGTACGACATGCTATTAGCCGAGGGTATTCGATTCGCAGAGCGACTGGACCAGCATGATATGCCGTTTACACTTCGCATTGTGGAAGGAGAGGGACATGCTTGGGATAAACCTCCGCCAATGGCCCCAAAGGAAAGCGTCTTTGTTGAATATGCCAAGGCAACGGAGAGTATTGCCCGTTGGCTGGGTCGAGATTACGAGACAGATAAAGAGTCTACAAGTTCGATGCGGACTAGACGACCGCGATTTAGACGGCCTAGACATTTGTCGATTAGATCAAGGTCAGTGCGGTAGCTGGAGAGTTGGGCACAGTGTTGCACCGGGCGTATATGGTATCAACATGGTGCGATATAGAGCATTGTATACTGTAAATATAATGAATAACACGCAAGATATGATCATGACGGGCCACCAGTAACGGATTCGGCGTTGCATTGCAATAGGAATCAAGTCCGGGGGAATTTCGTCGGCGCCTTTATTTAGTATACTGGGATACCATGGAGGAAAATAAAAAAGGTGCTGATGAATTAGTTACTCATGCAGGAAAATAACAAAAAAATGGTAGCATTTACGCAGGCAGCTCCATGTTCCTCACATCACGACCAAAATAATCCTTCTTCATACCCATGAGCTTCAGGTATCCCCACGTCATCCAATCCATAATGAAACCACTCATCCAGGCCTTGGGGACAGGGGCGTTCCATCTCGCCATAGTCTCCTTGTACGTCTCTTGAATATCTGGTCGCCGAAGAGTCTCGTAATCCCTAAACAGCGTGGGAATATCTCTCGTTGCTCGCCGACTCAGCACGCGGGCCAATAGAACGCCGTCTTCGATGGCGACGCCCGTTGCTTCGCCTTGGGGCGGCATCTGGAACCTGTTAGGCCACTGGGTATTATATGAACAATGAATGGTGATGGTCAGTGGGAGACGCCGTGTTGGTCCCTCACACTTGTGAGAAGCATGAAAATAAATAAACATATAAGTGACTTGCTCTGACGGCCAAAGTGACGACTTACAGCATGTGCAGCGTCTCCAATGACGATCGCCCTCCCCTTGCACCAATCCCCTTCTTGCGGGAGCATATAGACTGGGAAAAAGAACCACTCCTCGCACAGGTCGATAATCTCGCCGAGACACTTGAGCGCGCCGCCCTGAAACGTGCCCCGTATACTCGTCTTGATGCCTTCCTTGTCGGCGCCGTGAACAGACCAGCCCTCTCTCGCGTCCTCCTTTTCCGTCATGGGATTCACAAATGCAAGATACAGCTTCTCGTGGGACGGCTCGTAATACGTCAGCAGGAGCGCCTCGTTGCCCTTTGTTACGAGGGTCGTGTCCGTGATGAGGGGGCATCCGTCGGCGCGAACCCACGACTTCACGAGCTCGGACGGGTTGGCGCCGTTCTTGCGCAGGTCCGCGTAGCCGTAGGTGGTGCATTTCCCAGAGTAGGTCTTTTTGCGGCTCGGCTCGACGAGGGCGTTGCGCACCTGGGAGTGGATTCCGTCGCAGCCTATGATGACATCTGCCTCCAGGGTGTGTTTGCCGGGGGAGGCGCCCGTCTTGACATAGGTGATTTCGAGGCCGCCGTTATCCATGGAGCCGAATTCCCTCATTTCGTTGATCTTGGCGTCGTATATGATGTCTACCTTGGGGTCTTGATTCCCCGTCGATAGCTCGTAGATGGCATCTCTGAGGGCCTCGACGAGGAGTTGTCTCTGGGCTCTGATGGCATCAACGTCTGGCCATAGACGCCCTAGCAAGCCTCCTGTCCTGTGGGCGACAAGTTCAATGGCCGAGACGGTCGAGGCCTGGGGCCGAAGCTTGCCCCCGGCGCCGAGCCAGTCTAGATACCGAAGGGCAAGGGGCGTAAGATTGACGGCACCACCGAGTGTTTGAACGCCATCCCGGAGCTCGAGGACGGTGATGTGTAAGGGCGATGATGAGACGGGCGGCTGTTTGGCGAGTGCCAGGGCAGTGGATAGGCCTGCTGGGCCGGCACCCACGATGACGATGTGGAATGGCTTCGACATCGGTACGACTTGCTATTTTAATCTTGACGAGCTTGCGTATGTGTAAACTTGAAGGTCGTGTTGTCTAACCGCAGGGGCGGGAGGGGAGATGGTACGGATGGTCTGACGATGACAACTGCAAAGGATCGTTTCGTTCTCTAGAATCCTATCTTGCGGGCCGGACGGAATATATATAGTTGTCGTCAGTCAGGACGCCCTCGCTCCAAGTCGACAAACTCAGTGACGTTTTTCTACACGCGGCACCGCAATCGTGAAGATGTATGTCATATAACAGCCCCCTCCTGCCAACAAGGATCGTCATTGCGACGAATGCGACGAACCGATACGGAGTAGAGTCGGCATGTCGTTTGGGTCATGCTTACGTCCGGCTCTTGCCAGTCTCAAGCCAGACCAGTCTTTTCGTCGGATTCACATACATCTGATTGGTGCACGAAACCGGCATGGCGCTTCGAGACAACAAGCTGTACTCCGTATGTGCATAAAGTACATGGACGCTTCACGCTTCAGCCTCTGCGCCAGTGCGCCACCGCTCATTTCGTGCCACGGCTGACCTGTTCAAAGTCAGGCCCTGGACGAAAGAGGAAGTTTTTGCGTCGGGTTATGCGTCATCAATGCAATAGTCATGCATTTCCCTGCCAGTAGACGACACCACATACTACTTACCCTTTTCATCATATAAATTTCGCGGGTCATTAATTACTTCAAGCCATACTCCGTAGGCTATACAACACTAATATATCGCGGTATGGATATTCTCCCCGTCAATCATGATACTCAAGACGTTTTCGACACGATATTCGCCCTCTTGGGCTTTTTTAATACTAGAAGAGAGCCGGGTCATTCATCATGCAAGCGGTTCTTCTTTCTTTTAATTTCAAGGTTTCAGTGTACTGACCCAGAGCTAGAACGTGCCATACTGATATCTGTAGACCACGGTAAGCTGCTGAACAAATGGCACACGGACTAGCTGCACCTGTATGAATGATTGAAATGTTTCATGAGATCAAAATGAAGTATCAGATGCGTGCGGAAGCCTTGGATATATCTGACTGCACTGTATATCATGGGGCCGACAATGATAAAACCGACTGTGCAGTTACCCCTGGATTGCTGGAACAGCCGGCAATGCATTTTCTGATCACCTGGAAAGTTTCTTAAAGCACCATGATTCATGAGGCACCTCGGATACAGCAGGAAGACTGGTCTTATAGTGATAGATATAGCTGCATCTCGCTCAGCTACAAAATGGCAGGTCTGAAGATGATATGTGCTCCCCCAGCCATGGCCCGTTAAAAAAAACTACCAAGACGAAGTCCGTACACCGTAATGCGTTTATAAATTTCGTATATCGTTCGAATGCAACAGAAAATAGCCACAGTCATCATTTAGTGTCGCTTCTCAGCCAAACCTACCACTTGGCATCCTTGCTGTCCAAGAAACCCTTCAGAATACCAACAACCTTCTCCAACGCAGCCAAGTAAACACGCAGATCATCCTGAACTTTGCCGGAATCCTGGCCAAGCTTGGCGTAAAAGTCCTTGCGGTAGGGGCAGGCGCTCATGGCAGCGCTGAAGACAGGCTTGACGAGAAAGCTGTGGTGAGGCTTCAGGGTCTGACCATAGGCACCACGGAAGGAATCAGCGAGTTCCTCAGAGGGCTTGGCGACATTGGAGCTGAGGGCGATGCAGGTGAATTCAAGACCACTTGTATTCATTAGCTTTTGGACTAGTTCTTGGTCGGGCATAAGGGGAAAGCTGTACCGGACAAGCCAGAGCAGACCTTCGGTGGCAGTGTGCTTCTTGGTCTTGAGCTCGTTTCGGCAAAGATCCTGGATGTTTTCAGACTCGGCGGGGGCAGCGAGCTGGCGCTCACGCAGTTTCTATAGACAATGAGACTTGGTTCTGGGCAGATTGGCCATGGCTGCACGAATTTCGTACCTTGACGTTGCCGAGCATGTCGGACTTGACGGGAGAAAAGGCAACGGAGCCCATGACATCTGGACGAGTCAGCTATGCTTTCCCATGCATCATTTCTTCTCCCATGAACGAGTATCATACCGAACATGGTGGTCAGCGACTCGGCGGCATCGAGAAACTCGGTGGTGGAGATTGCATTGCCCTTCTCAGCGTCGATGGGAACATCGACAAACGACCGCCGAAAGGTCTGAACGATGGTGCCACCGGGGGGGATAACAGGGGCAGACATGATGAGGCTGTTGTGTGTTCGGAAATGACTTGAGAAGAGACAAAAAGCAACGATTGGAAAGTAAACAAAAAGGGCGGTATTCGGGCTGCGAGGCGGTCAAGGATCAAGCGACGGAAGTCGAGATGTCCTCGCTGAAGAGCTGTCGTGTCGTCGTGTTGGTCGGATGGTTTTTGGTGGGGTAATAGATGGGGCAAGGGGGCCAGGGGCAAACGAGGGGTCAAGCATTGAGAGGAGGTTGCGCGGGAGGGGCCCTCCCTCTGGCCTCCAAGGGACAAAACGTCTGGTTGGAAATATTCATGAACCATGGACCAGACGTCAGCATCAGCAAGACCTCAAACCAAAAAGGCTGCTCCTGTGCTGACGCTGCACTTCATGGTGTGCTGACCTTGGACTACTGCCCTGAATACCAATGCTCCAACATGAATGCTATTCTTGTCTCACGGTGCTGAACCCCGGTCGAGCCCCACCAGCTCGCATCCGTTTTTGGATGGCAAAAAGATGCATCACAGCTGAGGCCACGGGCTACCACCAAGTACTTACGAAGGACGGAGTAGCCTGAGCACTGCGAACTTAACCCAACATGAGTTTTCCAGATGTCTCCTGAACTCTGCGCTGCAGAGCAGTAATATCAGTTTACACCAGCTCCAGACGAGACAACTACGGGTTGTGGGCTGAAATCAATTATTACGTCCTGCAACGACGCGGCCGACAAAGCTCAACGCCGCTGAAGGCGCTTGGCTTCTGTTCAGTTGACACGCGTCTCCCGATGGAGGGAGCCATCGAGCACACACCTCATGGTTGAAAATAAAGTTCACAGGCAGGCTAACCACCTTTTGAACCACCTATGCGCATGAACCACTTGATTTGCATCGGCGTGGATTGACGTCACTTTTCCCAGCCGCCGTCGTGGTCAGTCTGTGACACTCGCCTGGGCACTTGAACACCCCACTTCCCAGAGTCTGTCTATCTACCCGTGCAGTTGCTGGGTCGCTCCTCCCAGACTTGAGCAATTGGCTTTTTTGCTCCCCTCGTGTTCATAACCCCTTCCGTTTACTTCTTCTGCCATAGCATTTTGTTACAACAATCTCAACTTATTTCGCGAAGAGGTAAACCCCCTTAACTTTGACTACCTCTTGACTCTTCCATCCCGAGTCAACGGGTTGCTCTTTGCTTGTGCCGCCTGCGCCAGCTTGCGCCAGCTCCCCACTACCAACGCTCCAGGTGCTTCATTGCAACAATGGGCGGCACCGACGACGTCAAGGACGGCAAGCCTGCCATGGAGAAGCAAGAAACTTCAGGCAGCCAGAGCGGCTTCTCTGGGTTTATGGACGACCTGAAGGAGAAATTCAGCGAGTCCAAGCTTCACGATGCAAAGGTCGCCTTAATTCACAAAAAGTACGTCATCCGGCCCCGCCATCGACAGACCTGCGATTATCCTCGGACGCCGAGATAGCCCAACAGCTGACACTTGTTTTTCAATAGACATCAGATTGGTAAATTTGGAAATTTGGTATGTTCATGAAAAGCTCCTTTACGGATTTTTCTTTCTTGTTTTAAAGTAGTCTTGGTTCTGACTTGTCACGTCAGTTCAATAAGGACCATCGCCATGACGAAGAGCATGAGCAGCGATGCGACGCGAAACGTTCTGCTATTTGCGAGCAACACAGATTTCAATCCTTCTTCCCTGAACGTGACGGAAACCTAATCAAGTGGTACGTCGACGGCTGCGACTATTTTTGGGCTGTCTCTGTAGCCCTCGAGCAGGCCCAAGAGTCGATTTACATTTGCGACTGGTGGCTGTCACCAGAACTCTTCCTGCGACGACCTCCTTACCATAAGCAGGATTTCCGACTAGACCAAATTATTAAAAGAAGAGCCGAAGCTGGAGTTAAAATTTACGTCGCCGTCTATAAAGAAGTTGAGGCCGCGCTGACATGCAATTCCCGCCATACAAAACATGCTCTGGATGCGCTTTGCCCAGAGGGAACGCCAGGTCACGGCAATATTCGCGTTATGAGGCACCCTGATCACAATGTCTTTGAGAATGCGGCCGACATGACCATGTACTGGGCTCACCACGAAAAATTCATCGTTATCGACTACTCTATGGCCTTTATTGGCGGCCTGGACCTGTGCTTTGGTCGCTGGGACGCTCGCCAGCACCCACTGTCTGATGTGCACCCAGAAGGTGTCTCGGAGGAAATCTGGCCTGGACAGGACTTCAATAACAATCGCATCATGGACTTCCAAAAGGTCGCCGACTGGGAACAAAACGAGTTGAGCAAGGCCGAATATGGTCGTATGCCATGGCACGACGTCTCCATGGCCCTTATTGGCCCTTGCGTGTACGACATTGCTGAACACTTTGTTCTTCGCTGGAACTTCATCAAGAGAGACAAGTACAAGCGAGACGCGCGTTACGATTGGATAATGCTGGAGGGCCGGGAGGGAGAGGATGAGGACTTGGTAGGTGTCCAGCGGCCTAAGCATCCTGTTGGCGACTACCTCAAACACCCAATCTCGCCTTTAAGCACCAAGAATCTTGATAACAGAGGAACTGTTCGTGCGCAACTTGTGCGATCCAGTGCGGACTGGTCCAGCGGAATCTTGAAGGATCATTCCATCCAAAATGCCTACTGCGAGGTAATTCGCAAAGCTGAACACTATGTGTATATCGAGAATCAGTTTTTCATCACCGCCACCGGTGACCAGCAGTCACCTATCCACAATACCATCGGACGAGCCATGGTAGATGCCGTAGTCCGTGCAGCTAAGGACGGTCGCAAATTCCGCATCATCGTTATTATTCCTGCCATTCCCGGATTTGCTGGTGATCTTCGAGAAAACGCTGCTTCCGGAACCCGAGCCATCATGGACTATCAATACAAGTCCATTTGTCGTGGCGAGAATTCCATCTTTGGCCAGATCAAGAAAGAGGGTGTTGATCCCACACAGTATATTTTCTTCTTCAATCTGCGATCTTATGACCGTCTCAACAAGACGCATGCCATTTGCGAGGCCGAAAAGAAAACCGGCATCAGTTACCAGCAAGTACAGCGTGCTGAAGCCGAGGAGATCATGGCCAGCGGTGTCCACGGGTACGAGGATAGTAGTTCAGACGAGGGCGAAGGCGGCAGCAGATTTCATGATTTGAACCCGAAACACAAGCACGATAGGGAGAAGCGGAAGGCTAACACGAGCAGCTCGCAACAAAAGGCAGCTGAGGATGCCCAGCGCGCTCGAAAGATTTTCGAGCAAGAGAAGCCAGAAGAGGAGGTCATCTCAGCAGCAAGTGTTGCGCATCATGCCATGAAGACTGAGTCTTCCCTACAGGACGAGCCTTGGGATAATCACGACGATGAAGAGTCTGAGATCAAGAACTGGATTCAAGAAGAGCTTTACGTTCACTCGAAGCTGCTCATTGCAGACGACCGTATCGTTATTTGCGGATCTAGCAACCTGAATGACAGAAGTCAGCTCGGCGACCACGACAGTGAACTCAGTATCGTGATGGAAGATACACGCAAGATACAAACCACTATGGATGGTAAACCATATGAAGCCGGCTACCACGCAGCCACTCTACGGAGATATCTCTGGCGGGAACATCTCGGCTTGCTGCCACCACAAGATCTCGACGCTAAGGACGATATTAACGCCCAACCCCCTACCGTTAATCCCGAAAATGATATCTATGATAATGATGAATCGTGGAATTTCGTGGCAGATCCACTCGCCGACCAACTTTGGGATACCTGGATGGGACAAGCACAGAAAAATACAAAGATATTCCGCAACGTATTCCACGCAGACCCTGATGACCACAGTATGTTCTTTGCAAAAACCGCCCACAGCACTGTAGGCTCTTTCATGTTTCTAGGAGCTGCTACTAACCACTCACAGTCAAAACATTCGACGACTACGACCGCTACCTTCCTCCCAAAGGTGTTAAACAGGGCCACATCTATGATCAATTCATGCCTGCGGAGGAGGCACGCCAAAAGTTATCCCAGGTCAGGGGTCATTTGGTGTCTATGCCAATGATGTTTTTGCAAGATGCAGAGATGGCGGAGAGGGGGTTACAGGTGAATGCTTGGACGGAGAGCGTGTATACCTAGTGTTTCCGCCTCGTGAGTGCCTCGAGTATGGGGATAAAAAGTGTTTTTTTTTCGGCAGATCTTTTTGGCTAGGTCTCTGGGTATTTTTCAAACTATGTAGTTTCCTTGGATTCATGAAGTCTATTTACAGGTTATGCCGTAATGATAAATCACATGGTTTCATGCGAGATTCATGAACACAAAAACTTTGCTTGCGCCATGATAAGACGACAATAGCTCTTTTTCAGGCGACTTTTGCAATGATCCAATCAACAATATGTCTTCTACAGCCTCTTTCAACGAATAACACGCCAGGGAGAAGGGTCGCATCACGCCAGGCCTGCACGCTGACCCCCAGCATAAGCGCCTCACTGAGCCAATTGCGAGGCTGAACTGATGTGTTGCCGGGATGTAAGGTGCACCACGCGCATAAGAGCATTTTCACAAGTATTTCGTATATGGCATGGAGTATACGAGGGCAATTCTCGAATGGTATGGGCGGCTTGGGTTTATTGGCGGCAGTTGCGGATTCGGTGTTTCTTCTTACCTGTGATGGGATCGTTGGGCTTGCGTAATCGAGGCTGACGCTGGCATGGTCGGCATGAAATACACACAACATATGGTGTGTACGTCATATATTATTCATAAGCGCGAAGTGAGGCGATGTTCCATAATGGTGGGATGTAGGTACAGGCGTGAGTGTTGGCGAAGCCATCTAGATCAATTGATGGGCCTGCCGATAGTGGCCTGGTCAAGTGTGAGGCTTCAAGAGTACTGTATAACACCCAGGCGGTGGCCCCCATTCGGGCACGGAGGAGTATCAACGCTGATACAAAATTCGAGCGAGAAAGTTTCAGGCTCTGAGACAACCTCACTTGTGAGAGAATCCAGCACACCTTTACGCCGTCACCGCGAACAGCCCTGCATGGTGAAAGGGGTTGAAGTCTCAGCCTCTAGTGGACTGAAGGTGTCCTTGCCAAGTCGTTGTACGCGTGTAAACCAACCAACGAACGTTTCAAGAGATGCCGTTTTCCCAGTTCTGCTATCCAGAGATCATTGACGGAGCCCAGAACTATGCATGATGGGATTCTTCGCGTCTAATTTATTAGCCCGAGGCATGAAGTCGAAAGAAGGGCCGCACCTGGATTTTAATTTCGGTTTGTTTGTTAAGTTGCTCCTCGGCTATCATATTCTTTGTGGGGTTTGAATTGAAGTCGTCGATTTGGACATTGAGTGAGCTTTGGACAGTCTGTGACTCTGTGCTTGGATGCCTATGATACGAGGGCAGCGAGCCGGACAGTTCCGACTCTCGGCCCCATTGTCCCTTGCAAGAGCATGAGACTGTATGCCTTTATCGGTTTCGTTTCTTATTTTTGGTCGCTGCAGCTTGGGGCCAAATGTCGACTCTTGCAACTCGGCCGCATACTGTACTCGTTCCGGGCGGTAGCGTCACAATATAATTAAACACAAGAATCCAACGTAAAAGGCGGCTCCGATTCTTTGCCCCCCGCGCAAATCGAAAATAATAATTTCAAATAATACTCAAAGATTTGGATGAGGTACATGAAAAATATGTGGCATGTTAATTGCTCGTGACTGTAATGTCTGGTGCATTTGTGACTCTTGAAGGCTTGCTGGGATGGATGCAATGAGCATTTCTGGTATGCAAGGAAAGTGCTCCAGTGGCTCTTTCCAAGTTGGCCAAGGGCCCGGCAAGTAGGCAATCTTGGGCCTGGATTTTATTCTACACCCTCTTCAACCGGCTTCTTGTCTCTACTGTTAGGCAGGACGTTCCAATCAACCCTGGTTTTACGCAAGCAGGAGACGTGAAGTGTATGAGGGCCAGGCCGTCCAAGACATGTCCAACCCAAGGCCTGTTGTTGATGACGACTCCCCAGTGGCGCATAACTACCTAGGTAGCCAGGCACCAGACGATCAGAGACTCAACACCGACTGAGGCCGATGAATATTCTCAAGCGCGGTAGTAGGTGTAGTAGGTGGCAGGAGGCACAGATGGACAGCACCGCGTCTTCGGGTCCATTCGCCAGCCTTCGGCGCATAAGCCAACCGGGGGCAGACGAACAGCCAACGGCCTCGTCACACCTGCAATAGCATCATCACCGCTGATCCCTGGCGGCTACAGCACCCAGTCTCCGTCTGTCGCGCTGTATCCACTCGGCTATCCAGACAACCAGACCCAAGTGTGGCGTGAGCTTGTTGTGGGCTTCTTGAGGTCGCAATGTAGCCTCAGAGTTGGGACAAGCTTGGAACTTGACCGTCAATCGGCCTCTCAAGACCTGCCCCAACCCAACCGGGCCTACCTATGTCAAGTACGGCAGGCGGGTGTCAATAGCATACCTACATACGCACTGCAGCCGCCACTCTGCTATGCGCCGGGGCTAACGTGTCTGGCTGGCCTGGTGCGACTGGCACATTGGTTGGGCTCCTTTGTTCGTTAATCGCCTCTGCTGTACGGAGTATTTCGACCATCTATGGCTAGTGTTCCCCCCAACACTTGGGTTGATTCTTGTTGAAAAAGGTACCATTGGACTCACTTCTACGGAGTACGTCAAATGGGAACTCGACTTTGACCCCTCCATCGCCTTGCGGCTGCGTCATAAAGCCGCCAGTCACCCTGCGTCGTCGTCCTCACCGTTGCACTTTTATTATAAGCAGGGAATATCTGGAGCTCGGGCAAGTGGACCCCGCTTTGTGTCTGGGCAGGTGGCACATAAACCATCAACACATAACTACGTACATACCGTACTCCGACCTCACAAGTGCTACGGTTCTGTATCACTACCGATCTCGCATTCAGCCGGCACGAAGGGGCCAAACACAACGTCTTAAATAGACAATATCCATCCGGCTTTCCCTGCAAAAACGCCCGCGCTCCTACGTGCACGCTTCGTCCCTCGCCCTACCACACCACGAGCTTGGCTGGCCGCATAACGGGCGACCTGCCGAACCTTTCAGCTCCCTGTCACACTCTAGCCCAACCAGTCTCGAATACGATCTTGCATACAAGTCTGGTGAGGCAGGTTGCTGCCGTAGCTACTCCTGTAGCTTCTGCTGCTTTTGGGTCGGTCGTGGCTCGAGCTATCGTTTCTGCATAGCTTTTGTGGCATCGGAACGGCAATCCGCACGTGAAAGCAGACGGTTGACTGTCATCTGGATACCAATATTATCCACCAGTCCTTGTTGTTTGAGGGTAGCAGACCTTCCTCCTCGACAAATCGTCTGGCTCCGTACCTTGCGTCGCACATTCCACATCCCACGCAGCAAGATGCCGCAATCACCCATGATCTCAGTGCCTCTCAAGGCCACCAATGAAATTGATTGGGTCTCACCTTTAAAAAATTATATACGTCAAAGCTATGGAGACGATCCCGAGCGCTATGCTGAAGAATGCGCTACCCTTAATCGCTTGCGACAGGATATGCGAGGCGCCGGAAAGGAGAGCACATCGGGTCGCGATATGCTCTATCGATACTACGGCCAGCTCGAGCTGCTTGATTTGCGGTTTCCTGTTGATGAGCAGCATATCAAGATTGCATTTACATGGTAGGAATTCTTGCACAATGCTCGTTCCGCTATGGGAGAGGGCAGGAGCATCAAGCTGATCCAACGCGACAGGTTCGACGCTTTCACGCACAAGTCAACCACACAATACTCCCTCGCATTCGAGAAAGCCTCCGTCATCTTTAATATTTCCGCCGTTCTATCATGTCATGCAGCATTTCAGAACCGAAGCGAGGACTCACCACTTAAAGTTGCATACCACTCCTTCCAGGCCTCGGCCGGAATGTTCACATATATCAACGATAACTTTCTCCACGCACCATCCTTTGATCTCAGCCGTGAAACCGTTAAGACATTGATACACATCATGCTAGCACAGGCCCAAGAAGTGTTCTTAGAGAAACAGATTGCTGATCAAAAGAAGGTTGCCTTGCTTGCCAAGTTAGCCGCCCAATCCGGCTACCTTTATGGGCAAGCCATTGAGGGGGTCCAAGAAAACGTCAACAAGGCTATCTTTGAGAAGGTGTGGCTGACAATGGTCCAGGTATGGTAGTTATAGGGGGTGGCGAACATATCCTTTCCTATTTCTTTGAGGCTAATACCACGGTTGATACACAGATCAAAAGCAATCTGCTGAATTCTATGGCCCAATATTATCAGGGCCAGGCAGATGACGAAGCTAAACAACATGGCAGTGCTGTCGCACGGTTCGAGGTCGCAGAAAGACTTGCCAAAGAAGCCGAACGACTGTCACGAAACTTTCCAGCCACGGTGCCAGCCAACTCAAACCTCAGCGCTGAGTGTGGCGGCCTCCTACAAGAGCTTTCAAAGAGACAGCTGTCGAGTGTCCAAGATAGGCTTCGTGAAGCAGTAAAAGACAACGACTTCATCTATCACCAGACTGTGCCTGCTGAAGCCAGCCTAGCGGGCATTGCGAAGCTTCCAGCATCAAAACCCATTCCCGTGAGCGAGCTCTATGCTGGCCAGGATATGCAGCGCATTACGGGACCCGACCTGTTCGCCAAAATTGTACCTATGGCCGTAACTGAATCTGCAAGTCTGTACGACGAAGAGAAGGCCAAACTCATCCGAGCCGAGACTGAGAGGGTTGATGCCGCGAATGGGGAAATGGCAGCAAGCCTAGACTACTTACGTTTGCCAGGGGCACTTCAGGTGCTGAAAGGCGGCTTTGATCAAGACATCATCCCCGACGAAGATTTCCGCCAATGGTGTATCGATGTTGCCGATCATGAAGCGCCTGCTGAGATTTTCGAACTTTTGCGGAATGAAAAGGAGACCATTGTCTCTTTATTAGACAATAGCTCCAAGCAACTCGATTTGGAGGAGAGTGTCTGCGAGAAGATGCGGTCCAAATATGAAGGCGAGTGGAGCCAACAGCCAAGTTCTAGATTAACGACAACTTTGAGATCAGACATTCGTAATTACCGGGAAGCTTTGGATGTGGCCATGAGAAGTGACAACCAACTTGCGGCGAAACTCCGGGAAAACGAAGTTGAATTTGATGAGATGCGACATGCCGCCCAGGAAGCAGATGTTGATCAGCTTTTCCGGAAAGCCATTACTCAAGCCCGCTCCAAGGGCAGTCATGCGTCGAGTCCCGCTCATGTCGAACCTAACCTCCTCGACGCGGATTTTGGCGAAAGCGGACCTAGTGTGATGGATCAAGTCAATATGGTTGAGGAAATTCTCAAGAGGCTCAATCTCATAAAGCGAGAGCGGAACCAAGTCCTGAAGGATCTCAAGGAGAAGGTGAGCATAAGGCATAGAAATATGTATTGGCAAGGCATCTGACACCTTCCAGGTACACAACGATGATATTTCACAAGTTTTGATTTTGAACAAAAAGTCCATTTCCAACTACGAGACTCAGCTGTTTGAACAGGAGTTAGAGAAATTTAGGCCACACCAGAACCGCTTATTGCAGGCCAATCATAAGCAATCGCAGCTGATGAAGGAATTGACAGCAACGTTTAACGCTCTGTTGCAAGATAAACGTGTAAGGTCCGAGCAGAGCAAATATGAGGGTATGCAACGACAGAGGTCATCGGTTATCAACAAATACAAGCGAGCATACCAGGAGTTTTTGGATTTAGAGGCAGGGCTGCAAAGCGCAAAGAACTGGTATTCAGAAATGCGGGAAACGGTGGAAAGCTTGGAAAAGAACGTGCAGACGTTTGTTCACAACCGGAGGGCGGAGGGCGCGCAGCTACTCGACCGGATGGACCAAGACCGGTCTGCGAGCAAGAGCAACCAGGCTGAACTGGAGCAAGAACGTCTACGAGGCTTAATGGAGCGCATGTCTGTGGATCCGGCCAAAGCATCGCCTCAGACATCGACGTCTAATCGTCCGGCGCCGGCACCGTTATTCCAGCCTGGACAAGGTCCTCGATATGCGCAAAACAACTTCCAGGGCCAATATCAGGTACCTACTTCGCCGCCTCCCAACCAAGCAACATATCCAGGGTATTCCAGCCCACCACCACAGAGCACGTTCTCGGCGCCTATGGCGTACAATCCGTCTCAATATGGCCGAACTCCAGGACCAACCTCACCACCCCCAAATCAGGCATCGTTTGCCGTGAATAGGATGCCACACTCGCCGCCCCCGACTCAAACGTCCTTTGGGCAGACTCACCAACACCAACCACATCAGACTTATGGGAACTACGGGGCATCCCAGGCGCAACAGCCGGCTGGTTACGTGCCTCCTGGATTTGTGCCGCCGCCGCCGCCGCCTGGTCCTCCGCCGCTGGGACCACAACAGACCTTTCACTATGATGGGCACAGCGGCCATCAGCAGGGTGCCCAGACGCGCGTGACGCAGCCAGAGCAACCCCACGATCCGTGGGCTGGACTGAATGCATGGAAATAATGAAAGAGAGGATTGGCAAAAAGCTGAGCGCTATTACGGAAAGGAAGCGCACGGGTGCGATTCATGCTTGGAGTTGAGATGAGCGGTCGAATAGCATTTGCAGATAAATGTACTGTGTACCTTGATCTATCTCCCTCCTTGTAAAGAGTTCCTGTCTAATGGCGGCGGCAATGTTGGTTGCATCGCCCTACATGATGACGAACTTTTGACAAGCTCTTGCACCGGACCCAACCTGAACCAAGCCGATGGATGGAGGCGAGGGACCCCGCGCGTTGGTCGGAGCCGGTACGGAAAGGAATTTTCATCGGGTGGAGTGCCGAAGCTAGATTGAATACATATACTCCGTATCCACTCGCCATCCATTCAGCCGAAGTGCTCGCTGGCAATTCACATTTGTAATGTGGGATATGCGGTGTGTGCGCTAGTCGGCGAGACATGGCCGTGGGGACTGGTGCCGAGTCCATATGTACACGATACGGGGTAATTGAGGCATTGCGTCGACCCAGCCAATAAAGTCCGTCGGATAAACAAGCCTGCTCATGGATCGTCTCGGGTGACGGCTGAAGATTGTGGGGGGCCGGGGCGTCGACTGGTTCGTTGCGAGCTTCTTGGTTGTCTTCCGAGGTTGTCTCCGACCGGACGTCATCCATGTTATTTCCATCGGGTGGTACCACGCAAGGGGTGCTTCTCTTGTTTTGCCATTTATCCCATTGCCTCGAACAGGCGAGAAGAAATTGAGCGTACATGTGTTCTGTGTTTGTTTCCGGGAGCACCGCCGCAGATTGACAAGTAATAAACATACATTACGACGGATAGACATTAGACCTCGGTAGCCGCCATGGCGTTGAAAGGGAGCGACATTGCTCAGCACAACAACGCCGACTCGTGCTGGGTCATCATTCACGTACGTCTTGGGGCGGGACGCTACGAAAATAACACCGCTGACTCTCCCTCACAGGGCAAAGCCTACGACGTGACCGACTTTCTTCCCGGTTGGTGAATCCATGCTCCGGCATTGCAGCCGCATAGTCATACTAACGCCGCCGTTCCTTTGCCAGAACATCCGGGAGGTTCCAAGATTATACTGAAATATGCTGTACGCAACATGACCCAATTGATTACGTGGCTTCATGCGTCCTATCCATTGCACTGCTAACAACGCTTCCTGTAGGGCAAAGATGCCACGGAGGAATTCGAGCCCATCCACCCGCCCGACACCCTCGACAAATACCTTGAAAAGTCGAAGCATCTTGGTCCTGTGGACATGGGTACCGTTGCGAAAGAAGAAAAGGCACACGACCCTCATGAGGCTGCGCGGCTAGAGCGTGTCGAGCAGAAGCCGCACTTGTCGCAATGCTACAACCTGTTTGACTTTGAGGCTGTTGCCCGGAGAGTCATGAAGACAACTGCATGGGGATACTACTCGAGTGCTGCAGACGATGAAATTGTACCAAGCCCATTTCCCCATTCACGTGTAAACGAGCTTGGCCCCTAACGCAACGAACGCTCCTAGACTATGCGAGAAAACCACAGCGCCTTTCACCGAATCTGGTTCCGACCCCAGGTCCTCGTCGACGTCGAACATGTCGATTTCAGCACCACGATGCTCGGTACACGATGCTCAATCCCGTTCTACGTCACTGCTACGGCGCTCGGGAAACTGGGCCACCACGAAGGCGAAGTCATCCTCACTCGCGCGGCGCACAAACAAAACGTCATTCAGATGATCCCCACGCTGGCGTCGTGCTCGTTTGACGAAATTATCGACGCCAGGCAGGGCGACCAAGTCCAGTGGCTCCAGCTGTACGTCAACAAGGACCGCGAAATCACCCGCAAGATCGTGCAGCACGCCGAGGCCCGCGGCTGCAAGGGTCTCTTCATCACCGTCGACGCGCCGCAGCTCGGCCGCCGCGAGAAGGACATGCGCACCAAGTTCACCGATCAGGGGAGCAACGTCCAGTCCGGCCAGGACACGGACAACTCGCAGGGCGCCGCGCGCGCAATCTCCAGCTTCATCGACCCGTCGCTCAGCTGGAAGGATATCCCCTGGTTCAAGAGCATCACCAAAATGCCCGTCGTCCTCAAGGGCGTCCAGCGCGTCGAGGATGTCATCCGCGCCATCGAGGTCCAGGCTGACGGTGTCGTCCTCTCCAACCACGGCGGCCGCCAACTCGACACGGCCCGCTCCGGCATCGAGATCCTCGCCGAAACCATGCCTATCCTGCGCGCTCGCGGGCTCCAGGACAAGATCGAAATCTTCATCGACGGCGGCATCCGTCGCGCCACAGACATCATCAAGGCCTTGTGCCTGGGGGCGCGGGGCGTCGGCATAGGACGCCCCTTCCTGTATGCCATGAGTGCCTATGGGCAGGACGGCGTCGAGAAGGCCATGCAGCTGCTCAAGGACGAGATGGAGATGAATATGCGCCTGATTGGCTGTGCCAGGGTGGAGGATCTGAACCCGAGCCTGGTTGACACAAGGGGGCTATTTGTACATTCGAATTCGACGGCTGCGGATGCCTTGTCGCAGACCGTCTATGACCCGTTGGTTGTGCCGTCACAGAGAGCCAAGGCCAAATTATAAGGTTGCGCCGTCGTCGTTTTTTTATCACGTTATTTAGACCCGAGATAGAGAAGAGACGCTGAGTGTAGATGTGGCCGTCGTGTTGGGCGGTAGTATAGCGTTTGATCCAAAATGGATGTCTACTCCAGCTCGTCGTTTTCGCGCACACTCGGACGATCCTCACTTGGTAGTTATGGTGCCATGTTGAATATGCGTAGTAAAAAATAGCGCCGTAGAGGGCAGGCAACTTACTCACTTGCCGGTTTGCTGCTCCACGAAACACGGAGCCCGTTATGCTTCTATATGCAACAAGATATTTACATTCGTCGTCAGTTCCTCCAGTGCCACGGCACACACCCGCATCGCCCATGCCGGGGTACCTACAACACCCCCAAAAACTCCTTCAACGAAATCGGCTTCCTGACCGCATTATTCAACCCTTCATGATACGTCACCCACACGTTTCTCTCTTCATGCCTACGTCTCCTATCACAGTTGCCATCCAACTCCGCCAACGGCTTCGATTCAATGATCCTCCCAAAGAAGTCCCTCATGACCACGACATCGGGCTTATCTTCTGGCAGAGCCTTGTTCTCCTTGTCGTCGTGCACAGGAAGCGGCGTCTGGACCTGTGAAGCAGCTCCAGCCTGGAAACGAGCCTGACGAGCACTGTTGTCCCGCAGCGCAATGGTTCGTCGCAGTTCCTGGTCGAGGACTTGCCTGACGGCATAGCGGGTTGGGGCTTGGGAATGGAGGAGAGCGACGGCTGTTTCGAAAGTCGAGAGCGAGTCGAGATCACTGCAAGTATTGTATTAATTGACGAAATTTTTGGTGGTTATTCTTTGGAAATGGACGACTTACGGTTCCATACGATAGACGTATTGGGGGCCACGCCCCCCCGTCATCTCGCTTTCGACTTTACCCTTGTGAAGAGCAATTCCAACCTCTGCCAGGACTTGGCTAGCCCGCTGGACCATGACCTTTTCGCTCTCCTTGCGGACGCTCGCCATGGTCCCCTGGCTGCCGCCTACCACGACGGGCTTCACATCCGGGGATACAAGGCGGATCAGGTAAGGCAGAAACTCCGTGGCCACGTCCTCTGCGCTGCGGAAAGACCGCATGAGCGTCGGACTGAGCTGCGACTGCAGAGCTTGAAGCTGCGACCGAATCTGCTTCTCTGCCTCGCGAGCCTGGAAATCAGCCCGAGGACCGGAAAATGGCACTGGAGGACTATTGTCTTCTTCTTTTTCCACCCCGCCCCAGCGTTTTTCGAAGCCACTGGCCATCGTGTAATGCTTCTTGGGTGAGGCAAACAGGTGATGGCACGCCAGGATTGGTTGACTGAGATATGGCGCCAGTTCCCATTCCTGGCTTGCGTATAGACGTGATTGGCAGGAGTCATGGAAATGTAGCCAGTCGTAAGCTTGGTTGGGTTTGGCGAGGTAGATGTCGTCGTTGAACTCGCGGTTCGGATACTCGGCGAAGATTTCCGTCAGGATGGTGCTAATTTCGCCGCTCGTGTCGACCATTTGGCCAAGGCGGCCCATGGCGTATTTCTTCTGCTGTTCGCCGAAGCCCAACTCAGCCTTTGGCTGCTCATGCAGGGTTTTGGGTTCAGATAGGTCCATGGCTTGTTTAGGAAAGCCGCCGCCTTCTTGAAATACGCGTTGGATAATATCTCGTACATTTCCTCGTCCCAGGCCTCTGGCTCCAGCGGCACTGCTTGACAAGTCGCGTAGGATGTTGTTTTCGATCCACGGGCGTGTGAGTCGCTGATTCGCATGACCGAGGCAAGATCTGAACCGGCCTGCCACCCACTCACCCACAACCATGACACCGCGCAGGTCGCCTTCAACGGTGCTTTCCGCCCCCCGTTTGGCATCAATACCACTTGTCATGCCCCATGCTGCCTCGCACAACTTTCTTGCGGCGTCCTTGTCGCAAGGAATACCCTCCTTCTCGAAGATACTTTTGACTCTGCCAACTACCGCATCAAGTGATGGTCGGCCAACGTGGACGATCTCTGCCAGATTCGACTGTCGTAGGGGCCGCAGGGACGGGTGATAGACATCATTACAGATGAGAACCAATGGCCGCATTTGTCGAAAGTCATCCCCCTTCTTCTTTTTATGACTGTACTCAGACGTCGGGGCCGACGAGTTCCTCTGGTCCGTCAGAACTAAGTCAATTAATGCCTTTATGAATCCACCTTCCCCAGATGCACCAGCTCCAGACGTCACACCGTCCACCTCATCCACAATCACACACACGGGCTTGGCAATTTTCTGTGAACCGTCGCTGGCTTTGTTGTTGGTGACATTTTTCACGCTTTCCGTGCCCAAGCTTGTCCGTATCCGATCCCTGACGACATCACGGCTGCGGTCATCACTGGCGTTGACCTCTAGAACCTCGTATCCGGCCTGTTTCGCGCAGACGTGAGCCAGAGTTGTCTTTCCCAAGCCCGGTGGTCCAGTAAGCATCAATATCTTGCGATGGGGCTTCTCTTCCTCCAATTGATGCTTCGCACCGGGTCTTCTGGTCATCACTGGCTTAGCCTTCGCCTGGCCGGGGAAAACAACAGGGTCCCATCGCTTCAGCCATCGGAGTACTTGTCGATTGGTGCCGTCGTCGCCACACAAGTCCATAAAATTTCGTGCACGATATTTCTCAGTCCATAGAAGGGTTTTCTTTGGTTTCTCGCCTGAAATCGGGGCCTCAAGTGATGGTATTATCGTATCGGGTTTAGTAGAAACGGTTAAAGGCTTGTTTCTGATTTCCTTTGCTGCCTTGTTTATCAAGTCGTGAATTTCAATACCGTAGTAGCTTCGCTTCGCTCTGCCCTCTTTCGTTTTGGATCGTGCTGCTACCATTGTTTCGTATGACACTGCAGCAGACGTTTTTCGTTGCTTAATGGTTGCAGACTTGCCACAGCATGTTTTGGCGGAATACGTCGAAGGGGAAATGGTTTCAAGAATCAAGCCAGAGAATAAAGAGGGTTTGGCTGACCAGTTTGGAGGTTCTGTTGAAGCCCTAATGTCAGATGTCTCGACAGAAGTCTGAGTGTCATCGCCCTTATGGTTCTCTTCGTGTTGCATTATAGGGGCCGTATCATCGTGTTCGGGGGGGTGTTGCAGCATGCGCCTCTTGGCTATGTGGGAACCATTTTGGGGTTCTTGGCTCTCATCCTCCGAATCATCACCATCCAATATGAAGGGCCCATCGACGCGGGGCTTTGATTTCGTAGGTTCTTCATGAGGCGTTGGGCGCTTCGGAGCAGGCGAGCTCTTTGGAAAAGTAATAGGTGAAGATGCGGACAGCATGGTCAAGTGCTTTTCTTTCCAGAATCAGGTGCACTAATCAGCTGTCAGACAGGTTCCAAACGGAGCATGTGCATTGACAAAGTTGTCAAGTTTCGAAATGAAAGTAGGGAATGAGTGTGTAGCCATCCGCAACTGTTCTGCATGTAAGTCGCGTTTCTGGTTGAGTGAGACGCGTTTAGTGGGGCCCACTTTTGGCATTGACCGAGAGTTTAAACCAATGATCCCTGCCAGTCCCGACCAGCTGCGCACAGCTGACAAAGGCCGGACGTCGGACGGGATAATCCGCCGGTGCCAATTGAGCTACGCCAAAAAATCGGACATTGTTCGAGTCTCGCTCCTGACGCTCTTGAAGCTCCTTCGGCGACGTCAATCTTGCTCGACAGCCATCAACAACAGGGCTGCATCTGTGAATATGCGCAAACCATACAGATTTTACAGTCTTAATCGACCGGTAGGGATTTTTCCGATGCAATTATTCGATTGCGCTTGAACGAGCAACATTGTGTGGAATGTACTTCTCCATCATACTGTAATGGCTAACAGGACGTTGCCTTCTAGAAATTGCGTCAGTCATGGAACAAATACAACTTGTATAACCTATACCGAAATGCTGGGCGTGAACCCCAAATTCGAGGCACACCGACTTTCTTCCAGCAGAAGTGGGCAGCCAAATCGAAAACCCGAGCCTACCACGGCGAGCATATTCCCGAGAAGAAATGGGTGCGCCTATTCTCTCGCCGGCTTCTTTCAGCCGTAGACTTGCCGCCGGAGTACTTAGCTGCTCATGATGGCTCTGAACAAGCTGCCGGTCGCGGTTCCGGCCTCACAACGTCCAATATCACAGCAGAGTCGTTTTCCAAAGTCCCCAAGCCGAGCACATACGAGCGATCAAGGCGGAGACCTCCTCCGTTTGGCGATGTGAACAAATTGCTATCTGATCAGTTCACAGGCATGACGCCTTACATGCAGATGACATTTGCGCCGCTGGAGCGAAGATTGGATACCGCAGTCTTCCGAGCGTTGTTTGCTAGCAGCGTGCGCCAGGCCCGCCAATTCGTCATTCATGGTGCTGTCAAGGTCAACGGCAAGAAAGTAAGAAGATTTCATACAACTTGACCCAATCTGGCAGAGGCCCGGCATGCTAACGTACTTGCAGATGATCCATCCATCATATCAGCTGAACCCAGGCGACATGTTCCAAGTAGACATTGACAAGGTCATGTACGGCACTGGACAGCAAAAGGCTACGCAGGGAAACAAGAGACTGGCGGAGAACCTGAATTCGAGAAAGCAGAAAGCCGATGCATTTTACCAAGCAGCTATTGACAAGGCTGCCGCCAATGCTCGTACGGTTGCTTCAACAAGCGAAGCCGCGGCCGAAGCGGAGAAGCCCGAGGCCGAGGCCGTGTCAGCGGAGGAGTCGGTTGAGGATCAGCCTGAGAGTGCGGGGGAATCAGTCTCTGGACCAGGACTCGAATCCCTTACCCCTGAGGAGAGTTGGAGACTTAATAACCGAGCTCTCAAGTTTCTCCTGAAAGATGTCAAGAAGATTCTCAAGAACAACCCTAAGGACCTCTCTGCGAAGGAAAAGAAGCAGCTGCGCTTATTCCGAGCCGATGCAAAGCGCTTTCTATCGCAGCCCGAAGATAGTGCCCTGGATGTGCAGGAGCTCATTGAGGAGCTCCAGCTGCAAATGAAGAGCCACGAACTCATGCGTGAAAGCTTCGAAAAGCTCACCATTGCTCCTGTGTCGCCCGACGCAACGGCTGAGACGCCCGCCGCCGAAGCCTCTGGCCAGCAAACCGAGTACAACCGACAGCGTCAAGTTGACAAGGGTCTCGATGGTCTCAGTGAAGAGCAGAAGGAGAAAGCCGTTCGCATCATGGGCGAATCTCAGCTCTCCCGTGAAGAAATGCGAAAACTTGCCCGACTACTCCAGTACGACGAAGAGAACCCCATTGATGACAGCAAGCCATACGCCACGCCATGGCGACCACGACCCTTCATGTCCGCGTTTGCATTCATCCCCCGCTACCTCGAAGTTAATCCTAACATTTGCGCCGCCGTGTATCTCCGTCACCCCGTGGCAAGAAAAGGCATGGGCGAGGTCCCTACGCCATTCAGCTATCTCACGAATCAATTGACGCACAACTGGTACCTGGAGCGTGGCTAACCCGGTTGGACATGCGGTGTACTGCGTTGTGAAACAGGCATGGTAGAAACGGCACGGCCCTGGCACTGGACCTAAACATGCAGAAGTGGTACTACCGAAGCGAAGCGGAGGAAGGGAGCTTGAGTGGTCGGCACTCGGGAATGTTGCATAGTTGTACACTAAAATGGTGGCTGGCTCAGGTGCGCTTGTATTTTACGGAATGGGATGCTCCGAGCTACTCTTTGTCTGTGCGGATGTTGGAAGACAGGTAAATGGGACGCGACGGTGTTAACTCGACGGAAAGAGAGAGCCAAGCGTTTTGACCGATCCTTGTATAATACATCAATCAGAGCAACTGTATTAGATTTACACGGCTGTCCGCTGAGACGGATACCCTGCATACTTGGGCCATGCATGGTCTGCAGATCTGTGACAGCCGACGAGTTCTGCAGCGCATGTCTCACTCTGGGCTTACAGCGGCATTCTCGCCATCAACTGTAGAAATTGACAGAGGGCGCAAACAAGGAAAGGAGATGAGCTCGTGACCGACGTGGCAATTTTTTTTCTCCTAGTCGCAAATTGGGCACCATGGCCACTTGCTCCGAGTAAAGCTTGGTGCGAACTGGCTGACATGGCACCTTACTATCCACGCTGCCCACCTATATGAACCTTTTTGGTGCTATAAAACAAGGGCGGTTGCCAATGCATGATTTGTAAATGGGGTTCATTTGACATTACTAGTACCATAAACTAGTACTACTACTACTAGTAGCATCACTCAGTGTCTCGATATAGCTCCATAACAGATGCCATAACATATGCCCCTTTTTCGTGTCTAGGATCTCTTTAGCTGCCTGGTGGCTCGTGGGGCCTCTTCTGCCATGTAATATTCTTAAGTAAGCGAGTCTCCACGAGCCATTGGGCAGCTAAAGAGATAATGTGTAGATGGACTCGGCATTGAGAACCTGACTCGTGCCACGGCAATTAAAATAGAACTAGCGGCGCCTGCAAGGATTCCTGTCAAAAGACGGAATACGCACATTCAAAGAAGCGATTTGGTGTTTTCCCATCTGCTGCATCTAGCAAAACCGGCCCCGGTATCGAGGCGCGATTCTGCTTGGTACTGCGCAAGTGCACCATATTACTAGACACGCACATAGCTGCCATGTAGTCGAGGCCAATGAGATTCCGAGACACAGTGTCGAGTCGACTACTCCGTAGACAAAACATTGAACTTTCCAACATTCAGTGGCTGGCGTGTGTGTGCAAGCAGGACACACGAACATCCATGCGTGACCAGCCAACCAAGTTGAAGCGACGACACGTCAAGCCACCCGATCCTCTGTTGAATAAACGCAAAACCCAATCGTCTCGGGATGTAAGGTCAATCGCCACCCATTCGTGGCCGATTAACCGTTGCGGGCCACGCCACCCATATGACTGGGCCCTTTGTTCAATGCTCTTGATTTGATCTGGGGGAGACCACAGTTCCCAAGGAGGGGAGCGGACATTTAATGCTCCATCGCAGACGCCGAGACCATCTTTTTTTTTGCGTTGAAAGTAAAGTGCCTTCGCCACGTGAACACTGCGTAATTTTACAGCCCTCAGAATTGCATTTAGGGTCAATGAAAGGGCGATCGACGATGATGCTGTGGTTTGGAGAGATGGACGAGCGAGGGGGGACGAGGCCTTTGGTATTGTTACTCCACAAGGCTTCGTGGAGGGCATTGTACAGGAATGGCGGTCCGGAACATCGCCTATCGGGGAGAGACACACGCGGATGGCGGGACTTTTTTCTCCGAGTCTACTACAGAAATGATGCTGTGTCCTGGTCAAGGATTTTTGATGGCTCTGTCCCCCCCTCGTGCTGTGGACGCGGTAGCATCGTGTGCTCTGGTCTCTCGACTTGGAAGCCGACATAGCCGTACGGGGGAAGGCAAAGAATGGCAGTGTCGGGAAGAGGCCAGGATACATACAAGTTATTGCGGCTCGTCGCCCCCGTCTATCGTCGAGGAGCACACTCGCGGAGCTGGGTATTCAAGGCATGCTGCCCATGAAAGGCCTGACCTGGGAACAACGGCCAGCCAGTTCCAAGGGCAGATATGCCAATCCCAACAACTGTCAGCAAATTTAGTATTCATATACCACATCCTACAATTGTTGACAGAGGTTGCAAATCGGTCTTTACACGATGCATAATGCTGGCTTTTCCGTTTGCCTTTGGGCCATCGTCATCAAGTAGGCCAAGAAAAATCTCGCAGGTCCAGTCACACCACCAAGTCAGCGACGACACCAGGAAATAATTACCTAGTATGAGGAAGCCTCCGACATGTGACGTACGCCATGATGTTTTTTCCTCCCAGATCAAGATTCCCTAAGTAATAGCAGCTAGATGGCAAGCCAGCAGACTGGCCCGGCCGTTCTCTGCCAGTCTAGACAACTTGGTAAGATAAACAAAATCACAAAAAATCACTTCATCGGTGCCGCCACTTCAGTAATGAGGGTGTCAGCGTGCTGGCTCGCAAACTAGTTGCGACTCACCTGACAACGTTGATAGCACATCCGAGTGAGGCACCGACTCCAAGCCTAAAACCAGCTCTGAATGTCCGCCGACAAGCCGACAAGCTACACCTGGAGTGCTACCTCCCTAAAGCGGAAGAAGACTTGAGGCTTACAAGCCTACTGAGGGTCGTTATTACACAACACATTGCAATCGAAAGCCTGATGGTGGCTGGTGCGGGATAGTTGTACCAACTATTGCCGGCCTCTTCCTGCTGGCATGCCTGTAATCGAGCCTGCATACAAACAGCTGGGGCTGATACTGTGAATTCAGCACTGCACCCAGCAGAATAAACCAGACACTAGCAGGGGATGACGCTAGGGGTGGGCGGGAGTGCGCATCTTCTGGCAAAGGTTGCTGCGGCCTGCATCCTGCATCGCTTCGCTTCATGATGGCGGCGCCCTGACGTGCCGTCACAGAATTTGGCATCAGCTACGCCAGGGTTGTGTTAATTCGTTGGAAGCCATTCAACTCGTCGGTGTCTGAGTATGGTAGCAGTAGTGAAAAAACACCAGACACCACAGGCACCTTGCCATAAAATATTCCGACCTACTGAAAGCCGCCATTGCCAACATAATAAGACTCCCGCCACCAAATGGCAATGGCGGAATTATAATAACTTGAAGTCTTTGAGCCAACATACAAATGATATTTGCTATTTCAGTCAGGCCAGTCCCGTCAAGGTCGTAGGATAAGGTTATGTTGTTAGTCTCTCTCCAGTGGCGAGACATAGCATTCGTGTGACTCGCCGCCGGGTCATCGCCATCGACGCCGTGGCAGGCGGCAATAAATGAAGGCTTCTGTCGTCTGCTGGAAGCCAGGGCTCGAGTGGCTACGTGGTGCTTGAAGTCCCCTCTCCACGCCGGAGCCATAGTGCGAGCGTATGAAAGGACGCGGAGTTGCATCCGAGGTTGGCGTGCGCCGCAAGCCGGATCGCAGCGATTAGCAGAATGCCGCGACTGGGAGCAGTTTGCATTCATCAGTAAAGTGGCATTTGAGGTGTCGGCGATTGACACTTGAACACGGTCATGTTGGACCGGTCAACCGGTCAACTGGTAGCTCGATGTCTGCATGTGGTCAATTCGCTTGCAATGTTGGATCCTCTTGCTTCTCCTACCAGACAGATTATGCCTGCCTTGCAGTTGTTAGTCGACCGTTCTTGCCTTGAAGGGCGCTGGTTCCTGTCGAGACGGCCCCGTCGCATCACAGGGTCTTCCTGGCGATGCCAGCAGCGGTAACGGGCATCAAGTACAAGGTACCTGATAGGGAGTTTGTTTGCCCGACCTCTCGGCTGTACCTGCGACCTCCCTAGCGCATGCACTGCTAGCCTGTGTGTTTAATGCGCAATGGGCCCTAGTCAATGCAAAATGGTCCGGAGGGCTCCTTCCATCTTAATACTTCACCACCTGTACAATATTTAAACATGGAGGAGTCCGGTCACCTCGTACCTGGACTACTTGGGACTGCTGTAACAGCCAAATCTTCAAGCGTCTGCAACCCATCTAGCTTTGCTGATCTATCGTTGTCTTCGGGGTGCTCTCGAGCCCTTATTCCCCCATCACCAGTCTTGTATATTTCGTCTCCCTTGACAGTATTCTCCCCTCTTACTTGATTGAATCCTCTCCCCCCTTCACTTCGCCACTCGATTTTTAACACGCCAAGTGCACACCAGACATGTTCCGTGCTCGATAGCCTCGCCAGTGCCGTCCGCCTTTGCTCCCTGTCCGCTCGGCAATCTCAAGTCGGCATTTGCTCTATTTCGTCTTATGCGCTGGCATCGGACCACACACGAAGCAGCCGCTCTGCCACAAGCCAGGCTTGAGCCCTCTTATCAGCCTCCATCTCCAGAGCCGACACTCCGTCACCCTCCCCCAGTTCGTCAGCGACTAGGGGTGTGCGCCACGGTCTTACCAGTCCATCACTATCTCTCTCAGTCCAGCACTATGCGCACGCAATAGCGGCAAAGCGTGTTGGCCCGTTTCTTCACACCATTTGGCCTTGACGCGGAATCCAGACCCTCCACCCTATCAAAGCCTCGAAGTCTGTCTCGACCTTGACCTCGACGACTCTTTCTCTACGACCCCTTCTTACTTAACGCAATCCATCCGCAACCCACCGTATCCCATCACAAGCAACCTACTTTTTTTTGGCGGGATAATTTGTTACAGCTCGGCCAAAAAACGCACATTATTGTTTGCTGCCGGCAAGATCTGATGCAGGCTCGCCGGTCTTACCCACTCCCGTTCTACGACCCTGTGTGGACCACTGGTCGACATCTTGTGCCCTCTCTCAATCTTTTCCGTCTCACCGTCAGCTCTTGCTCTCTCGCACATCACCACTGTCGAGGCGCCGCTCACGGCCCACGACTTTTTGACAACTGCTGCACTAGGCCCGGACTCTGTGTGTCGGGCTGGAGTGAAACTGACCTAGCATGACCGGTAACACACCCCGAACAAGTGTCCACCCTGGACAACAAAATGATCTTAATTCGCCCTCGGATGGATCGGCCCATGCAGCAATAGCAATGAACAGTAACACTAATGCTACCTCTGTCGCTGCCGCCAAGAGGAGGTCACGCAGACGAGCCGCTTCGTCGAGTCAGAAACGACGATGCATTAGCACAGCATGCGTTGCTTGCCGCAAACGCAAATCGAAGTGTGACGGTGCCTTGCCCAGCTGCGCCGCTTGCGCCAGCGTGTATGGCACCGAATGCATTTATGACCCGAACTCGGACCACCGCCGCAAGGGCGTCTATCGCGAGAAGGTAGACACAATGAAGGCACGCAGTGCCACTTTGCAGGTTCTTGTTGAAGCCATTCTCAATGCCTCGGAAGACGATGTTGCCTCAGTCGTCGACAGAATTCGCTCTTGCGATGACCTGGATTCTGTGGCCCAGTCAATTGTCAACCAGGATTCGGACAGCGGCGCCACCGGACCTGATGACATAGACGAGGATAGTGTCGATAATCCGGCTGTCAAGGGTGAGGAGGAACTGGCCCGCAATATGGGTGAGCTTCGGTTTGAGAACGGGTCCGTACGTTTTATTGGTGGCACTTCTCACCTACTTCACCTGGGAGGGTCTCAAAATGATGCTATTGAATCAGATCTGGAACCTGAGCAACAACTCACGAGTGACGATCCCATAACGTCATGGACGCGAGTCACCAGTGATTCTAACCTCATCGCGCACTTGATGAGAATGTATTTCAATTATCACTACTCATATTTCACCACTCTATCCAAGAAGCTCTTCATTAGAGACTTCACAGCAGGTCAGGCAAATGTGGCCTCCCGGAATTGTACGGCATACTGCTCGCCCCTCTTGGTCAACGCTATGCTTGCGCTTGGTTGTCACTTCACTGATGTTGCCGGGGCGTTTGTTATACCAGGCGACGCTAGAACCAAGGGTGACCATTTCTTTGCTGAAGCCAAGCGTCTGATCTTGGAAGATGACGAATTTGCCAGACCTCGCCTCGTAACAGTTCAGGCATTGGCACTCATGTCTGTGAGAGAGGCTGGTTGTGGCAGAGAGGCCAAGGGATGGGTCTACAGCGGAATGAGCTTCCGTATGGCTCAAGATATTGGCCTGAATCTTGAAGTCACAGGCTCTGACAGAGAGCACGTGTCTCAAGAAGAAATTGATGCCAGAAAGATCACATATTGGGGTTGCTTTGTTTTTGACAAGTGCTGGTCCAATTATATGGGTAGGCTGCCTCAGCTTGTCAAGACCACATGCAACGTCACAAAATTCGACGTTGACAATGACGAAGACTTGTCAATATGGTCCCCATTATCAGACAAGGGCCTTGACAAATCGTTTGAACAGCCGTCAAGAACACGGTCAGCGGCGTTGCAACTCACCTCCCTTTGCGAGATTAGCAGCGACCTCATGGTCTTCTTTTACCACCCCAATCACATCAGGCGATCTCGTGGTAAGTCCGCTGAGCTCAAGAAGCTGAGCGAAATCCATCAACGTCTAGAGCATTGGCGCAAGGTGCTACCCAAGGAGTTTGAGCCAGCTGATGGCCAGCTTCCCAATGTCATCCTCATGCAGTAAGTTCCTACCCACCACATCTTCTAGTCTTTCTTGCTGTTTGTGCCTGCTACTACTTTTCCTTCTATCACTGGATCATAAAGTAAGTTTCCGGGAACTAACTAGACGTTCTCTCAGCATGTTCTTCCACCTGCAGTATATTCACTTGTTCCGCCCATTCCTCAAGTACACCCCGTCAGCATCGCCCCTCCCGGCTCATGTTTCTCCACGAAGGATATGCACGGCGAATGCCGGAGCCATTTCCAAGCTGATGAGGCTGTACAAGAAGATGTACGGCCTGCGGCAGATTTGCAATATTGCGGTATACATGGTTCATAGTGCCTGCATCATCCACTTGCTGAATCTCCCAGAGAAGACTGCCAGGCGAGATATCATACACGGCGTCAAGCACCTGGAAGAGATAGCTGATGACTGGCTCTGTGCACGTCGCACTTTGAGTATTTTAAGCGTTCTTGCGAGGAAATGGGGTTGCGAATTACCAGAGGACGCTGCGTTTGTCCTTAAGAGGGCCGATGAGAAGTATGGATACTACAGCACATCGGACGTGCCTTCTCCAGCATCGACCCACGCCACGTTGGGCGTGACATCGGATGATGCAATGTCAAAGTCATCAGGAGAGCAAAGCCCGTTGGGACAGTTCAGTCAGGCACAAATAACTCCCGGTGTCGGCTCCGGGTATGTGGGTGACGGCATGTCCATGTTGCAGCCACCTCAAGTGGTGGAAGGAGTATCAGATCGACTGTCTCATCGAGAACAAACTGCGCAACCAGAGGGGATGTCTCTTGGTTTTAGTGGCAATGTGATGGAGCGGTGGCTCGGAGATGGAAACCCTACTACGGAATCACCATCGGTTTTCGGGTCACCATTCTTTCCAATTGATCATCAGGTACCAGAACCCCAGAACAGTCACCCTGTAATGCCTCGACGCATGGCTGGATCAGCTGGCAACGAACCCCCTAATGGTCAGGACTGGATGCTCAATGATGGAGCCAGATGGCAGCAGAGCTTTGAAAGTTGGGGGGTAGATGGTGGCGTTCCATCAAACGGGATGTTCATATTCAACCAGGACCGAAACAACAGATTCAATCAACCTGCTGCAGGATATCACGACGATCAGGGACAGCTAACATTCGAAAATCTCAACGCATCATTAAATGGAAGTAGCTGGCTTCCCGGTCTGGACTGAAGCCTACGTGGAAATTCTAACTGATGGCAACTAGTGATCCTGAGAAGAGTCGAAAACCTATTCTCGCGATTTTTCGGCCGCCATAATTGGTCGTCCTTTTTAGTAAATATCGTCGGGGGATGCTTTTTTTTCGGCGAATTATTCTGTACCTCTTGCTGTCTAAAGCCTAGGTTCCTATTTATTTGATGCATTGCATTTACGGTGTTTTTAGGGTACCTTGTTTATCTCACCTCACCCTCTTCCTCCATTAAGTTTCGAATATAGACATTTTCCAGGGTATTTTGTCATGAGTTTATGTGGTTGGATGGGCTTGGAACGTGCAAAAGGGCGTTTAAATGGTGACAAAGTGCTGGCTAGCAACTGATCTTTTATCATCTACCAAGGATCCCAGAATGAGACGATTCTGTGAGCATGGGTATGGAAGGGCTTTGTTCTTTGAGTGCAGCAGTAGAAGGCGTAATGGTCAAGTACCGGTACTGGAGGCGAAATGATTTGACGAATCATGGCTTTATGACTGCTTTGACGCGAACATAAAAGACAGAATGGGATGAAGTCTTGAGTTCCCATGATTTGCATAGCAGTACCCACCTGAAGCGACTTCCTCTTTATTATGGTTGATCATCAAGATCTCGCAAGGATGAGGTGTTGCAGCTACTGAATGTAAAGGAAGTCGAACAAATTGTACTCTAGTTAGACAAGCGTAATTACGGAAGATGGGCAATCAACAATATTCACTGTTCCTAAACGCCAATAGACCTCTGGGTGTTGGAACATCCATTGATACAGCCTTGTAGAAATATTTACAAGCTTTGCACTTGCCGCACGAAGGGACACTTTCATCTCAATCCAAGCAAAAAGAGGGATTCTTCAAGTCTTGATAGACTGATCGCCGTTTATGACAAGGGTTCTACTGACCTTTCGAAGACTTCAATCAAGAGTCTCTCAGCTGTTTCTCTCAGCCCAGAAGACTCCAGGATCAACATATCACTGTTGTTATTATTAAAAGGAGTATTCTGCCACGGCCTTGTACAGAAGGATGATCCAACTGGCTCTGCCTGTCCCGCCTCGCACCTTCAAGCATGGGGCTATCGCCAAGAGAAAAAAGTCTATATGATGCACTATTTTAGGCGAGTACACGCTTCCAACATAATCGTCAAATGAATCAACATCTTTATAGTACATGTATCGCGAGTCAGGTTCTGAACAAGCAGCTGCTATATAGCACCCTCATAAGTCCAAGGACGGCAAGGCATCTTCTGGAAGAAGGCTAAACACAACTATAGGCGTTCATCCTGATACCTACCAGATTATCCCTGGCAAGGCAGGGCGGTTACCTATGGATATTCGATATTTGCTAGTGTATCAAGGATGGTGATGCCGCCGACAAAGCTTTCTTAAAGGCTGCCCAGGGTCGAACTCGGCTAGTCGGCTACCGTGATCTGTGAGCAATGGGCGGGGAGCGGCTCAATTTGCCACGACCTGCTTCGTCTAGAAACAACTGCGCCTGTTTCGTAGCTCAGCAATCTCTCGTGATCGAGGATGTATCCTTATCTACTTCCCTATGAATGGATACCTCCCAAAGTGAGGTGCGGTGCCGCGTCATTCTCTTTCGGGTAATATGGGAGTCAACAACCCTGTACTGACCGTCGGATTTCAGCGACTCCATTTCCAGCGCCTCGCTTATGAGGTGACAGTTCCGGTCTATCTATCAATTGTCGAACATTGGTGTGTGAGACACGAGAAACAGGGTCTCTATATCAGCTGGGATTGGCTACCAGTTTGTATTCCTGTATAGAAATCCCGTGATTGAGCGACTCTTCCACGTGGGCAAGGGCTGGTCGTGGGTCAAAGAGATGTGTTCTGGACGGTTCACCTTAGGGACAAGGCTGAAACCGAGACTCTTTTGGGGGGCACAAACGTCGCATTGTGTGTTACAGGCAATATCCTCCCGTTCAGTCATGGAATAATTCGATTTGATAGCACACTAGGAACTTTTCAAGAGCTTTGCACAAGACTAAGGGAGCGAGTTGGTGGTGGCGCCATGCTGGAGGTGATGGAGATAAGGACCGGTAGTGCGAAGTGAGGCAAGAGAACGAGTGAGTCGTGAGCATACGAATCTTGCCGAACGCAGATATCGTGCGTGTAATAACCTAAAGAATCACCCGCAGCCGGTGTTCATCACTGAGGTCCCAGCCAGAGTATCAGGTTTGATGCAATATGGCCTCGAGACATTTTGTACGCTGACCCTCTTCCTGGCGAGGACGTAACCAGGTCTCGGGGTGGCGGGCTGGGCGTCGCTCGTAACAGCAGCCCATGGTTCTGGTACAGCTCCCAGGCCGAGGCCTTGACGATGCACAACTGCCGCGTCACTCGTTGCACGGAACAGTTAGAGACGCCTGATCAGATACAGCGGACCTTGTGGTTCTCCGCAGCGAACGGCAAGTGGGGGAAGGTATGTATGCTCTCGAGCGATTCCACATGTTTGAGATATTTATATGGCCAGTTTGAGTCGTGTTTTGGAGCTTCGTACGGAAATCGCGATGCTTTTACTTTGTGCTAATCCGTGACAGACAGAGCTAAATCAAACAAAGAAAGTCAGTTCCTCACCACACTAGTACTAAACATGCCGAGACTATTCCATGCATGCAAGGGGGAATGTCTTGAACTTACGTCAACCTCGTTCAGCATCATTCGTCTCAAACGGCGACTCCGTCGACAACTCAAGTCGCAGGAACCAAAAGCGCCGCAAAACGGTAAACATCAGCGACATGGCTTGGAAGGGGGCAAGCTTAGCTTCATTTTGGAGGCTAGACGTAGCAAGACCAGGAGAACGCCACTCAACAATCGCGTGGCATGGGTTGGGGAAAGTGGATCTTGCGGTGGCACCTTGATCTGCTGTGCCTTCTCATGGCACCATCTTGTGCCTTGTTGTGTCTGCAATGCCCGCACCGTCCCGGCAAAGGCCGTGCCAGTCCAATGTTGCTTAACAGAAGTGCGGAGCGTGGGGAACGGGACTTGCGCTTGAACTGTTGTAGGGAAGATTAGACCTCGCACTTGTGTGAGGCCTCCACTTTTGGCAGGGTCGTTACAACATGAACCACCAGCTATCATTATACGTTGTACATGTTCTCCGTCAGTGTGGCTGCCTTGGTCCTTTTTGCTCTGTCCTGCAATTCAAAGCTCCCTGCATTCCTTCCTGCCTTATCCTGTCATTTCAGTCCTGCTCCTTCCTTGACATGGTGCGGCATCACCTCTGAAGTGACGGAGGAAGGAGCCCCTTCTGGAGAACCGCACCTTGCCAACAAAAGGCTCATCTAACAGCAACAGCGCCGCTTCAGTGTTCGTCACTCACAGAACCGCTCCATGTATGTACTATTTGCTCAACAAGGGCCAGGATCGAGCGACGGCAAGGAACCCTGCCCTTGGACCTTCTTGTCTTACCTTGCCTGTCTTGAGATCTTCTGGGGTACTAAGATGTCCTGGCGCCTGAGGACCTCGGGATATGTCCAAGCCGACATCCCCGTTGTGGCATTTCATCTTCGTCGCATGTGTCCCCTCATCCATCTCTTGTCGAGATCACCCATCGAACTCTCCAACCCTGCCTTGCCTTGCCCTGGCAGCCAGACTAACATTGTACCCATCCAGTCTCGCTATCGATCGCCAATCTTTTCCCAGGGTCTTCGGTCCATCGCTCTGGTGCTTCTTGTGCCGGTGCGGCAATTACCGTGGGCTTGCTCTAATGAACCTCATTTCGAGAACGCTGGAGAGGCATATTGCCACAACGATGCGCCACAGCTAGCAGAGAATGCTGTGAATGGAGGAGGAACTTCTCAGCAAGCTCCGCTGAAGAAGCTAGGGAACCACTATTTCGGCCTCTGCTCATTTCCAACGTTTGGCAACCACCGAACAACGCATTTACCGTGGCGTTACACCGAACCAGGGGCTTGTTGGCCTGACGTCCCTGCACCCCGGTTTTTCCTGCCATACAGCTGAGACCTGGTGTCTGCAATGCCGGTAAAGGGTCAAGATGGTCAACCACAACGGGGTAGCTCTCTGTCTGATGGAGGTAGGGTGGGTGGGGGAGCTGCGCATGGCCATTTCTTGATAAGGGCCTGTATGTAGGTCGGGGTCGAGGTCACCCAAAAGATGCACTGCGCCGGTATAAGGCCGACCAAGCCCCAAGAGGCGAGCCTCCCGCCGGTCCGCCATGTGCTGCTCCCCCTCCACCAGCGTTTTTGGCCGTGACACCGCCGAGTTGGATATCATTCTTCAAACATTCCATCGTCTGAAGATCACCAGGTGCCTGACCCCATGCGTGTGCATACTTTTTTTGGTGTGCTGACACGACGGGGCATGTTCCAAGAGGGGGTATGCTGAAGACGTCGAGTTTGAAATGCTGGGATTCCGGGCCTCTTCGGGCATGTTCCCGCTGGCTTGTCCAGCCATCATCAACATCAACTATCCACCACCATTCAACGACGCGGTCAATTCAGGGCGGACATCCGATGCGTGGGCCGTTCGAACCTCCAAATGCTTGTAAACCCCACTAGTCAGTGTGTTGTGGCGTCGAACTTGGTCGACAAGGGCATCACGCAACCAAAAGCCTCATACGCACCACTAAACATGGACACTTCGGACGCAGGCGCCCCCAGTGGATTCAGTAGCCGCCGTTACTTGTTATGTGGTTTGCAGACGCGGCCAACTTCTTCAGTGCCAGACGCCTCCACATCGGCCACCGACTCGCCCTGGTCAGTTCCAAGCAGGTACCTAGGTAGGTATCCTTTTGGAGGATGGAGTACGTAGCAGCATAGGACGTGTATTCGGTGTACGGGAATTTGGGGGGTTTGGGGAACTTGTATGGAGGTGGAGGAGACTGTAGATTATGCAGTTGAGGTTGAGCTCAACCCCCGTTCTCCTGGGTCCCCAGTCGGGCTTTGTTGTTCCCCATAGGCAGAGAGGTGCGGGAGAATATCTCATTGACGAAAGTCCCAGGGTTTCTCCTCTTTTGATCATGTAAACCTGACAAGTCATCATCTCGATTGGGGGTCTTTCCTTGCAAACCATCTTCATCCCACAAGCCCTGTTGTCGTTTACTCTGTGGATCAACTTGATCGGACCCCTCCGCCGGTTTACACTCAGCATCTCTTGGCCAACAAGGAGCCATTTCCTGGCACCGCCTTTCTGATTAATTGTTCGAGTCGGCAAGGGTCCCATTCAAGCTTCACTGCAGACCCAGAGCCTCTTTGTGCTCCTTAGTCGACGTGGAACAGCATCCAAAACAACCTGAAAGACACGGGAGGGTCATCACGTTTTGAGAACAATAGCCTGGGACCGAAATAATCCGCCCGATGCTCAGGCCATCACCCAACTCATGAATCCGCGGAACCCCCAAAGCAAGTAGTGACCCTTGGCTCGTTCTCCAGACGACGAAACCTGCTGGCATCGATAGTCACATCTTCCCCCAAAGTTTCCCCTTTCCCATCTGCTCTGCCAGAACGATCCAAAGGATTCACAAGACGAATTAGATTATCTAACAACAAAGGAAGAACCAGACATGCTGTCTAATCCACTACACCGGTACTCGCCTTATACCAACTCATCCGCCTCAACTCTTCACAGCCCCCATGGGCATACCAATCCGTTTGGCTCCTTTAGCCACGGGTCACACTACGGTGCAAATCAGCTTGAACACCATGTAGGCCCTTCCAACTCGAGAGAGAAGGGACACAGTGGCCAACAAGGCCATCACACCCACCGAGCGCAACCATCGGGGTCGACAGGAAAGGTTTCAGGAGCCTCAGGACCCGTTCGAAGGAGAATCAGTCGAGCTTGTGACCAGTGTAATCAACTACGAACAAAGTGCGATGGAAAACATCCCTGTGCGCACTGTATTGGTAGGTCTTGTCTATTTCAGTGGTAGCCGTGTGTTTTGGTTGATTTTCGTTCTATCATTAACTCGTGCTCGGGGCGCAGAATTTGGTCTTGGATGCGAATATATGCGAGAGAAAAAGAAGCGCGGCAAAGCGTCAAGAAAAGACTTAGCCGAGAGAGCTGCGGCACAAGCCGCTGCCGGCGCTTCGAATTATAATGGCGATGCATCTGACGGAAAGGAATCCAGCAACTCTCCTACCACGGATGAGAAAGCTGATGGCTTTGTGGAAAACACCAGAAGCAACTCCATGTCAAGCAGCGGTCTAGCTACAGTTCATGACAATCACCTCCGGGGGGAAATTGGCATCGATGCAGAATTTCGCCATGAACAACCAGCACCCAGCCCAGGGCAATTTGGCGAACTTTCTGGCCAGTCTCACATGCTACCACCGATTCAAATTGATCAGGGAACTATCCATGATGACCGTTCAATGAGCATCAGCAGCTATGGAGGACTTTCGACTAGCTACGACCGGCAAAGCCTTAGCAGTGATGACCTTATGGGCGGTAGCCAGGCATACGGCCATCCGCACCAGAACAATATGCACGGGTATTCAGAGCTGTCATTTGGAATCTTGGGACAAGTTTCGGCGGATTTCGGCAACTCTTCTGGTTTTCGACTCAGCAACAGTCCGCTTGGGGCCTATACGGGTCTAACTTCAACTACATCCTCAGGATGGGGTATGCCAATATCTTCACCACCAGAGCAATTTCAAACACAGATGCAACACGACTTTAGACAGTCGAGGTTGCGGTACCCAGTTTTAGAGCCGTTAATTCCTCATATAGCCAACATTATTCCGATATACCTGGCGTGCGACTTGATCGATCTGTATTTTGCATCGTCTTCTTCGGCCGGCATACATCCAATGTCACCTTATATACTTGGATCGGTTTTTCGAAAACGAGCCTTCTTACACCCTACAAGACCACGAAAATGTCGACCAGCGTTATTAGCCAGTATGCTGTGGGTTGCCGCCCAAACAAGCGAGGCTCCTCTACTTACCAGTGCACCTTCAGCCCGGGGAAAGATTTGCCAGAAGTTGTTGGACTTGACCGTTGGATTATTAAAGCCATTGATCCATAGCTCGTCTATTTATGCCGATTCAAACGCGGGCCAAACCGGCGCAGCCGTTTCTCTGGGTGGCCCTGGTGTGGCGTTACCAGGTTCGATGAGCGTCGAGACTGAACTTAACGGCAATTCCGGCTCCTTTGGATCTTCCGGCCACCTGGACGACGTTGTGACTTATATCCACCTGGCGACTGTGGTGTCTGCTAGTGAATATAAAGGAGCCAGTCTGCGCTGGTGGAACGTGGCCTGGTCCATGGCGCGAGAGTTGAAGCTAGGCCGTGAGTTACCACCGAGCGAACCGCGACCCAGTTTCGAACAAAGCAAAATGGAAACGAATGGGCTGGATGAGCACGATATTCTCCGAAATAGCCCCGGCTTTATTACGGAAGAAGAGAGGGAAGAGAGACGACGAATTTGGTGGCTCGTGTATACTGTGGACCGGCACCTGGCTCTTTGTTATAACCGGCCTTTGTTCCTGCTCGACGTAGAATGTGAGGGCCTTCGGCAACCACTGGACGATGCAGCCTGGCAGACTGGAGACTTTAAGAACTATCCAGCCGACTCCAACATACTAGGAATCCTCCCTGAGAACGAAGAAACTCTTTGTGGGCCGCAGTTTCGGTGCAGGGGATACAGCATTTTTGGCTACTTTCTCCCGTTGATGACTATTCTCGGAGAGATTGTTGATTTGCACCATGCACGAAATCACCCCCGATTCGGTTCCACGTTTAGAGCCTCGCGAGAATGGAGCAACCAGGTATCCGAAGTGAGACGGCACCTCAGAAGCTACGAAGGAAGTCTCAACCTATTCGAAACCCAAAGTTCATTGGCCCAAAACAACAGTGGCCATAGAGATATGAACAGCATCCTGGAGTGCCACAACGGAACGCAGGGGGCTCTCGAATTAAACAGCAGCCCGTCTGCTCAGTCGGTGCATACCACAGCTTCGAGCCGCGTGACTAAAGCAGAGGTCCAGACAAGAACTGTGCTTGCATATGGCACGCACGTTATGCATGTTTTGCATATTCTACTGGAAGGGAAATGGGATCCCGTTAATCTCTTGGATGATGACGACCTGTGGATTTCATCCCCAGACTTTGTGACTGCTTCCGCACACGCTGTAGCCGCAGCAGAGGCGATCAACCAGATTCTTGAGTACGACCCAGGACTAGAATTCATGCCATTCTTTTTCGGCGTTTATCTCCTCCAAGGCTCCTTTTTGCTGCTTCTTATAGCGGATAAGTTGCAAGCCGAGGCTTCGCCAAACGTAGTGAGGGCCTGCGAGACCATTGTACGGGCACACGAAGCGTGTGTCGTGACGCTGAGCACAGAATACCAGGTAAATAAAACCCTCCAAAATACTTGGTAAAAGAAACCGACTAATTTTTGATGGGAATCAGCGCAAATTCAGTAGAGTGATGCGGGGTGCCCTAGCATTAGTCCGAGGACGCGTCCCCGAAGACCTAGGCGAACAACTACAGCGACGACGAGAGCTACTAGGATTGTACCGCTGGACGGGAGATGGTACCGGCTTGGCACTATGATGATACGATTCTACATGTCTGGTGTTTTGTTGGCAAAGCGAACACAAGCGAGTATTATAATTTCGGGACGTCTGCGCTCACTGGTTTCTAAACGCGCGGTGTTTCAAACAGCGGATGAAATGCAAACATTGTAAACCTAGAGAGTATCTCGGCTAGTTTTTCTCAAAAAAAAAAAAAAAGGTCGAAAATGGCAGTCAGCCTGCAGGAAGAGCCGTGAAGCTGCGGAGATTCGTGCGCTTCTCGGGAGGGTTGGGACTTGCGAATTCGAAAACACCATAATTGTATCCGAACGGACGATATATACCGCATGTCAAATAATCTATCGCCTCCATTTTCAGGGTGGTCAAAACCCTAGGTTCTGAAGTCCCGTGGCAGGTTCTCTCATGCGAGTGTAAACGGAGGATGGGCAGTTCCCGTTGGATCCAACGTTCATTTAACAGACCATAGGGATCCAAAACTCGCCCGTCAGCCAGTTTCTCCCAGGATAGGAATATACCATCCTTGTCGCTTCTCCGCATTCCGAAATTGAGGATGCAGTGGCAGGTCCGGCCTTGCTCACAACCTTGCCCCTAGCACTGTCACCCGCCTTAAGAGATGTTTGAGCAGCAAGCCGAAGAAAGAATACAATATAAATCCACCAAAGCGATTTTCCATGCTTGCTGATGATTGTCCTAGCTTTAGAACTTGGTCAAACCGGGCGGGCCGTGTGGGATCTGAAATCGAAGTCTTTGGGAGAGGCGCGGGCGGTCTGGTCAATAGATGCCAAGGCGGTTTTTTTGTCTTCGATGAAGACTTTTCACCGGGCTACGACTCCATTCTTCGTGCATGATCGTTTTACCGAAGCCTTGGCCAATTTCGAAGGTGATTCAGCACTGTCTCTGGCGAAGATGTCCAGGTTTCTGCCTTGCAACCATCGCACATGACGATAGGTTATCAAGACTATTCTCGATGTTTGCTTGTAAAGAGCACAACATCAGTGTTCTTGTTAGCATCATGTGCTTTTGAAAGCGACTTGAACTTCCGCCCATCATTCACTGCATCATGTAACGTGTTGGCACGCGAATGGTCCGTCCCCCGTTTTCCTCCGCGTCACCTCCCTCCCCAACGCGACCATGCTGCAGGTTCCTAGACACAGAAGACAATAACAACTCACCAAGTAGCCAAAGCAGGCGGTCAGCCTCCCCAATGCCCATAACATGGGATTGGTCTGATCTCTCAACTGAGTGAGCTGCCTAAAGCCACACCCCTTCGGCACGGCTCATCGGCAGCCGCACCTTTCTTCTTCTTCTCCAAGGGCGTCCATCTATGATTTTCTCTCTCCGACACGCCACCCTCGAGCGAAAGCATTGATTCTCTGAGAGTTATTCAGACTACGTCTACGCATTTTTTCTTCGCCACCTGTGCTGGTGAAACATATAACATCTCTTCCTCTTCCGTGGCTGGACTGCTGTTGGTGCGTTTGCTGAATCACCTCTTGCTTTGTGAACACGTCGACAAACGGTTCTCCTGAAAGTTGAAACTGAAAACTGATAATACAAGGAGTCATACTCTGTCTCCAAGACCACAAAAACAGAAAGAAAGAAAAAAGGTATGAATCTCGTTTCCTTGTTGGGGCAAGGGGGCCGGGACCCGGGGTTGGGTGAGCCGTGTTTGTTTGTTTCGAGCCACAGCCATCGCATCTTGTCTTCTGGCCTTATCTTCGGTGAGAGGATAGATGCCAAGTTTGCTACTTGGGCTATGCCTTCATGGCCGGAAAGCAGTGTGCTACGTTGCTTGGTGGTGTTGTGGGAAATGCTCACGAGGCCTGGTTTCTGGGGTTGCACCATTTGCTGAGGCATGTCGCGAGAAACGTATTTAATGGCGAGAACTAACCACTTCTTGACGCAGATAACTACTTCTTTATCTATTTTATCCTGAAGCAACACTTGAAATCACCTCGGCTTCCTTGCTTATATCAACAAATCCTTGAAATCTCCTCCATCTTGCTCAGACCTCGAAGCAGTCATCATGACCACATATTACTCCATGGTTCCTGGCCAGGGAAATTCTGAGCTTCGGAGTAATAGTACCAGCGGCCAGGTTCAGAACCAGGGATTGATGTTTCCGGATACTACCCCAGTTGCGCCGAGTGCCGTTATGAGCAACGGCTTTCTGGACCACGATATGCATCCAAACAACTTCAACTTCAACTCTGAGCCTGGAAGCCATATGACACCCCAGGCAGTTGGCTCAAGTTTTCATTCTGATCTTCGTTTTACAGGTGGTTACTTGGAGAATCAGGCCGTCTCAAATGCACTTCCTTTTGAGACCGTCCCGCCGTCTATGCAGACGCCGGCGGCAACTCGCGTATATCCTCTCCGTCCTTCGAGCCCCGCTCCCGGTACGGCTGAGCAGTCAGAGGTAAACTTTCAAGGCTATCCGCTCGATTTAGTCTGTCTTACCATTCTTGACAACAGTGGTCCTGAAGAGCTGGCGCGCCGACAGCTAGCAATCGAGCAAAACCAGGAGAGCCACCGGCAGAATCCGCCCGTGATTCCCGACCACACCCTCGGTGAAATGGCTCCCAAGCAAGTCTTTCCGGACTTCGTCAAGCCCAGCCAGAACACCTCGCCCGAGGAAAAGCTCCTCATGGAGCGCGAGAACAACAGACTCGCCGCCCAGCTGCAGAAAGAAGATCGAGCCCGCAACAACGAGGCAGCCAAGCGCAGCCGCCTTGCCAAGTCTGAGGCACTATCCAATGCCACCAAGCTGAATGTCACCCAGTTCATCCGGATTGCGTGGTTGGAAGCCAAGGTGATTGGCCTTGGTGGCAATCCTGGCGACTTCGACTGCATCCGCCCAGACATGCTCCTCAAGATCCGCAACGACGTGCTTGCGCGCATGGACGTCGTCTATGCCCGGCGCAAAAAGAACAGGACCGAGCAAGAGTCCCATAGGAGATCGCTTCGGAACAAGGACCGCCAGCGGAAGAAAGCGGCGGCCAACGAGCGCTTTGCTCGCCAGAGAGCTGATGCCGCTCGTGCCGCTGCCGCGTCTACTCCTGCTACGCCCGAGACGCCGGTCCAGGCAGCACCTCAGAATGGAATGACGAACTCAATGGATTGGGTCTCGTTCGTTCCATCTTACGACTTTGGTCAGACCTAGTCGCGACTCGCGAGGATCAGCTATCCCTTGGTCGGCGGGGGTTGACAAGGTAGCGACTTGCATTGGGCACAGATTTGGATGGGACAGCGAGTTTGAAAACATCGAAAGGGGACACATGCGGAATCGGATATCAGCGAAATTTCCAGAGATAAAAGTTTGGCGTTTCACTGGAAATTGCGGCACGGGTCAAGCTCTCTTCTCGGGCTCAGAGGTTCTTTGTGCCCGAATCAGGGGCCAGTTCGTTCAGTTATTTTTCTCTGCGAATACGTGACATGACCTCCTTTGAGACGAGTCTTTGAATGAACGAGACTGGCCTTGTTATAGGACGTATGTCTATTTTTCTAATAATTCAAGACACTCTGCGTGTTCATATTGCGTTCAGGGGGCGGGTTGTTGCTCTTGCGCTAATTGTTGTGTCGGATAGGGCGCTCGCGTTAGAGCAGATTGCCATCAGCGAAGTCGGTATGTCTTTAGTGAATTTAAGAAAACAGTTTTCATGTCTTTATCTTGCAGACGTTTGGTTCGAAAGGTCCGAGATCGGGGCTGGGATCGTGCCACGCGGGTCCTCATTCTGGCCTTGTTTGCGGTCATGGTGCTCTTAGGTGTTTGCTTTCGCCGAGCAATCCTCTCGACTTGCATGATGGACCTTCGGGGGCTTCTAAAATATTGCGATGATATCCAAGCTGCCATGGGTGTCTTGAGCGAGTACCGATCAGTTTTAGTGCGCTCTATAATTCTACATACATGCTCGTGGCATTCGCGCAGCCACCAATCTCATAACTGTATCATAACTGTAGTTGACCGCCTCTTCGTGGCCATTGTAAGTCTTCAAATGCACATGCATGGTCGCTGGTCTATACAACCCAACCGTCCAGACGGTCTATCGTCTATGATGCACTAACCGGCCCTTGACCCAAACCTTCTTGGTGTTCCGGTCATCCCCGTTGTAAAGCCACTTGGCAATACGCTCCTCCCACGTCTCCCAGCCAAAAATATCCACATTGCCGGCATCCACGTAGCCATCATCGTCCTCGCCGGCCCTCGACCCATCGTCCTGCACCTGTGCCAGAGCAATCAGCTGCGCGTCCAGCTGCTTGCCCACCTCGAAGCCGCCGACCCTGTCGCCGAGACCTAGACAGTGCGCACCGCCCCTGGTGGCAAGATACAACGCCTCCTCGACGGTCAACTTTGTCTTTTCCCGCAGCACCTCATCCCCGATCTGCATTGCCAAATGACGACTCGTGAGCGTGGCCTGCCTTGCGGCTTCTAGTATTGATGGCGAATAGCCGCCACTCATATCGGTGCCCAGACCGACTTCAATGCCCTGTTCCCACATCCAGCGGACGCGGGCCTCACCGCTGGTAAGCGACGAGTTGCTACAAGGGCAGTGGGAGACCTTTGACTCGCGCTGCGAAATAAGACGCGCCTCGTCCTCGGTGATATGAACCGCGTGGGCGAGTACGGTTTTGGGTGTGAGGAGACCATGGTCGTCGTAGACTTTCGCGTAGGATCCTGAATCGGGGTACATGTCGGCAACAAGCTGGATTTCGCTTTTATTCTCGGAAATGTGAGTCTGAACGGGCAAGTCCTCCCTTTTCTGAATGGCGGAAAGGCCCTTCATCCCTTCTGAGGAACAGGATGGTGCGAAGCGAGGGGTCAAGATGGGCGAGATGAGTTCATAGCCGGGATCAATCTCTTTGATATGCGCAATGGACTCCATGGCATTGTGGAGAGACTGCTCGGCAGATTCGTCACGGTAGTACGAGGGACATAGCTCCTTTCTATCCATGCAGACTCTCCCCACGAAGGCGCGCTGGCCGATAGACAGACACAGGTCCGCGAGGAGGTTGGTCGCGGGCACGTCCACGGTTGCGTAGTAGGTTGCGGTGGTGGTGCCGTGGGAAAGGGTTCTTCGCACGCAGGCGGTGTATACTTTGCGAGCTTTGGCGAGGTCTGAGAGAGACGATTCGAGGGGGAATGTGTATTTCTCTAGCCAGTCTAGGAGGGTGGATTTGCCGAATATGCCTACGTTGGGGTATTGCGAGGCATGGACGTGGGTGTCTATACACAGTCGCGTGTTATTCTCCTGTTCCTGTGAGTTGAGCAAGGCCATGCATACCTATGAAGCCAGGAAAGAAAAACTGTCCCTCGCGACACGCAACCACGTCAACATCGCTGTGCGTCCACCCTGTCTCCTCCAAAACCCTGTCCTTGGCCACATTCACGCTCTCGCAGTCCCTCGCAATAGCGACAATCGTGCCGCCATGGTCGACTGCAACACCCGCGTTATGAATGTACTCCAGCTCCGTACGGGATTTGCTGTGGATAAAGGTTCCCAGAAGGACATGGAACTTCCTAGGTCCCGAGGCCAGTCTCGTAGGCACCATGTTCAAGGGATAAGAATTGTCATTGCACGAGGTAAACGGCAATGAAAGAGAAGAAGAAGCAAAATGCCAGTTTACAAAGCCCAGCTCTGGCAGTGAAACTCGATTGAAGATAGACGGTGAGTAAAGGGGTCGTCGCACAACCACGTGGTTCCCCGCATGCACGATCCCTGTCGCCAACCGGGTGAAGCACAGATGCAAAAGAATGATTGCGGAAAGGGAAAAATTCAAGGAACAAGTTGGAACAAGTTTCCTGACGGAAGCGGCAGAGATCCTTCCTTCCTTACCTACTACGTCGTACCCAGGTACCCATTATGGAGTTCAGAGACCAACAAGGGCAGACGTCTGGACCCACCGACAATTGGCTTTTGGACGCGGTCGTCGCCGGTGCCCGAATTAATGCCGTCATTTTTTTTTATCTTTCTCTTCTGGCTACGTCGTCGTATTCGAGATAACGGGACAAGGATAACTGCATAATCCACCGTGTACATGCATACGTACGATGCATGCATGTACGCGAGACATTGAATCGCAACCTTGCCGAAGACGACCCAGAAGCACAGAACATCAATCTTGAACATGGTGAAACTCCACACTTAAAATAATGCATAGCATGTCTATTAATAAATCGTAACACTGTTCCTTCTAACTAGGTACAGCAAGGCTGTGATAGTACATCAAAATTTCCACAAAACAACTCATGATTTGGTCAATCTTCATCCCACCATTATCATGACGACCGATGCCATCCCTGTCGTCGTCGTCTGAAAAATGAGGGACCTGGCTTGCTTCCACCATGCAAAGGTCTATAGTGCAATAGTTATTTTGCCTTCTTATTTCATAATGAATGCTCATCTCTTTCTTCTCTTGTCCCTTCTCTCGTTGCCTTCTCGCCCGCTAATCACCCCTTAGGCCGCGGCACCAGGCCCGTCGTAGCCCACGCTTGATGAGCTGTCGCTAACAGCCTTGCTCTCGTCCTCTTGCGTGTACTTGTCCCAATTGGCCAACACAGCACCAATCTTGGGTGAGTTGGTCAGCTTGTAGACATCTTCAAAGTACTCCTTGGTGAGCTCAAAGGGCTTGGCGGTAACGTTGGGAATGTACTTTCCAACCAGCTTCGAAGGATCAATCGTCGTCTTGTTGATCTTCTTGAGCAGGAATGAACGGAAAGGCTTGACGCCCGATCGCAAAAAGGTAGAGTGGAAAGGAACATCGATCCCGCGTAGAGGGATTGTGGCAAATCCACGCTCCAACTCCAGCGGAAGAGGCTTCTTCAGAGTCGCCTCGGCGCATCCGCGAATGATCTTGCGAAGAGCATCCTTGGCTTCCTCGATGTTGCTTCGCATTTGCTCAATATCGATTTGCTGCATCTTGAGAAAGTTTGTTACCCCGGCGAGTGTGTCCAGGGCACGCAAGTCACCAGCACAAACGTACTGCATGTTGGCAATGTTGTAGTTGACAATTTCTAGTAGCCAACCCGTCTCCTCGGCAATGTTGTTGACAACGAACTGCAGAGCCTCTTCATTAAACGTCTTGGAGATACGGCTGGGATTGACAGCACACATAGAGTAATTGGATCGGCCAGCAGCGTCACGCTCCACAGCCACTTGCATGGTCAAGCCGCGATAGAAAACGACAGAAACCAAGGACTCAATAGGCATGACGTCTGCCAAGGCAGCAAGGGCAGAATATTCACCCAGAGAGTGACCAGCAAAGGTGCTGTCACGAGGCACGAGGCCCTTGGACTTCATATCTTCGAAGCTAGCCTTCTCCATCAACGTCAGCGCAGGCTGCGTAAATTGGGTAGCTGATAGGAGACCAGTAGGTGATCGATAAGTATATGAAGTCGTGCTTTCATCAATCTCCTTGAAAATCCGCTCAGACTTGATAGAGCCATCTGCGGCAACTGTCTCAAAAGTCATGGCCATGTAGTTCTGGCGGATAGCCTTGCCTCGTGGACCACCGAAGTGAATGGTAAGTTCCTTGGGGTTATTCTTGACGATATTCGTGATGGAGAAGCCTGGCCCTTGGTTAGCTGCTGCATCTACAGAAAACGTGTTGCAATGGTAACATGTAAAAGAGCACTTACCATAATTGTCGAGGAGGTACTTGTCAGCCCGATCCCAAACCTCCTTGGCGACAGGACTGCTACCATAGAGTTCCATACCCATACCCTGCTCCTGTGAGCCTTGGCCTGTGAAGACGTAGGCTGTTACAGGCTGTTCGACTTCGGCCTCACCCAGCAAGACCTTCTCCTCACTCTCAGTATTGCTAACCTCGACCTTAATGATCTTGCGGCCGGCAACCATACCAACATGCTGCAGCTTCACCTGAATGTCATCATTGGGCAGAACCATCCCGGCAAATGTGGCTTGGAAACTCCGGACACGGCCAATATCGTTCTCGGCTGCCCAGGTCTCAACTAGGCTTCGCACGGCTGCACTAGAATACATGCCGTGGGTAATGGTGCCTGGCAGGTTGGCGTAGGTGGAAAAGACACGAGAAACGTGGATGGGGTTGTAATCTCCAGAGACACGAGCGTACGTCTCGTTGGAAGAAGGGGCACGCAGTTGCAGAGGAGTCTTGCCACTGAGAGGAATAGAATTCTCGAAAAGAATGGGCTGGTCCAGAGGAGAACCATGACGTTCCAGGTAGTCCATGACGGGGTTACCGTGAGACTCGCCAGCTTCATAGTCAACGCTGGCAACCTGGATAACTTCCTTGGTGGGGAGCTCCAAGAGAACCTGGCCTCGAGTCTCAGCGCTGCTGAAGACGTTCTTGTTTTTGTACCTGACAAGCGACTGAAGCTTGAAAGTCAAGGTCTGGCCAAGCAGATCAATGTCACTAGGGAGTTCATCACTGTTGAACCACTGCTTGGAGCGAAGGACAGCAACATCTTTAGTAGTAGCCAGGTGGACTTGCACAGGCGTTTCAATCTTGCGCTGGAAAGTGTTCTCGTAGTCGGAGTACTTGCCACGGTACAGGAACTGTGACGTTACTTCCATGACAGGTTTGCCGTCACGAGAAATAGTACCACAGACTTCAACCATCTTGCCGGCCTCCTGGTTGATAACTGCGTTAACCTGTGCAGTGGTGGCAACTTCGTCACCCTTTTTGAGAGGCTCGGCACCAGGGATCATACGGAACTGGTTGGACAAGTGAACCAACTTAAGCAAGTCACCATCGATAGTGCGGGGGAAGATGGGCTTGGTAATTGCCTTCCACCCAACCACGATTGCGAAGTCCATAGGAGCATTAACAATCTTTCCAGGTCTATCGACAAAAGCCTCACCAGTGTTGCCAACGGCGTGGACAAAGTCGTTAATGGCCTCACTGGTAATGGTGGTGCGGCCACCATCGAATGTGCTGGTAATAAGGGCATCCAGATTCAAGGGCTCCTCGCCGAACCATGCCTTCCAGTAGAACTCCTTGATACGGTCGTTGCGATCCGTCATTACTTCGCGAATCGGAGCGTAGCCAGCCTCAGGGTTATAGGTAAACTTGAGAGGCATAGCAACAGGCCTGCCAAGAGCAGTGGTATCCTTGATTAAGTTGACGAGAATTTCATTCTTGCCGACGAGTTTTACCTCGATGACATCGACGTATTGGTTGTGTCGAGGCTGTTCTCGGACAATAATGGTGGTCTTGGAAGGGTCGTTAGGATACTGGATTTCAACAAACAGGCCACGAGTAGGAGCAAAAATGCGTTTCAGCGGGTTGGTCTGGAACTTCTGGCCCTGAACGACAACATCCGACATGAGGAGAGCATGGCGCCAGTTGCGATTGGGACCGGCAAGCAAAGCCAACCAAGACTCCAGGGAAGGAAGCGAAGCACTAGCCGCAAAAGACAAGCGATAGGTGTTTTTATGAGTGTCGTAGGCAACAGTAAGACCCTCAACATCTAGAGGAATCTCAGATTCGACCAACTTGCCACCGAAATATTCGACAAAAGGAATGGAGCCCTCATCATTATTGTACATGTCCCGAGTAAGCATCTTGATGTGTGACTCGTGAATGCCATCCAGAATATCTTTGATAGGCTCGTCGACGACGGTTGAATACTTGACGGCAGCAGGACCCTGGAGAACACATGTTCGGCCAACATCCTGACCAATCACGGCATCCAAATCTTCGGACTGCCAAAGGGAGTCCTTCTTGAAAAAGAACTCAAAGTTGTCGTCAAGAGAGGGAATGAAGGTGACGGGCTTTTGAGTGGGTTGCAGGCAGAGCATCAAGAAGTGCTGAACATCCTGAGCATTAATGATCTGCGTCTCGGCTTCGGGGTAGTGAGAGAGAATACGCTCCACGGTCGAAAAGGGCTCATTGAGGTCGGCGTAATTCTGAAGAAGAGACGCTTTCCCAGCAGTGCTGGTGAAACGCTCTTCGACGCGGTGAATGAAATCACCAGTCAATTTGACATAGGTAGGGTCGATCCAACGCTTCTGGTCTTTGACGTAGAGAAGCTCAACCATTCGGCGAACAACCTCACCATAAGTCATGTCCTCCAGGTCACAGGCCTTGCCTTGCTTGTTGCAGCCGAACCAAACCTTCTGGAAATCATCGTTTAGGCGCTTAATAATGTAGTCACGGTTCTTCTTGAGCTCAGCAACACGCTTCTCCTTGGGCAAGCTAAAGATCTTCTGGTCCATCTCGGCCCAGAAACGAACGCCGCGGGTGGCCAACTTGTGGATGGGCTCACCCATTTCGGAACGGACTGTGATGACACCGCCAGCAGGACCCTTGTAGGTCTTCTCCCACTCACTGTCGTCCAAACCAGGGGCGTCGATAATTGCTTGTTTGGCATCCTTGCTGGTATGGGCTTCCTTGGCAACCATCATGCGACTGCCAAACAAGCAACCATCGAAGGGCATAGGAGGGTAACCATATTTCTTAGCCCAGTCGCCGGTGATGTAGGGATAGGTGTCCTCCGCGCCACCAAAACCGCTACCAGCGACCAAAATAATATTTTCCTGGCGACGAATGCGACCGTACATTTGTAGGATAGGCTGATGGAAATCCTCGAAGGAGTGGTGGCCGCCGCCACGGCCCCCAGTCCACTGTAACAGAACGGGGAAGTTGGGGTTAGCCTTGGCAATGTTAACGACGGCTTGAATAGCCTCAACAGAGCCGGGCTTGAAGCCAATGTGCTTAAGCCCAAGAGTCTCAATATACTCCTGAGCAACCTCAATGGAAGGAACACCGGCACCAATAGTTAATCCCTCGATAGGCACTCCCTCGGCTCGAAGCTTACCAAGCAAAGGAATCTGCCAAGCCATAGCGCGGGGATTGACATAGATCAAGTTGACAGTAATACCACGCCCAGAAGGGATTGCCTTTTCAATCTTAAGCAAGGCGTCGGTCATCATGCCAGGCATGAAGTAGCCACCACCAGCAAGTTCAATGTGGTAACCAGCGTTCATAGTAGCAGCAACAAAGTCCCAAGGAACAGTGCAAGGCGTCATGCCAGCGACGACAATAGGAGCCAATCCCAGCAAACGGCTCATCTTGGTATCGAGATACTTGCGGCCGCCAGAAGTCTTGACCAAACGAGGCCCGAACTCCTTCACCCAGTCAATGGCATATCGCAGCGCATTCTCTTCGTCTCTATCAAAGATCTCGGGCTTGTAGCCAACCTCGTTCATGGTCCCCTCAATGGTACCAGCGAGGATGACGCGAACACCAGTGCCCTCCTTGTTTCGGCTGGTCAAGGTACCAAGACCGGAAACGCCTCCAGGGCCAAAATCAAGGATATGGGTAGCATCAGGGAAGATGGTAGCCTTCTCCCAGTTCACAGGGTCACGGGTGATCAATCGCACGAGGGCAGGAACAATGTTGCCCTTAACTTCAGTTCGAAGGTCCTTGCCTGTGTTGGTATCGAAAACGGGGATGCCAAGATCTTCAGCATCGATAGAAATATTCTTGAGATCGGCATCAATCATCTCGGTAGCCTCAGCAAGGTATTTGCTGTGGAAAGGTGCGGTAATGGGCAAAAAACGATTCACAAAGCGGACCTTACGGTCGGTGTAAGGAACACGAGTCTGATCTAAGCCAGTGGGAGCCTTGACCTTTCGTAACCGAGAGTTGAGACCATAAAGAGAGGTAGGTGGACCAGTTACAACCAGGTTGCGAGGGCTGTTGATAAGTGAGATATTGATATGTCGGTGTGGAGGAAGGTATTGATTTGTTGCATCGATATGCTTCTGAACCTCCTGCTGGGAGAGATCTCGGATACTCAACATGGGGGTTGGGTTACCCTCACCGTGCTCAATGGATTCGCGAAGCATGGTAGGTGTCATAGAGGTTGTAGGGAAAGCCTGCTGACTCCTTGTACCAACCCAGAACAGAATAGAGAGCGTTGAGCTGACAATCTCGCGCCATGATTCCCAATCATCGGCAGCAGAGGTTGCGGCGGCCATGACAATGCCTTGAGAATGGCCGGTGCTGCCACTGATGCGCTCACGAAGCATACCAGGGTGTACACCTAGAGTCTTGCAGGTGACCTCATAATGGGCCATCTGGACAAGACCAATCAAGGGAAAACTAACGGGAGCGGAAATCAGATACTCAACATCGGGAGTTGAGTCGGGATGCTGTAACCAGTTCATGATGTCCAAGCCCTTGGGGAACATCTTCTCTGCGCTAGGATTGGTGGACAGCGTCCTCAGCTGCTCAGCGGCCGATGTGACGAGTTCGCCGATAAAGCTAGAGTAGGTCTGGAAAACTTGACGGAGCTCGTCAAAATACTCCTCGATGTTGCCCTGTCCACCAAATATGGTATAGATATCGGCAGAACCGTCGCCAGCGGCTCGAAATAGAGCAGACTCGTGAGGCTTGATGGTTCTGTTAGAGACGGCGCGAGCCATGTAGTAGGAGCGGATAACTTCGAGTTTCTTCATTTCAATGCCCGGGAGGGCAGCAGCAATGGCGTGGACCTCATTGCCGCGGAGAAATGCTCGCTCAAATTCATTAAGAACCAGCTTCAAGACCTCCTCGTATGAACCCTGAGCATCGTCCTCACCGTCCTCAACCTCTTTGGCGACGAAGCCGAGATATCGAGCTACCAGCTCAGCAACGGATGATGGCTCGTCATCTTGAGCAAGCTCGTCTGTAGCCGTGGGCAAGCTAGCCACAAAGCGGTCTTTGATCTGGGAGGCGTGGAAGTGAAGGCTGGTGGGAACGAGAAACGATGTTTCGAGACTACCGTGGATGAGGGTCAAAGGTCGGAGGGAGGCGCTGGATCTGGGCGTGGAAATGCCCGTTTGAGGGCCTGTGCCAGTGCCGTACATGATAGATTATTTCGTCGGCAGAGAACGGATGAGAGGGTATCGAGCAAAATCTGTAAATAGTAACGAAAATCCTTAGTCAGTCCAGCAATCCACCATTGGCAAGTTTTTTTTTTCAGTTGGCGAGCTAGCAATTCTAGCAATCAACGTTCTGTATGCAACATACCTATGAATTAATTAAAGTATGGCAGAACTAGCTCCGTGACGATTGCTCGTGGAATGAAAATAGGGCGGGCGAGCCGGACCAGTTCAATCGAATGCGCAATTGCTCAACAAGCTTGGCCGGGGATGGCGACCAAGAGTACGAAGCGGTTGCGGAACAGGTGAAGAACAGGGAGAACGAGCTTCTGTAGGAGCAGGTGTGCAGCAACAACAAATGCCAGCAAACACCTAGGATGGGCTCACAATGAAGCGTATACGGGAGAAATGGCAGAATGAGGAGGAAGAATTACAAGGTTAGTTGGAGATTGGGACGAGGGGGGTGGAAATGAGATACGGATTCTCGAAGACGCTCCCAAAGGTGTGGAAAAAGTGCCAAAACCGCAGCCACACCCAAATCTCTCCCAACGTTGACAGTCAGCTTGGAGAGTCGAGGCACAACCAATGGTCGAGGAGGAAAATCGGGCCAGTTGTTTATGGTTCAGATTGGGGTCGCGGCCAGTTAGTATCGTCTAAGTAGTTACAGCACAGCACGGCGTACAACACAACGACGGCGCTGTGAACTGGACCGGTCGACATTGAGCATGTCCCAATAATCCAGGACGCAGGCCCCCAACTTGGATGACCAGGCCAGGACATTCCCAAGTCCCAACCCCCGCCGCTCAATCAGAGTCTAGCTCGCTCCCAAGTGGGCTGTGTGGGCTGCGGCGCCCAGGAGACGTACCGGGAGCTCGGGGCGTGGCTCGCCAATTTTTTTTTTTTAAGTTCTGTTGGGGATAGTCGCAACATCAACTCGACTCCATTCTCGAAAATTGACTGCTCCCACTTTTTTGGCTCCCCTGACAGAGGGATGGACAAGCTGACTAGCACCAGACCGTTTGGCACATGTACATACAGTCTAGTGGCGCCCCAGCAGGCTTCCTTCCTTCATGCTAGAGGCTTGCATGTACTGGTACTTCTGCACTCTCCTGGGCGAGGATCTGATGTTGAGACGCTCAATGTCATCTGCCGCAGTCAGTGATGCGTGATTCTATGCACTTCCCGTCGCCCGGCCCGAGCGATTCTCGCGAGGGGCAAACTGTGGCGGAAGAAGGCTTTCGCCGTGGCTTCAGTTGCAGGGTCAAGCCAGTGGGATCTCTTGTTTGATGGCTGTTGCCACGTTGAGAATTGGAACGTTATCAAGGTAGTAGTATCATGTATGTAGAACTACCGCGCTTATCTACCTCGTACTAAGGTGGCGGGAAATACATGTCTCATCGATGAATAGGGAGCTTTGGTTCCAGAGCAGCCGCTTCTGCATCCATCTGAAATATTCTACGGAAATGCTCAAATGCACAAGGAGTTTTTGTTGATGACGCTGCATCAGACTCAATCATGCGCGGTGTCTTTAGTCCCGAACTCCGAGCCGCACGTCCTACGGGCTGTCATGTTTGCGATGGGGCAGGGAACGGCAATTATACATGTATGACACGCCGACATGTTGTACCTCAGGTAAGTAGGAAGAAAAAGGCTGGGTGCATGTGCAATGCATTTATCAAGTGCATACCCAAATAGAAAAGGGCCACGATGAGGTGTACGGAGTGATCCCGTGCTCTTCTCTTATCTCTTCATTCTGCTGCGTCTTCTGACGGAGCCTTGTGCCAACATGAAATGTTTGGCATGGGCCAACAACATCCAATATCGATGGGGAAAGAATAAAGGGGGCTCTGTTGGACCAGAATTCGCCAACTATACACGCAACTGCAGAGTCTCTGTTCGATGACTAGGTCTATTGCCGCCTCCGCCTCCGCCTCCGCTTCCGCTTCCGCATGAACGATCTTATCTTAACTTGTACTGCTGGCATCTTGTTGAAATCTCTGTCGTTCTTCGACGTTCCGCAGCGGCCGTGGCTTTGCACTGGCTGCGTACTTAGATGTACCAGTACTTTCAGTTGACGTGCCCAGCGGAATCTTTGCAGCTTGCCGTCGTCACCCGCCGCACCAACTAAGCGTGCATGAGTGGCCTGGGCTGCCAGGGGTCTAAGAACAGCCGATTCAATATCGCTGCAGGAAATAAACCGTACCCATCCAGCCGTCGTGGCTCACCAATTTTGGACTGGATGTACTCCGTACGTACCTGGACAAGGCTAAACTCTGGAACTGAAATTTGCCGGGTGCCGTTTGGCTGGGCATTGCCGGAGCCTACTTTTGTCCACCGAGGCCGCGATATTATTCATGTTCACCGACATGTACGGAGTACTATATTCAATGACGTAGTCTCTTTCGCATATGGCGCGAGCATCTCATCGCAGATTGTCGCGCCATGATAGGGACCCAATATGCTCGCATCAACCTTGGAGTGCTTGACCTGCTAGTAGTACGCATTACGAAAACTTTTCAATGCTAGGCAAAAAGTCCGTGGAGGCCAAAAAAAAATGCGATGCCACACATCGCGATATCCGGGGTGGTGTGTCAGAAACTCATCAATAGCGTGGAAGTACCGCTACGAAATCGGAACAGCCAGTAAAATGGTTCGGATTGCACCAGCACTCCGCCCCAAGGGGTTTAGCGCCCCAATATGGTTGAGAAAACCCGTCATCCTGTTAGTACTCTGTTCCAGGAGCCGGTCTCCGTGAGGCAAAGGCGCAAGGCCACTGCACCTGCAGGTGGCCCGCCAAATATCTGGAAACACTTTTGAGGTCCCCCAATTTTTTCTGCCCCTGCCAACTTTTTGGTGGGGCCGCTTGGTTCAACAATCGAATGCTGGTGTCAACTCGGCCCAGCGGTGCAATCCAACAACCATGCTGCCTGGCTGAGTCCAATCTAATCGTCCAGTGCCAATTGCTGTGAGGTACCAGTACGTGCGGCGACCCGCCCAGCCTGGCGTGTTCCTCCCGGTCAATCCCTTCGCCTTTTTGCCTGGCCCTGTATGCTCTACAGTGCCATTGGCCCAACGAAGGGCTTTCGGTGAACCATCACCTCCTTCTCTACCTCTCTTTGCGCATACCTTCATCTCTCCTCATGCCTGGTTCTGTTCTGAGATTCTTCCTTCGCGAATCCTGTTGAGCGTTCTCACTGGATAGGGAGACATTGGCAACGTCTGATTTACCCTCTTTACCGTTTTAATTCTGTGACCTATTTTCCTTCCCTCAGAGACCTTCCGCAACAACTCAGGAGCTCCCGCCTAACAGCTCCTCTCAAAAACCAAATTTACCACACGACCCTGCCGACAATTCGTAGGCCAAAGGCGTCTCCGTTGCGAACTGAATAGTGGCTACCCATTAAGATTAGCTATTAGATACACTCACGCCTCTCACGGCCGGCTCAAAACTCTCGAAGACAAACACATACACATCTCTAAATCCGTCACCATGCGGCCCGAAGTCGAGCAGGAGCTTGCTCATACTCTGCTCGTTGAGCTTTTGGCATACCAGTTCGCCTCGCCTGTGAGATGGATTGAGACCCAGGACGTGTTCCTCGCCGAGAGGACGGCAGAGCGTATCGTCGAGGTTGGTCCTGCCGACACCCTCGGCGTTATGGCCAAACGTACTCTGGCATCCAAGTACGAGTCTTACGATGCTGCCAAATCCGTTCAGCGACAAATTCTTTGCTATAACAAGGATGCAAAAGAAATCTACTATGACGTTGATCCTGTCGAGGAGGAGCCTGAACCTGTTGCTGGCTCAAGTGCTCCAGCTGCAGATGCTAGTTCTCCTGCCGCTGCTCCTGCGCCTGTTGCCGCCGCTGCTGCTCCGCCAAGCTCCGGCCCTGCTGCTCAGGTTCCTGATGAGCCCGTTCAGGCCATTGATATCGTACGCACTTTGATTGCTCAGAAATTGAAGAAGCCTTTTTTGGAGGTCCCGTTGAGCAAAGCAATCAAGGACCTTGTTGGCGGTATGTACCCTTGGAATACGCGGCATTCCTTACGCCGAAAAATGACTGCGCAACTCCAGTTCCCCCAAACGCTAACATTTTTTGAATAGGCAAATCTACGCTGCAAAATGAAATCCTCGGTGATCTGGGCAAAGAATTCGGTTCGACCCCCGAAAAGCCGGAAGATACCCCACTAGACGAACTTGGTGCCTCCATGCAGGCAACTTTCGATGGCAACCTGGGCAAGCAGTCTCAGTCCTTGATTGCAAGATTAATATCTTCCAAGATGCCTGGTGGTTTCAACATCACAGCTGCTCGCAAGTACTTGGAGACAAGATGGGGCTTGGGGGCTGGTCGTCAGGATGGCGCCTTGCTGTTGGCGCTAACCATGGAGCCTGCTGCTCGTCTTGGATCTGAAGGCGATGCCAAGGCCTTCCTTGACGATGTTACCCAGAAATATGCTGCCAATGCTGGGATCAGCTTGACTAGCACTTCATCTTCCGGTCCCGCTGGCGGTGCCGGTGCCGGCATGATGATGGATCCTGCTGCAATTGATGCTCTGACCAAGGACCAGCGGGCTCTGTTCAAACAGCAACTTGAGCTGTTTGCCCGCTATCTAAAGATGGATCTTCGATCCGGCGACAAGGCTGCTATTAATTCGCAGAAATCTGAAAAGGTTCTCCAGGCCCAGCTTGACCTGTGGACCGCTGAACATGGTGATTTCTACGCCGCCGGTATTGAACCCGTATTTAGCCCTCTCAAGGCCCGTACCTACGATTCTTCTTGGAACTGGGCTCGTCAGGATGCTCTTAGCATGTACTTCGACATCATTTTCGGTCGCCTTCAGGTCATCGACCGTGAGATTGTCAGCCAGTGTATCCGCATCATGAACCGCTCCAACCCCAAACTCTTGGACTTCATGCAGTACCACATTGATAACTGTCCCACCGACCGCGGAGAGACATACAAGCTCGCCAAGGAGCTAGGGCAGATGCTTATTGAGAACTGCAAGGAGGTCTTGGACGTCTCTCCGGTATACAAGGATGTTGCCGTTCCAACTGGTCCCCGTACGACGGTCGACGCTCGTGGCAATCTCAACTACGAGGAAGTTCCCCGCGCCAGTTGCCGCAAGCTCGAGCACTATGTTCAGCAAATGGCCGAGGGTGGCAAAATCTCTGAGTATGGCAACCGTACCAAGGTTCAGAACGACCTCCAGCGCATCTACAAGCTCATCAAGCAGCAGCACAAGATGTCGAAGACATCTCAGCTTGAGATCAAGAGCTTGTATGGCGACGTCCTGCGCTCTCTTGCCATGAATGAGAGTCAGATCTTACCCAAGGAGACAAATAAGGGCAAGAAGAGTGGCCTCCGTGGCACTAGCCAGAACAAGGGCAAGGTTGAGACCATTCCCTTCCTCCACCTCAAGCGTAAGACTCTCCACGGCTGGGACTACAGCAAGAAGCTCACCGCTGTCTACCTTAACTGTCTTGAGGATAGCGCCAAGGATGGTGTAACTTACCACGGCAAGCATGTCCTCATGACGGGTGCTGGTGCTGGATCAATTGGTGCTGAAGTCCTGCAAGGCCTCATCAGCGGTGGTGCCAAGGTCGTAGTGACCACCAGCCGATTCTCTCGCGAGGTCACCGAGTACTACCAGTCTATGTACTCCCGATACGGATCTCGTGGCTCTCAGATTGTTGTAGTCCCATTTAACCAGGGCAGCAAGCAGGATGTGGAGGCTCTTGTTGAGTATATTTATGATCCAAAGAATGGTCTCGGATGGGACCTTGACTACATTGTTCCTTTTGCTGCCATTTCCGAGGCTGGGCGCCAGATCGATGGCATTGACTCCCGCTCTGAACTAGCTCACAGAATCATGCTCACTAATCTCATCCGCCTTTTGGGTTGCGTCAAGACTCAAAAAGCTGAGCGTGGCTTTGAGACTCGTCCAGCTCAGGTTGTCCTTCCTCTATCCCCTAACCACGGTACATTTGGTAACGACGGTCTCTATTCGGAATCCAAGCTTGCTCTTGAGACCCTCTTTAATCGTTGGTACTCTGAGAGCTGGGCCAACTACCTTACTGTTTGTGGTGCCGTCATTGGCTGGACTCGTGGAACTGGGCTCATGTCTGGCAACAACATTGTTGCTGAGGGCGTTGAGGCTTTCGGTGTCCGCACTTTCTCTCAGCAAGAAATGGCCTTCAACCTGCTTGGTCTCATGTCACCGACCATTGTCGATCTCTGCCAAGCAGAGCCAGTCTTCGCTGATCTCAACGGCGGCCTGCAGTTTATCCCCAACCTCAACGAGGCTATGACCAAGCTACGCAAGGACATTATGGAGACTAGCGAAATTCGGAGGGCTGTCTCAAAGGAAAGCGCCATCGAGAACTCTATCGTCAATGGTGCCGACTCCGAGGTCCTATATAAGAAGAAGACGATTGCACCACGCGCCAATATCAAGTTTGACTTCCCCCCCTTGCCTGACTGGAAGAACGATGTTTCTCCTCTCAACGATAAGCTCAGGGGCATGGTCGACCTGGACAAGGTGGTTGTTGTTACCGGTTTTGCCGAAGTCGGCCCTTGGGGTAATTCTCGTACCCGATGGGAAATGGAGGCATACGGAGAGTTCTCCCTCGAGGGCTGCGTCGAAATGGCTTGGATCATGGGTCTCATTCGCAACCACAATGGTGCCATCAAGGGCAAACCTTACTCTGGCTGGGTCGATGCCAAGTCTGGTGAGCCTGTTGACGACAAGGACATTAAGCAGAAGTACGAGAAGCACATTTTGGAGCACTCTGGTATCCGTTTGATTGAGCCTGAACTCTTTGAAGGCTACGATCCCAACCAAAAGCAGCTGCTTCACGAAGTTGTCATTGAGGAAGACCTGGAGCCTTTTGAAGCCTCCAAGGAGACTGCCGAGGAGTTCAAGCGTGAGCACGGCGACAAGGTTGAAATCTTTGAAATTCCTGACAGTGGCGAGTATATTGTTCGCATGAGGAAGGGGGCTTCTCTCTGGATCCCCAAGGCTCTCCGCTTTGACCGTCTCGTTGCCGGTCAAATCCCCACCGGTTGGGACCCCAAGCGATATGGAATTCCCGAAGACATTATTTCTCAAGTCGACCCTGTCACTCTCTTCCTTCTTGTGTCTACTGCCGAGGCTCTATTATCGGCCGGTATCACTGACCCCTATGAATTCTACAAGTATGTCCACGTTTCGGAGGTTGGTAACTGTGTTGGTTCCGGTATGGGTGGTTCAGCTGCTCTGCGAGGCATGCACAAAGATCGCTTCCTGGACAAGCCTCTTCAGAACGACATTCTTCAGGAGTCTTTCATCAACACAATGGCTGCCTGGGTGAACATGTTGCTTATTTCTTCCTCTGGTCCCATCAAGACTCCTGTCGGTGCTTGCGCCACCGCTGTCGAATCCGTCGATGTTGGTTATGAAACCATTATGGAGGGCAAGGCTCGTGTGTGCTTTGTCGGTGGTTTCGATGACTTTGGCGAAGAAGGTTCCTACGAATTCGCTAATATGAAGGCCACCAGCAACACTGTAGACGAGTTCAACCACGGCCGAACTCCCAAGGAAATGTCTCGTCCCACCACAACTACCCGTAACGGCTTCATGGAGTCCCAAGGTTGCGGCATCCAGGTCATCATGACTGCCCAGCTCGCTCTGGACATGGGTGTTCCTATCTATGGTGTCCTGGCTCTCACCACTACTGCTTCTGACAAGATTGGTCGCTCTGTGCCTGCTCCTGGCCAAGGTGTACTCACCACTGCTCGCGAGCATGCTGGCAAATTCCCCTCGCCATTGCTCGACATTAACTACCGCCGCCGCCAGATTGAGCGCCGCAAGAAGCAGATTAAGCAGTGGCATGAATCCGAGCTTGAATATATCCATGACGAGATCGATGCCATGAAAGCCCAGGATGCCTCTTTTGATGAAAAGCTTTATGCTCAGGAACGCTTTTCTCACATCGAGAAGGAGGCTACTCGACAAGAAAAGGAGCTGCTCCGTAGTATGGGTAACAATTTCTGGAAGAGCGATCCCAGCATTGCTCCTCTCCGCGGCGCTCTGGCTACCTGGGGTCTTACAATTGACGACCTGGACGTTGCCTCCTTCCACGGCACCTCGACCAAAGCCAACGACAAGAACGAGTCGTCTGTTATTTGCCAGCAGCTACGCCATCTCGGACGATCTAAGGGCAACGCCGTCATGGGTATCTTCCAGAAGTACCTCACTGGTCATCCCAAGGGTGCTGCTGGTGCCTGGATGATGAATGGCTGTCTGCAAGTTCTCAACACCGGTTTAGTACCTGGCAACCGCAATGCCGACAACGTTGATCCCGTCATGGAAGAGTTTGACCTGATTGTCTATCCCAGCCGTTCAATCCAGACAGACGGTATCAAGGCTTTCTCTGTTACCTCTTTTGGTTTCGGTCAGAAGGGTGCTCAGGCTATCGGTATTCATCCGAAGTACCTATTTGCAACCCTCGACGAGAATACCTACCAGCAGTACTGCGCCAAGGTGGAAGCCCGTCAGAAGAAGGCCTACCGCTATTTCCACAACGGTCTCATCAACAACAGCCTGTTTGTGGCCAAATCCAAGGCTCCTTACACTGATGAGCAGCTTAGCAAGGTGTTGCTCAATCCTGACGCCCGTGTGAGCGAAGATAAAAAGTCTTCTGAGCTCAGATACTCTGACAACTTCATGAAGCAGTCCGAGAAGGTCATGACCTCTGATCGTGCTGCCGAAACCGAAAAGGTTATGAAGACCCTGGCTCAAAAGGTTGCCAATAAGAACAGCAATATTGGTGTTGATGTGGAAGACATCTCTGCAATCAATATTGAGAATGAGACATTTTTGGAGCGCAACTTCACCGCTCAGGAGATCAGCTACTGTAAAGATGCTCCCAGCCCCCAGAGCTCCTTTGCCGGTCGCTGGAGTGCCAAGGAGGCCGTTTTCAAGTCCCTCGGTGTCGCCAGCAAGGGTGCAGGCGCTTCCATGAAGGAGATTGAGATTGTCAAGGATGACAACGGTGCTCCCACCGTCAAGGTACGTGACTCCAACAAAAGACACTGTTCAGTTGCCAATGTTGACTGACATGATTATAGCTGCATGGTGAGGCTGCTTCCGCTGCCAAAAAGGTCGGTGTGAAGGATATTGCGCTGTCCATCTCGCACTCCGACAATCAGGCCATTGCTGTTGCCGTTGCCAACTTTTAAAAGCGGCATTGAGCATGGTGAAGAAGTCACTTTTGTATGATGGGGTGTAGCATAATGGCGCACATTAATAGTTCTCTAACTATGAACGTTCTTGTTTTGATTCAAGTAGGTGCTTTATATGCATGCAAAGACTGGGCAGAGAATGCACAGCAAACAAGGGAACGGGGGAATGCTAGAGCCTATACTTTTGTTTTATTCTGAATCTTAGAGTAGACAGTAACGCGGGTAATAATGTAGTATGAAGTCAATATTCGTCTTGATTGTGTCTTTTCCATCATTTTTTTTTCTTTTGCGTTTTTGAATTTCTACTACTAGTAATACACAAACTCCCAACATAAGGGGACTTGGCTCGCATATCAGCAGAATCCCTGTCCAGGCTGCCTTGCAGAACCGCAAGACATTGACAGCTGCCGATCGAGCCACTCATTATTCAACCAAGTTTATCTATTCCTTTGGCACCAAGCCATAATGACTCGGGTATGGAAGCACACGCTCTTGACTGACTCTGAGTCTCCCGCAAGAGTGACCCGGCCAGACACAACATTGGGTATTAAACCTATGATTTCATCTCTGCAATCCAAATTCCTATTCCCTCTATTTTACTGGCCTCGGCCTCTTCCCCTTCCACCACGACCGCCGCCCCGTCCGCCCCTGCCTCTATCGCCACCTCCACGACCGCCGTGGCCGTGGTCCCCTCTTGGCTGGCCGTGGCCACCGCGTCCGCCTCTGAAGCTCCCTTGCTGGCCCCTTTGGGATTCGCTCACTTGGTTGATGATGTCGTCGTCGACGCGGAGGTATTTGATCTGAGACGGTTAGCCGCATTCTGGGCACGGTCCCAACGTCTGCTGTTGGCGGAGGAGGACTGGGGAAGGGCCGTACATTGTTGCCTTTGACGTAAGCCTCTTTTAACCGAACAAACTTGTCGCCGCGCTGCGCAATAATTAGCTTCTGGCTGCTCGCCATGCCTAGCTTTCTTGAACGGTCAGACGCACCGGACTGGTTTGTACAACTTCTCGTAGGGTAAGGTTCATCCACGTATCGCACTGGACCAGATGTCCGTTGAGGGTCTCGCCGTTTTTGAGCTCCACGAGCATAGGATGCCCTTGGGCGGCGTTGAGAAGACTGAGGGGCAACTGCGTCCAGATGCAGAGTTAGTACTATGGCTCAGCTCACGTCTGGGCGTTGACGGCGATGCGCAGGGCGATTGACGAACCATGGCGGGATGTTGCGCAGCGACGGAATCGTCGTGGCGTGCGTTTAGGTGCGCAGGGAAGGGAAATGCGTCTATTGGCGCTGCAAAGTAGAGTGGTCAAGGGCAGCTCTTCCAGGTGGTTGTCGATGAGAGTTGATGTTTGGTTCGAGGCGCCCCGCGAGATGCATCGCCCCGCTTTGTGGAAACCTGAGCCAGAGCTGCGACTACCTTTTTGCTTTGGCAGCTCGGACCCACGACCGTTTGCGTGGATGCATTTCACAGCACGGGAGACAGTTTTCTGCAGCACCATTGCGAAACAGTGTACGGAAGACGGAGACATGGATCGCAATGCGCGGTAGTCGATTGATCTATGATGGGTTGTGGCGCTGCCTGTGCCCAGCCGTGGATGGGCGGGCTTTGCGGCGCGCCGTGAGCTCGAGGGCTCCGGGAGTTGTGACGACTGCGAGAGCACCATCAGCTATTGCGTGTACGAGGTTGGCGCAGGCTAGACATGTCACAACTGCGAGTGCGAGTGCGAGTATCCAAAACCAGATGGTGACGCGAGATGCTGCTCAACAGACCAAGCATGAGGTTCCGAGAGAAGAGCGACTGTTGACGCCGGCGCCACCAAGCGAAGAGACACTGCGGCAGGCATCGGTCGAAGAAATTGTGGCCGCCCTTGTGACAATGCGAGATGCTCAAGGATGGAGCTTCCACGGCCAGGAAATCGATCGTCACGACCGAGTAATACGACTCGTCAGGCATCTCCTGTCCGCGCGGGACCAAACACCAAGCCCCTTTATATACGAGTGCATGATGGACGCCATGGTCGACCCCCAGGGATCCGTCAAGGGGATCCGCAAGCTCCTCGACGACATGGCCTCGCAGAACATGAAGCCCACGGCAGCCATGTGCCACAGTGCACTTGCGGCACTGACAAACCACCCAGACTATGCCTTGCGGCAGGAAATACTAGACACGATGCAGGAATTCTGGTTCACAATCGACACCCCCGCGAGGCAGAGCGTCGTCCTGGGTCTTTTACGCGACGAGCAGTACGAATTGGCCTACTCGCGGCTCACCGAAATGATTGAGCAAGGAGCACATATTGCTATCTGGGTATTCGATATTTTTGTCATGGTATTTGGGAAACTGGGCTTCGTGGATGAAATGATGTCACTATTGTACCGGCGAAAAAGCATACAAGGCGAGGACAGGGCCATCTCAAGCATTCTGTACTACGCGCTAGATGTGTGCAGCTCGGCGTTTCACTACCCAGGCACGCTATTTGCATGGAACAGTGCGGTCAGGAGCTCTCTCTTCCAGCCGGCGGACGGGATTGTGGAAAATGTCCTGGCAACGGCGGCACGACATGGCGATGCGTCCTTGGCTACGGAGGCGTTGGACATGATGTCACGGCGGACGAGGGTTCTCGCGTATCACTACGAAGCAGTGGCAGAGGCGTTTGCCGCATCTGGCGATATGACGGGTGCCTTCCGAATCCTGTGCATCATGAAGAAGAACGGCATACGGATCGTCCGGGGGAACACAAGGGTCGTTTCCGAAGCGCTTAGACGACATCCGAAGCTCATGAGTGATGCAGAGGCGGCTCTCCGCGCCGTGGCGCACGATGAGCAACTCCCCGTCGCCATGGTGGGCGTCGTAGTCGAGGCCCTTGCCGAGACACAGGGCTCCGAGGCGGCCATGGACCTCTACCGCGATGTGGCTTGTCTCTGCGGCGAACACGCCAACTCGACCATGATGCAAACGCTCATCATCAACAGCCCGGACGAGGAAACCACGCGTGCCCTCGTCAAGGACTATACTGCCCACATTGCGGAAGATGACGACCCCGTTCGAGACTCGCACGTGTACGGCGCTCTTGTGACAAGGTGTGCAGAGGCTGGCGAGCTGGACTTGGCGTTCCGCTTCGCTAACCAGGCCCTGGTGGCGATGGGCGGCTCCAAGACAAGACGGCTGGATTGGGCGAAGGTGTTGGTGGCAAAAGCGGCCGAGGTGGAGGACGGAAGGATATGGGGTGTAGTGGATGAGTTGAGAAAGGATGAAGAAACGGGGGCTCTGGTCGAGAGACTGCTTCGGCAGATGAGAATGACGAAGAGGGCGTCTGAGTTGAAGATGTGATGTTGGATGGAAGTTGGCAGGGAGTGCAGCGGGAAACTTGCCGGTTTCCACAGCCATGTATGTATGTATGTATAATAGTAGAGTAACCGCCGGGTTCCTCTGAGGGTTTTGGTTTCACAGGATTAGGATTCGTCACTCGGGTATCGCGGGCACAGCATCCCGTTGTTCATAGAATCCATGTCTTGTGTTGGTTGTATGAGAGATGATGGGCGTGGCCCGAGGCAAGCCACGTCGGAATAATGCTTAACGCCAACTTTATTCCTCCGAACCCACCAGGCCCGGCAAGCACGCCGCGTGATGGCTCATTCAGGTCTCGTTCTCACTTTGCGATCGGACTGAGATCGGATTTAAGCAGATGTGAGTTTGTCGAATTAGACCAACCGTCTGACAACTATAGGCTACCGGGGGCGTCAGGAGGCACGCTCTACATGAATATTGCCGGGTTTCGCGAATAGCCTAAGTACACATGTCCATGCCGTGTTGGTTTTCCAAGGGTCATGCCGTTATTGTGCAAAAGCGGCTTCAGCCTGTCCACAAGATTAGAAAGCAACACCGCGGAATCGGTGGGTCAGTCAGCCACTCCTTTTTTTTTTTTTTTTTTTTTTTTTCACAGTACGTAGTAGCAGGACGATGGCGAGATTGCGTGCGATCTGATTAGTGAGATTCGACCACGTTCTGGCGGGCGGCGCTCCGTCTGCCCGTTCACATGCAGATTGATATTCAGATCCCATGCCTTGACAGATGGCGTCACACGGCCGCTTGGTAATCTCCAGCCCAAATACTCCGTAGATTCATCTGAATCCAGCCCATTGGGCGCCTCGATCCACACAGACGCTCTCCACACAGCCCTTGCCCACCTCTTTTCTTTTTCTTTCTAAGTCCGACAGCTTAGATCCGCGCTGGTAAGCCGTGTTTGGAAAAGGCTAAGCGGCAATTGCTAAGGAGAGAAACCGTTGGTTGTTTGGTCATGAAGCCACAGGGTCGTGAATCTGCCGCCGTGGAGCGTTCCGGAGCTATGGATTACCAAACGTGTTGTGCCGTCTTATCGCCAGGAGTCAAATACTCGACATGATGGGTATAAGAGGAGAGGCTTCGTCGGCCTCGTGGTGGACTCTGCTTCGTCTTGTTTCCATCAAGCAAACGTGGTCTCGTCGCAGTGTCTTGACTTGGACTCTCGCTTCTCGCCAGGGCAGACCACGACACAAAAGAACATCGTGACAATGGCCGACATCATCCGCGACGCCCCCCTCGGCCAGCTCATCCGCTGGGCCACGTCCAACCGCTACCTCCAGTACCCCGAGGAAAAGGCCGGCTTCAAGCTCCCCTCGCCGTGGCAGCAGCTCCTCGACAACCCCGACGCCGTCGTCGACGAGTCCACGGAGCCCTCGTCCTCGTCCGCTTCGACCGCCGGAGACGACACCCCCGAGGGCCAAGACGCCGAGAAACAGCAGCAGCAGCAGCAGCAGCAGTCATGGTCCTCGGCAGAGCCCCCCGAGCCCCTGCGCCTGCACCGCACCAAGACGCCCGCCGAAACGCCGGCCTTTACGGGCGCCCGCCTCGAGGCCGAGCTGGCGCACGCCGTGGAAAAGGTGCAGTCGATCCCCGTCGTTCCCCGGCTCACAAAGGACGGCACCATCCTCGTGGACTGGTACCACAGCGACGACGCCGAGAACCCGCAGAACTGGAGCAACGGGAAGCGCGGCCTCGTCGCCGCCATCATCTGCCTCTACACCTTTGTCGTGTACACGTCGTCAGCCATCTACACGCCCTCGACGCAGGGCGTCATGGAGCGGTTCCACGTGTCGCAGCTCGAGGCCACGCTCGGCCTGTCGCTGTACGTGCTGGGCTACGGCGTCGGGCCGCTCGTCTTCTCGCCGCTCAGCGAGATCCCCCGCATCGGCAGGAACCCCGTCTACGCGGCCACCATGGTCCTCTTCGTGGTGCTGTCCATCCCCACCGCCCTGGCGCGCAGCTTCGCCGGCCTGATGGTGCTGCGCTTCCTGCAGGGCTTCTTCGGGTCGCCGTGCCTGGCCTCGGGCGGCGCGTCCCTCGGCGACATGTACTCGATGACGGCGCTGCCCTACGCCATGGTGGCGTGGATCTCGTCGGCCTACTTTGGCCCGGCGCTGGGCCCGCTGCTGTCGGGCTTCTCCGTGCCCGCGCGCGGCTGGCGCTGGTCGCTGTACGAGAGCGTGTGGGCGTCGGCGCCGGTGCTCCTCGGCATGCTGGTCGCGCTCCCGGAGACGAGTGGGGCCGCCATCCTCCTCCGCCGGGCCCGTCGGCTCCGGCGCCGCACCGGCAGCCCGCGCCTCGTGTCGCAGTCGGAGCTGGACCAGCGCCGCCTCGGGCCCCGCGCCGCCCTGCTCGACGCCCTCGTCAAGCCCGTCGAAATCACCTTCAAGGACCCGGCCGTGCTCTTCGTCCAGGTCTACACCGCCATCATCTACGGCATCTACTACTCCTTCTTCGAGGCCTTCCCCCTCGTCTACCCCGTCCACTACCACATGAACCTCGGCCAGACGGGGCTCGTCTTCCTCTCCATCCTCGTCGCCTGCCTCCTCGGCGCCGCCGTCTACTGCGCCTACCTCTACCTGTACGTCGACCCGCGCATCCGCCGCTTCGGCCTGCCCGTCCAGGAGAGCCGCCTCGCCCCCGCCCTGCCCGCCTCCTTTGGCCCGACCGTCGGCCTGTTCGTCTTTGCCTGGACCGCCCGCGAGTCGGTCCACTGGATCGCCCCGACCGCCGGCATCACCATCTACGCCGCCACCTGCTTCGTCGTCATGCAGTGCATCTTCGTCTACGTCCCGCTGAGCTACCCGCAGTACGCCGCCAGCCTGTTCGCCGCAAACGACTTCTTCCGGAGCGCCCTGGCCTGCGGGAGCGTGCTCTTCGCCCAACCGCTCTTCGGGAACCTCGGCGTCGCCAGGGGTGTTTCGCTGCTCGGCGGCCTGAGCGTCATTGGCATCGTCGGCATCTGGCTGCTGTACTTTTACGGTGCGCGTCTGCGCGCCCTGAGCAAGTTTGCCACTTCGGAGCAGTAATGCTGTGTACCATTGCCTTGCTTTGCATGGCGCGGCGTTGAGAGCGTTGAGCAGACCTGGAGGTCGGCATATATATAGTAATAGACAATAGACATTGAATAGAATTGATTGCTTTGGTATCAAACTTTGTCAGCCTTCCACGTGTGTGCCCGTGTACATGAAACACGACCAACTATCCCGAGACATTACCTATGAATTCAAGTGTGGCCAAAATGTCAAGATTCTCTCACTTCGGATGTCCTGTCGTAAAAAAAAATGCGCATAACCGCCATACCGTTGTAAATCTAGGTCAAAGGATATAAATATAGCGTCACCATAACCACGACGCGCCCCCGCCCCGAGGGGATCATACCATGACGGGTATAAGCTAAGAGTACATTCGAAAATCAATCCCTACTAATATGCAGAAGCCTTCGCCGGCCTCAAATTCCAGCATGTACGGGAACTAATCAAGCAATCAACCAACCAGCCACGCACCCACCTAGTGTCCTTGGTTGTGCCCCTGGTTCCAACCTTCGCCCATCCCCCAATTATACCCATGCCTCTGACTTTGTCCAAATCCATTGCCCTGACTCTCACCCTGCCAATTCTGTGCATGCTGGCCATGCTGGCCATGCTGCCCCTGCCGATGGTCCTGCCTATCGCCCGGCGTGCCCTGTCCAGGTCGCAGTCCAGCATATGCTGCCAACGACCCGTGCATTCCTGAAGACGTCATTGGCGAATGAAACGACTGCGACTGATAACCGTGGTTGCTTGTACCTGCACTCGACCCGCTCTTCTGGTACGAGTAAGGCTTATAGCCAATTTTGTTGGAAGAGTCCACCCCATCACTACTCCCGTATCGTGCCGTTGGCAGTCCGCCTATTGACGATCGGCTCTGCACATTGTTATACCGGATATTCGAGTGCGTATCTGCTGCTGCTGCTGCTGCTGCTGCGGGTGGTGGTGGTGGTGGTGGTGCTTGAAACGCACTTGATCTCGAATGCGGCATCATGCCAGACGATCTATGGCTCTGCTGCGACGCGGAGCGCGAGTGATACGGGGGTAGAAACGGAGACTTCGGCTGCGGCGGTGTCGGACGATGTATCCTCATGCTGGAGTTGGGTGCGTATGACTGATTGTGAGTGGCAGCATGTGTCAAAAGAGCAGCGTCTTCCATGTTGATGTGAGCAGCTGCTGGGGCGAGGTCGGGACTCTGTGACACTGGATGGCCGTGTTGTAGTAACGGTGATGCTTGACTGACTGTAGGTATAAACATATCATTGCCGTGCTGCTGGGCCCAACTTGATTTCTGGGTATTGGTATTTGTTCGAGTATTATTTGAAGCTTGTCTTCTATGATTCGAGGTACGAATATTCGGTTCAACGGGCTGTCGTTCTTCAGGCTCACGTTGTGGTTCCGTTACAGGAGCAGGTTCTGGGGGAGGATATGATGGGTAATATGCGCTGCTTTCCGACAGGGTCATGCCATTATTTAGTTGAGACCTTGGTGCGTCATCCAAAGGGTCCGGTTGCGGAAGTGCCAGTCCTGATGCCGACTGGAAGTAAGGAGCCTGTGTTGGCTGTTGATGGAAACTGTGGGCGAGATCATGCGCGGAATCACGAACCAAGTCCGGCCCAGGGATTTGGGGGTAGGAGTATGGCGCACCCGAGTCCGAACTAAAGTCGTTGTCATCCTGGGGCGCTTCTTGTTGCCCTGCGTTAGCATTTGCCTCTGTCATGGAAGTATCATTGGCGTTTGCCTCAGTCATGACAGTCTCATCAGCCTCTCCTTCAACATTGTCATCGTCAGCCTCAGTATCGGCATCAGCATCATCGGTCGCGAGTGCATCAGACTTTTGCTTTGGCTTTTGTGAAGGCTGCGGCGGATAATGGCATTCAACTTGGCTGTCTTGGCACTCTGAGCAGGTCGGTCTCTCCCTCGGACACTACATCACCTTGGTGTTAGCATCCTGCATCATACAAAACATGAGCAAAAATGAGGGATGAAGAAAGGAAACAAACCCTGACTCTGCGCTTCTTGCATGTAAAACAAGAGAGCCGCGACTTTCCAAGTGGTCTCGAACTTCGCTTCCGTTTGCCCTTTGGAGTCGAGTCTTCCAGGACGAGTTCTGTTGTTGTCGTCCTCGCACCAGAGGCTGCTCCCTCACCTGACGGAGAGACGTCGGACTGAGGTACTGGGGCTGAGCTTTCCTTATTACTGGGATGGATGATCTGCAGTCGCTGCGCTCCATACGTAACCAACATGTTGAGGGATTCCTTCTGAAGCTCTGGTGCCTGATTTGCAAAGATGTTTAACTGGTCGGTAGAGAGCGAGTCGGGGCTCACGCCAGCCTCGGTCAACAGCTTAGTCGCGACGTCTTTTCGACGCGCTGCCTCCTCCGGAGTTACGTTAAGAGACAACGGCTTGATAGCAGAACCAGCGCTCGGGTTCGTTGCCCATCCCACGGCAGAACCATGTCCATCGTCATCGTTATTCATCGCAGCAACAGCTTCACCAAGTCGAGACATGTCAGCATGATCCAAAGCCTGGGCGGCTTGTTCCACCAACGACAGGTGCGCTTGCTGCGTCTCCCCGGCTGCTTTTTTATTCCTCCTCCTTCTTTGCCCTTTAGGCTCGCCATCTTGCCCCCTTTGATGCTCCGTGTTCTTCTTTCTTCTGACTTTGGCGGCTTCTTCCTGTGCCAATTTGGCAGCCTTGGCTAACGTCTTTTTATCTGGCTTCTGCGGCCCAATCATGGGCGGGGGTTTAAATAACTCTGTGAGGTCGGCGACAGATTTGTGCATGATTGTATGGTTGTACTTGACGGATATTGTACGGGCTTTTCTTGAGAAGGTAATGAGTAGTCGTCCTCTACAGTCAAATGCCGGTCGACCTAGTAAATCAAGTTAGAAATCAACACCCTACGCACAAGCAACAAGCTCTGTGACCTACTCATTAAAACCGGATCGGGTTCCTTCTTGGTGTACTCCCCGACAATATCCTTCGTCTTCCCCTCGTTCTGCGCTTTCCAATGCTGAACCGACTGCTCACATATAAAGGTGAAATCCCACCCGTGGGCTGCAGATTCGAAGCTGTGCAACACCCACACACTCTTGTCTTCAACACCAGCAGCCCTGGCAATCTGTTCCGCCACAGCCTTCTGAACCACAGGCGCCTGGCTGGGCTGGTCCCTCAGCACATCCATGGCCGTATACACATGCGTCTGGCCCTCGTGCCTCCGATCAGTATCCTCTGCTCCGCCCGAAAGCAACGGGTCAACGTTATTCATATTATCCTTGTCTCCCTGTGTCAAATCCACAGCAAACTCTGCCGTGCCGGCAACATCGACCGTCGTGCTGACATGTTCGGCTCGGGTAGCCGTCGTTTTTGCTTCAATCAGAGCGCGAAGGCGACCCTGGAGGTGGTCGAGCGATGCACACGCGCCGTCGTTTGGCGCAACCTCATTGTCGGTTCCAAAATTGAAGCTGGCGAGGAAATCAGCCATTGCGAGGGTGGCGCGACAGGAATATGCTCGGCCGGAACCTAGGCGGCCACGGATTCGCGACGACGCTGCCGTCGCAATGGCTGCTCCAGTGGACGCGCTTTGCCTCTCCTTACAGAAAACGCGAAGTGGTGATGTCGGGCGTGTTTGCGATGGCAAGACCAACCAACCACGGTGGTTTGAAAGGTATTGGCGTTGGTATCCACGATCAGCTGACCATTGTGGGGGCTGCGCTCTGCTTGTCAGTCGCACTTCAAAGTGACGATTCAGATGCAGCTCGCGCGCAATGTGGCCATGGCAGTTGAGCCTCATGGAACTAATGATTGGGAGTAAAACATCTGCCCGAGTAAAATGCTCGTGTTGTGTTTTGTAACACACGGAATCTTGTCGTTTCTCTTTTATTCTTCCTAAAGGCTGGCATAGCAGACTTATTGTCACTTGGCAGTCAAACACCGCTCACAAGTTTTTATGCAGTGTCCAAGAGCTCGAGTCACCAATGAAAGCAGTCGAAAACTGTCAAAGGCACAATTCAAACTCTGTTCAGAATATTAGTGCGCTTATACACTGCTGCACAGTCCCAAGTACAGTTCTACGCGTTTCTACGCGTTATCGTCTACCCATTGCTCTATTCTCTCCGCCAGTTCTGCCTTCTTCCCTGCCGTGCTGAGCCCCTTGGAGCCGGCTACATCTCTCAGCTGAGAAACCGTCATTTTCATGATTGCTCCGCTTGTAATGGCTTCTTTGAGCTCCGCCACCGACATGGAAGACGGATTCAGTTGCCCTGACGACGCGCCGCGCCTTTGCTTTGCTGGACGATCGGATGATTCATCATCGGCTTCCCGTTTCAGCGATTTGGACGTCCTAGCCGTTCCCGCATCTTCTTCAAGTTTTTCCGACCACTCTTCCAAGTAACCACCCGCTCGCTTACTAATGGCCTTGTACTTCGGCTTAGTGGCGTCCTCGGCCGTCTCCGGCACTTCCTCTTCCAGAGCAAGAGCTTTGAGAATCTTGTAGTGCCATTGCAGCGCTGGGTTGGGGTACTTGAGCGGATTATACATTGCCTTTGGCAGCTGCAGCTGCTGCACAATCGTTCTCATTTGCGTCTTCAGCTCATCAGAGCTTTGCGTCACTCCATCTGGAGGCTTGATCTCTCTCAAGTCATCGGCAAAAGGCAGTGGATATATCCAAAGTCCCGCTGGCAAATATGGCGTTCCAGATTTTTCATCAGACGGTTCCCTGGACGGCACGATGGCAGCTAGAGTTGGTTGGGCATTGCTCCGTACGATACACCACGCAATGCCTATTTTGTTGTCTTTGATCAACTTTTGCCATAATGCTGTGAATACACGAGTGGAACCAACAAAATCCTCTTCACTGGGGAAGATGAATGTCGACTTTTTGACGCTAGCCCACATTGATAACAACTTGCGGGGTTTAAAGCCAATGATGCGAATAACAGGCGGTCCGAAATCCCTGAGAGACTTTTGCTCGTCAGGGGTAAAGCAGACGTATTCGCCACCAAACTTGTACGCCTTCTTCATCTCCCCTTTCTCAACCGTTCTGATGCTGTCCTCGGCCAGTCTTGTAGTTTCACCAGCGGCAATCTGAGGCTTTTCTCCATCCAACCAAATGTAACATGTCCTGGCCGGTGTTTGTCGATGGAGAACATTATACCCTTTAACTGAGATTCGCAAACCAGGCGCAATCTCAAATGGCAAGTTTGAAAACATGGCTCGTTTCGGCGTCTGTTTCGAGTTTATGTTTGAGGTCAAAGAGCTTAGAAGGGATAGCCCGTCGCCCGACTTGGAAATCGCCACCGCAGTGCTGTTGGCTTCCGCAATTGGATCGCGGTACACAATATCCTGTCTGCATTAGTCACAACTACCAGAACATGATAGTCAAACAAGGTGGATAACTTACATCGTAGAATTTCGACAAGTCAAATTTGGAATCACCTCTGGTGATTGGGAATAAATCAATCGTGACGCCCAAGTCATAAAGATCTTTAGCTCGAACCGCAGCTGCTGACATAGCAGCCTTGTCGGAAGGGTGAGGATTGTCATTGTCAGTAATGATGAATAGGCGTCGGCTTCCAAAATTTGCGGCCTTTGTCGTAAAGATTTGATTTGCGCAGAATAGCACGTTCGACATGATGGCACGGTCACTTGATGGCGTCAACACTTCGTCGTCGTCTTCACCATCCTCAACAAGATTCTTAAGCACCTTGACATCATCCGCAGCGGGAATGTCAAGGTCCGTGAAAAGATAGCAGTTAGGATATCCCAGGCCATTACGGCCGTCTTCGTCATCATAAAATTTGGTCTTTTTAGTTCCAAAGAGTAGAATGCCCATCATACCCTTAGGGTTGGATATGATGCGTTGCTCCATCAAATGGTACGCGCATTTTAGGGCTGCCTCGAGAGCACTGTCTTGGTCCGCCTTCTTTGAATCAGATGGCGGCGGCGGCTTAAGCATAGAGTCGCTAACTTCAATAGCCATTATGATGGCATCTTTCTGTGCCTTGTATGTCTAGGTGATTGTCAGGACCATGTCATGAACGACTAGTGAATGAATTATGTATTGGCGCATATTACCGTCTCGTCAATCTCTTGATCGCCATCATCTTCGTCCTCCCTCTTCCAATCCTGGCCGTTTTCCGCCATTATTAAGTCAATTTTATTTAATCCGAGTCGAAACAATTCGGACACAGCATGCTGAACGCGTTGAAAACTGTGAATGACGGTTGTGGGCCTCCGCCGTCGCAGCTCCAGGCAAACGCGCCCCAACGGTCGGGCGCATCGCGCAGTTGTGCGCGTTGTCGCGGTATCACGTGATCCATTACATTTTATTGCCTTCGATGCCATTGGACAGATCGGAAGGTTGTTAAAAGGAACTTGCTCACATATAATTATTTTCCGCAATAATTATGTACCTCCATAACTGTTCCGGCTTGTCTTGGCGCCAGGATTACTTGCATCATAAATATGGTCCGTTCCCGATCCCGAGTGCAGAACCACACTCGGAGCATCGGCTTTTTGGAACTTGCACCGCCCATCCTCTTCACAACGGGTGATTTTTTGTTCTCAGCCATTGGAATTCAAGTTTATTGATCATGTCATCACGGATCTGTACACAACAGCTCCTAAGGGGATTATCGGGAAATTCATCTTCCCGACTCGTCCTGCCCCAAGTTGCAACGCAAACTCGGCAATTTGCGACGCCTGTGCCGCCTGTCACCCAGGATGCAACGGGCTCGAAAGGCCCAACCGCAATGGTGTTCCTCAACATGGGAGGGCCATCGAAGACCGACGAAGTTGGCGATTTCCTGAGTCGCCTTTTCGTATGTATACTTTCAATGGCGTACCGTCACTAGTAGTCCAATGCCCTGCTAACAATTTGCGATTCTCAGTCCGACGCCGATTTGATTCCGCTGGGTCGACTGCAAGGTTACTTGGGCCCCCTCCTCTCGAAGCGACGAACACCCATGATTCAGAAACAGTACGCTGCCATTGGCGGCGGCTCCCCAATTCGAAAATGGTCCGAATACCAGAGCGCCGAAATGTGCAAGATATTGGACAAGACATCTCCAGAAACTGCACCCCACAAGCCCTATGTGGCTTTCAGATACGCTGATCCTCTAACTGAGGAAATGTACCAACAACTTCTTGCAGATGGCTTCGGTAATGGCAAGGGTGGCCGAGCTGTTGCTTTTACTCAATACCCCCAATACTCGTGCTCCACCACTGGTTCCAGTCTGAACGAGCTGTGGAAGTGGAGGCAACGACTGGAAGGAAAGAGGGTGGATGAAAGCGGAGAGGGCACCATTACTTGGAGCGTAATCGACAGATGGCCAGCTCACTCTGGGCTTGTTGAGGCTTTCGCGCAGAACATTAAAGCCAAGTTGGCCGAATATCCCGAGAGCCGCCGAAAGGATGTTGTCCTCTTGTTTTCCGCCCACAGTCTTCCCATGTCTGTTGTCAACAGAGGTGACCCTTATCCTGGCGAGGTTGCCGCCACCGTTTACGCCGTCATGGAACGACTTAGGTTCTCCAACCCGTACCGCCTATGCTGGCAATCTCAGGTTGGTCCGTCTGCATGGCTCGGCCCTCAGACGGCCACCACGGTGGAACAGTATGTTGCCAAGGGTCAAAAGGACTTGGTTTTAATACCCATCGCTTTCACGTCCGACCATATCGAGACGTTGTACGAGTTGGACCATGAAGTCATAGGCGAGAGTGGTCACACGGACACGATTAAGCGAGCGGACAGTCTTAATGGTAGCCCGGTCTTTATTGAGGCTCTTGCAGATATTGCCAAGGCACATTTGAGGAGTGGCGAAGCTTGTTCCAAGCAAATGAACCTTCGATGCCCCAGCTGCAAGAGCGAGAGGTGTACAGAAACCAAGAAGTTCTTTGCCAGGCAACAGGCGAATCTGTAGGAGCTATGGCTGAAAACTTGTAGTGGCAATAGGTGTTGAGAATATGTATAATAGAATATGGAATGTGCATTGAGGCGCTATCTGTTAAACCCAATGTTGCGGGGGCTCTCTCATCAATATATTAAGCATAACTCTTAGTCGCACGCAAAGAACGGACCGCCATGTGTTGTACTAGACGGGGGAGTTTGAATTTGCTGTTAACGTCTCCAACCCTCCACTTACCCTGTATTCCCAGACGATTGGACCCTTCGGAAACAAATCATGGCCGCCAATGCACTGTGGCATTACTTGTACGCTCAATCTTCATGTATTCTATTTCTATTTCGTTCTATTTTTTATTTTATTTTATATTTTATTTTGGGTTTCTTGTCTGAAATTTTTCATGCGTACTTCCTCTCTGTGCTTCCGCCTTTGTGAGTGTCACAACATCCATGGAGGAGCTATCTCCATTGGTTGCACGGTTGCTCTTGGCTGCCGTGGCCAATCCGACCCACCATGGAGACAGAGCCCAATGGGCCGTTCCGCAGTTATGCCCGTAATAGCAACACCTGCAATAATACGAGCAAGGCAAAACGAACAAAACTGCGGAGCTGCCATGACCCAGGACCGGCCTAAGGATATGCAGCGTGACAGCCAACATCCATGATATTCAGTATGGAGGCTGCGAACACGAACAGGAGCTCAGTCCATGTATGGGCTGGTACTGCAGCCAGCGGTTACGATATCGGGGGACACCAGACGCAGAGAGCCGGATTCTTCCACCCCGATGAATCTTGGCTATTTCCAAACGGACATAGGGATAAGGGACCTGGCTGACCGGCGCGACGTTCCTACAGGCAAGGACTAGTATTTGCAAAAGTACATATGTAGTACTACTATTGACTCCTCACTGTGCCACGTCAAGCCCGTCTTGGCGATGGTGCTGGGGTACGTCAGTCGTGACACACAGCTTGGCCGAGATATCAATGGATGGGACGAGGCTTCATCATCAGCAAAAGCCAAAGAGCCGGGACATGGAGCCGCAAAACGGAGTAGAACGGCGATGGGACAGCAGAAGTAGTCGCTTTTGACGATCTGCATAATGCGCCTGGGTACAAGGAGAACAAGGCACTGGTCTGGCCAAGGGTGTCAGAATTTCGCATGCAAGACGACTGGATAGGGAAACACTGAGACAGAGGGACATTGAATGACTAGAATGACTAGAGAGGAACAGAAAGCGCAAAACAAAAAGTCGTCCCATAAAATTGACAAGTGGACAGAAAATTACTCTGCCTGCATTCCATCAGTCACGGTAGATGCTCCCTTTACATGTTACGAGTAGGTCTTGGCGAGTCGAGTAACATTGATGAAATGGAAATGTAGACGTTGGAGTGGGGATGGACAAGGTAAGAAGAACATCAGACGGCTTCCAAGATAGTAGTACTACAACCTTCGTTCTGCCTAGCTGTGTTGATCAGATCGCATTCGACTGTCTCAACATTGCCCCTTTCTCGTGCTCTCCAATCAATTGATGTCTGGTCGATTCCCTCTCTCCCAGTGTTGCCCTCTCAAACACGTCGACCCGTCGCTGTGATTTGCAATTTTGCAGCGACCCCGATGGCTTCCGCGGCTCAAGCTGCCACCCGATGAACCCCCCGTAGCCTTGTCGACCCCCTGAACTGCCCCCTGTGGCATGGGCTCCTCATCTCCCACCCCAAGCTACCCTCTGGGAGCCCCGTCCATCAAGGTCTCGGATTGGCAGGTTGAGAGACCTACCAGCCAATCAGCGTGCCCATGTAGCTCCTTGCCGTTGAGTCTCCCAAGCATCGTCGAGTCCCTGGCCCAATCTAGGCCCAATTGGGCATAGTTGAGCACATACCCCTATGTTGGTCCCATCCAGAGGCCCCAGCACCTGCACCTCGCCAGCCCGCCGAATGCCCAGATGTCAACTGGCTCCAAGTCTGGTGGTTCACTACAACTGACTAGTACTAATTCTAATGGTGACTGGGTGGTTTTCGAGTGGTGGCAGGCGCTGGCATTCTCTAATGTTCGCGTGCTGAGGCCTGGGATGCTGTGGTGCTGTGGCGCCGGCTGCGGCTTTCTTCTAGTGGCAGGTACAGAGTACATGGTACAGAGTACATGGTACAGAGTACAAGCAGCAGCATGTACATGCACAGGGCAAGCAGTCGGTCGCGCCTGCGCACCAGAATTTCCTCGAGAGGTCCTCGGGCACTCTCGCGCTCTCACCACATGCACGCCATGCACGCCGCCCCCCAATTTCCCCTTTGACCTTCATCTCCATCCTCGACCTTTCAAACTTGACTTCACTTCCGCCATTCTCTCCCCCATCATTGCTACTTCCTCAACGTCGACTTCTCTGTGCGCCGTCACGGGCCTCTCTGTCGACAATTTGTGGTCGATTTCTCTTTTATTTTTTCTTCTCGAGCCCCGTCCTTTGACACGCGTGCTCCTGCTCGCCGGGTTCTCCTGTCTTAATCTCCCTTAGTAAGTTGCTCCGGCGAGCTACCTTCCGCGCAGAATCCTACTTTGTACTTGACTCATACCACTGCACGCATCGTGGGAATTCGTGACATTGTCATCTATGCCGAGCTGGGTCCGCCTGCCTCTCTTTGTTTGACGCAGGAAGTCCTAAGCTGTTGTTCTCCCAAGTGCAGTCGGCCACCCCCTCTCCCCTGACCCATCCAAGCTCCTCCCTGACGTAGCTGACTTTTTCCCCCTTTGGCAGAATCTACCTTCTCCTCCATTCTTTTAGAGATCGAGCGACCGCTCCTTATACATCGATATGGGTAAGAACACACTTTCTTTTGCAAATGATTTAGCACGCGCATCCGGGTGTCTCCGTCTGTTGCAGAGGCAGGAGACAGGCAGATACCACTACGAGCTCAAACAACCAACCTCCCAGCCGAGGCGGCTCCAACAAACGTTTCTCTTCGGAACCTGTTCATGGCGTCTTCTCTCGTCCTTCGTTCCGTTAAATTCTCAACGCAATAACTTCATGGACATTCGTTCTACGACATTTACACTTTCTTGGATTTCATTGTCGGGACCCAACGCGCCCCCCTTTTTTGGACTTCACAGCATTTCCAGTGCACCACTACTTCTGTTACTCAAGTTGATAAAACACGAAGAGTCTTGTAATCAATAATGGCGACGGAGTCGGCAAAGCAAGGCAAAACACATACCCGAAACTCACCGGAAGCCATGCAAGACCAGAATGGCTCTGCTGAATGCGCTTCAGCAGAGCCAACCATTGCCTCTAAACGGACAAGCAGCATTGTGGCCATACAACATGATACGACTACTGTGCTATCAATAACAACCTCAGTAACCCCGTCGATCGCGGACACCGTTCGCCAATACCGGAGCATGCTTGACGTTGAGGAACCCCCGAAGCTGAACCCTCTTAATCCCATGTCCTTTGATGAGTTGTACACTCCCCCGAGCCAACAGCCCCCCAAATCCGCGTCAGAGAAGCCGCAATACGAATTGACGGCTAATGGTGTCTGCGGGACTTTGGCGAATACTGCTGACAGTCAGGTCAAAGATCTGAGCTGTTAGCCTCTCTGCCTCATTTCCCTCCTCCCACCAAAGACTGTCAATGCGTTCACATCTTTGTATCACCAGTATGCTAATGATATTATCGTACAGCTTCCAACAGCTCCGATTCGCCTATGGGATCTCCCGCGTCACCTCCTGCTGGCAAGCCTGAATCCGCGGCCTCTGCTCAAGATGCTCATCCTTCTGACCCCGCTCCTGCAGTTCCGTCTCAATCTGTTCCTTCTACCATTCAGGACGCCCGAAACATTGTCCGAAGGAAGCTCACTGGCTATGTCGGCTTTGCCAACCTGCCAAACCAGTGGCACCGCAAGAGTGTTCGCAAGGGTTTCAACTTTAATGTAATGGTTGTCGGTATGTGTATATGATTCCGTAGGCTGACGGAGAGGAGCTAACCGCCTATGTCAAAGGTGAATCCGGCCTTGGCAAGTCTACTCTCGTCAATACTCTCTTCAACACCTCTTTGTATCCCCCAAGAGAGCGCAAAGGTCCTAGCCTGGATATCATTCCCAAAACTGTCCAGATTCAGGCTATTAGTGCCGATATCGAGGAGGCGGGTGTCCGCCTTCGCTTGACTGTCGTTGACACCCCGGGATTCGGTGACTTCGTTAACAATGACGAGTCGTGGCGCCCTATTGTTGACGATATCGAGCGTCGATATGATGCTTACCTCGATGCTGAGAACAAGGTCAACCGCATGAACATCGTTGACAACCGTATCCATGCTTGTGTCTTCTTCATTCAGCCTACCGGCCACTCTTTGAAGCCCCTGGACATTGAGGTTATGCGACGCCTTCACACCAAGGTCAACTTGATCCCCGTCATTGCGAAGTCAGACACTCTCACCGATGAGGAGATTGTGAGCTTTAAGGCTAGAGTAAGTCACTTCACATAGGAACTCTGGATGCGCTGGAAATCGAGCTGTTGTACTCACAATGTCGTAGATTTTGGCAGACATCAAGCACCATGGCATTCAAATCTTTGAGGGTCCTCGGTATGAGCTGGACGACGAGGAGACAATTGCCGAGAACAATGAGATCATGTCCAAGGTCCCCTTCGCTGTTGTTGGTGCCACCAACGAGATTAAGACAACTGATGGCCGGGCCGTTCGCGGACGCCAGTACCCATGGGGTATCATTGAAGTCGATAACGAGGAGCACTGCGATTTTGTCAAACTCCGCCAGATGCTCATCCGAACTCATATGGAAGAGCTCAAAGAGAACACTAACAACGCCCTGTATGAGAACTACCGTACCGACAAGCTCATTGCCATGGGTGTGTCACAAGACCCCAGTGTCTTCAAGGAAGTCAACCCTGCTGTTAAACAGGAAGAGGAGCGTGCTCTGCATGAGCAGAAGCTAGCCAAGATGGAGGCCGAGATGAAGATGGTCTTCCAACAGAAGGTGGCCGAGAAGGAGAGCAAACTGAAGCAGTCCGAGGAAGAGCTTTACGCCCGCCACAGAGAGATGAAGGAGCAACTTGAACGCCAACGAGCGGAGCTCGAAGATAAGAAGCAACGCATTGAGAGCGGGCGGCCGTTGGAGAAGGAGGGCAAGCGCAAGGGTTTCTCATTGCGTTAAAATTGAGAGATATCAATTTCGAGTCTTAAGCGACGCACAGTTTGCCATCTCTACGATCAACGTCTGAGTACTCATGACACGCCACACACAAGCCGCTAGACGCCTTTCCTTATCCTTTCGATTCTAGTTTCGCTGGCCTTCTGTGGCCACATTTTTTTTGTCATTAATCAGAGTCTTCTCTTAATCACCCTGAACAAAAGTTGTCTCAACCGAGACAGACAACCGAAGTACCTCTTTTATGGAACCGTCGTCTTGTAGCGGCTAAGGGGCTGCGGACTATGGAAATATTCAACAGTACGAAAGAAAAATAAAAAGTAGTTTTGGTGAGTGTGCGGCGATCACACCTCCAGAGTGGTGCCTGAACTGTTCTTCTCTGCGAAGCTGGGAACAGTCTAAGCATGGCTTGGAGGATGCTCTCATATTTGTGTGTCTTACAAAAGAGACTGAGAGGGTGCTCTCTTTTTTTTTGGAAGAATGAGAGCACAATTGCGCAATTTCTTTTGGCAACCTCATTCGCCATGCGAGGATGCCCCTTTTTTCAAAGTGCGGAAAAGAACCTTTGTCTTTTCGGCACGGACGTGTTTTGCACACTTATGGTTTCCTTTAATCTATATGCCCAGCAAGATTGGTCGGCAACACCTGCATCTTCGTCTTGTCGTCCTGACTGCCCCCGGATACCCTTTGTCGCATCTGTATGGAGCACTGGTTGCGGATTTGACTTGGACAGGAGCAGATGAATGATTTGGCCGGCGAGGGCCGAACAGCAACTGTTGTATTTTAGTGGTGTGATTGGGACAGGTTGTTTTATTTGACGTCTTGACACGGAATTGTCGTCCAGGCTCGTTTGTCTTTCTTAGCTAACTTGATTTTATTGGCTTTTCTATGTATATGCCGCGTTGTGTATATTGTGACAGTGATTGATTGAGAGCATGATAATCGTACTTTGTCTTGATACGAGTTGTTCATCTGCTCATGCTGATTTGGGGTACTGTAGACTAACGCTTACTTCATACATTTTCAGCGAAAAATAGCTGTTGCACTGAGTGGCTGTGCACTTATTGGCAGTGCTAGAATTAATATCATTATATGCATGCTTCATGAAGGTAGGCTCCCTTTAGTTATATAATACAACGGTCGCAACGTGGTAATCGACCCTCCTCAGGCCTCCTCAGACCCGCTCCGCTCCGTTCCCCATCTGAAGTTTGGTAAAACTATATTCTTATAATACTTGGTTTTCCCGATCTTGTGTTCATTTATTCCCTCAATGACTTTCTACCTTTTCCTAGCATTCTTGAACAAAAACGCGCCGACAACCCCGGCGGCAATGCTAACGCCGCTCAGGATAGCTACCCCCATGAGCCCCTCCTTGGCGACCTTGTTGTCAATCAGTTGGCGTAGATCGGAAGCCTGGAGGTTCGCGGGCTCCTTGTCGAGCAGGAGGTCGTTGTAGCGGCGGGCCTCGCCATAGTTTCCGAGCTTGTAGTTTCCGAGGGCGAGGTAGTATAGGCATTCGCGGCGACGTTCGGGAGAGAGACGGAATATATCGCTGAGGAGGCGGACACCGAGTTGTTGGTCGTTGCGATTGTTTGATTTGACGAGGCCCTATGGAAAGGTGATGAGCGATGTGTAAGCGGAAGCCAAGGCGAGTATACGGGAGAGAGTGAAAAGGGAGAAAGAGAGAAACAGCAACATCGATGAGGGGAAAGAGGAGAATATGAGGTGGCATAAGACGTACCCATGCGTAGTTGAACTTTGTCTGGACGCCAACCATGTCACCCTCTTTTTCGTACTGGGCTCGTAGGACTTGCAGCTCCGAGGGGCTCAACGGCCTAGAAAGTGTTAGATATGGGATATTCATGCGTGCATGTATTTGCGTGGATGGTGGTGACTGACGTCTCTGCGTCGAGAGCATCTGTGACGGATTGTGATGGTTAGCGTCTGCCTCGGCAATATGGGTGGTGGGATGGGGGAAACACATGTGGTTATTCTCACAAGGTAGCTGGTGAACCATTTTTTTCGGCACTGCGACGATGGCCTGAATGAATGAATTAATTTGTGACTAGGTTGAGTAGGGAGATGTGTGGTGGGAGGTGCTTGAGCTGAGTATGCTGAGTTTGGAGTGACTGGTGGACTTGGAGTTTGGAGCTCAGGTGTGTGTGGCTTGTACTGGGTTGAACTCGGGTGTGGCGACAATGACGCTACTCCGTACATCTTGTGAGAAGTCCCGGACGCAGCATGTACTACATATGTACAACGGTGAAATGTCGGGTGACGGGTGATAAGATAGTTGCCCCTGACGATGAGCTGTGCCCTCTGGTTGGTGGGATTGAAGCATGTCCAGTGACGATAAAGGTGGGTCACAACTCTGACTTGAACTGGCATCCAGCGTCTGCATCTACAACTAGACTGACGCGACGGCATTACAACGCTGCACAATTGACGGCATCGCAAACGAATGGAAACGGGGGACGAAAAGCCAAACAGCCGACACATAATTACGATTTGAAGAAGATATCGCGAAAATGCTACTCTCAGAAGACCCCGCAACAGTAGGTCTGACGCACACCCGTTTTCTACTGTCAACCTACTAATTAATTACCCCAACAGCTCATCAGCCACACAGTAAACAACTTCAACATTGGCCCGGACAAACTCGCCATCTCCCGCATCGGCGAGTCACTTTCAACCCTCCAACAAGCCCGTGAACTGCGTATGCGCGATGCCGAATCATCTCTCAAAAAGCTGGCCCGCCAACTAAACACGCTCTCCTCGCAACATGCGGAGCTAACGTCCTCTCACTCCGCGACTGACCACGCGTCCAAAATTGCGACACTGGACACTCGCAAGTTCCGCACCGCAAAGGCAGCCAGCGATGCGGAGATGGAGGCCGAGCGGCTGGCACAGCAGGCGGCGGACCTGAGTGCGCGGCTGCAAGAGCTCGACCTGCAAGGGGTCGAGGGCGACGAGAATGCGCGGAGAAGAGACGCAGTGGACGACGAGGTCCTTTTGCGGTTAAAAGTGTACAGGAGCCTCGGTATTGATATCGAGCGGGACGAGAAGGATGGGGAGTGGACTAGGGCAGTGGTGAGGAACGATGGCAGAGGGGATGTGCACGTTGTTAATATGGACAAGAAGTTTTCCAGGTACTTCTACGCCAATTACTTCTGGCAGACGTTGTAGCCAAGGGATGGAAGCTGGTGAGGATGATGGGTGGGCGTTGGACGGTTATACCCGGAGTTTTGGATGTAGCGATGATGGCATTTGGAATAGGATGGGCGGACGGAGCGCGTTGGACTGGTGAGCCATATCTGCCCGTTTAGCACTGGCTTCTTTCGATATCAAACAGCCTTGATTACTTGTCTTGAAACACAACACATTTCTTGTTGACTTTGCGGAGCTTGTTGAACTGCACAATCGGGGACATGAGACATTGACCACTGTATAGTCCAAGCTCTGTCGACCATCGAATCCCGGCACTGAGTTAAATGGGCGTCAACTGGCTTTGACACACCCACGACCATAATCTTCGTCTACCGTCTCGTCGTGCGTTGTTCAATGGAGCCCAACACCGCTCACTGACGACTGTTCGATGTATCGTCGAGCCGTCACACCATTACACTGTCCCACGTCATATAGCTTCTTGTCATCTCAGGCTCATACGGCGTGTGCTGCAACTCTGATCCGTGCATAATGGGCACGAAATGCGTCTCGGACACAAACCGCGCTTAGCTAAACGGCTTGTATTGACATGCAGCGCAGTTTCAAGTGCCGTACGGCACTGCTAATTGTCACGATAGGGAATTCTTAACTCAAACATTAAATATTTTACGAAAATACAGTCATTTTTCCAAGCTCACTTGATTGCAGCTTTGTGCCCTGAACTTGGACGCCGCAAATCCAGTGTCTTCCCACCAAAACACTTCTGGGTCCCGGAACGATACAAAGTTGTAGAGGCGAACTGCTGCGGCTTTTCAACCCTTTAACAAAGCCTTTTCCTATGTAATAGGAAGGCCTTGCGGAGGACCTGGAGGTTCTGTCCGCGGCTACGGCTCTTTGGATTGGCAACCGAAAAGGGGACATTTACAGCAGAGGCCTCTGTGTCTTTCCGAACGGAGAGTTTCCAGAGGATCTAGCCGTCTGCTTTTTTAACATAGTGGAAGGCGGAGAAGTCATACTTCGTTGCGGATCGTGAGTATTCAATTCTCTCTTTGCCTCTAGAAGATTCTGGTGGAAGGCCCGTCGCCTTGAATATGGTGTACACACGATATATACATCTAACACCTTGGTATTCTATTCAAATATTCGCAATTTTCTTCAGATACAACCGTTTCAATATGCGGCACTTGCCTACTCTCCTCCTCGGAAGTCTTTCTGCCCAAAGGTGGCTGGCTCAATGAACGCTCCCTGCCTTTACGTAGCGATTTTACCGATTGCCGGGCGCAAACGTCTTCTGGCAATGTTCTTGGTCCGTTTGGAGTAGAGGACTGGATCATGTACTACGAGGAAAGGGAAAGGCTTTGCCGTCCGGCGCCGAGGGAATTTTGCGACGAGTATTATCTATGGCCAGGGGGGATGCCGAGTTGAATGGAAGTGGGAGTCTAACTCATTCCAAGGCGAATATGTGCACTGGCACTCGAGACCCGGCAGTTTCGTACGAGTACAGTTTAAACACGCATGAGGTTGATATGCACATGTACCCTGTTTTACCAATCTAGGTGAGACACTGACCTGTGATTGGTTCGACGAGGTTTTCTTGGACAACAAGAGGTGGTGTAACTATGCCACTCATATTACCCCGAATTAGCTGGGCAGCGGAATGAGGTGTGGTATCTGTTGAAATATACGTCTTTCATTCGTCATGTAGTACTCTGTACAGCCCACCAGACCCTTCTTGCATCATGTGTTTCGTCAGTCGTTTTAGAGATTTTACAAAGCGGGCTAATAATGTCCTGTGTGCCTTTTCCAGCCCGAAACATCTGCCGCAGATATCCATTCCTACATGAAACCGCCTCAGTACTACGCGAGCACACCCACACAACCTGACCTGACTGGAATGCGCCCAAACAAGGCAAAAGATCACTTGCGCCTTCTTTATAATATTGACATCTTTTTAGAGGCCTTCGGAGACATGGTCAACGGAAAGTAACTGTCCGAGTTACCATTGCCAAGAGTTGTCAGATTTTGCACCCGTGAAGCCGAAGGAGTTCTAGCTCTCGAGCTATTCGGTGAAGTGGCTGTTCGCATTACGGGTTTGGATTCTGGACTCCTCCGCCTGCTCTTCATCATCAAGACTCCGCCGTCTCCTGGTGTTGTGGCTCCGCCTCCAGACGCAGATCGACAGTGATGCCGTGTAAATTGACGATCTGGTAATTCCATTCGAGAGTTGATTGTCGTCCAAGCCTCATCGTCGTCGCCGGACCGCCAGCCTCCAATCCCCTCAAAGTCTCGCTCTGGCCCTACGCTGGGCATCAACCCTAGCCCAAGCTCACTGACGGGTGTGGTAGAGCCACCCGTCGATGTCATGCTGAGACTGCTGCTGGGTCGACGACGTCTTCGGAGGTGTAATGGTGCCGCCTGTTGGGTAGATGATGCTGCTGAGCTATCTCCGCTGCTGCTTCCGTACCAGGTGCTGAAAGATGGCGGCATTCCTGTATCGTGGCGTATATACCGTCGCCGAAGCTTGAAACTCGCCAGAGATTGTGGTATGAGTGAGAGGGCAACATCCAGATAGACTATGACAACGCGGAAGATGAGAACGCCGAATGCAAGAGTCGTGGTTATGCCAGCAAAGATGGCTAAAGGAACTGTGACAACAAACAGGAATGGAACAACGAATGCATAGACCGGGTTCAACAGCAACATGGTTCTATGGCTTGTCATGATGGGAAATTTGTTCATGGGCTATTTCACATTTGCGTACCATGGCATGGCCAGACTAGATGTGTAATGTGCGCGCGCGAGAGAGAGAAGTGTTGTTCTGTTCTGAGACACAACACAGCATGTGATTAAGCCAACAAAGATCGACGGCAGCGATAGAATCTGAGGGGTCGATGAGGAAGGAGCGACGTTAAAGTCACTGCCAATACGTGGTGGGATAAAAGACTGTTGACGGGAAGGAGCGTATCAGCTGTTTTTAAATGCCGACAATAGTAAGTAGGCTCTTTTTCATTTCAAACCCCCCCTATCACCAATTGGTGCAGTCAAGCGACATAACGATCGTTCGATACAAGCCGGAAAATAGAAGAAGAAAGAAGTAGAAACAAGACGAGAATGGATGATGGAAGGTATGGGTCGATCGATTGAAGCAGCCCATGGCCATGCCGTGGCCGTGGTGAGACTGAGGGGCCGAATCACATGTCGGCGGCGGCGAAACCAACCACCACCTCACTACGGAGTGAGTACCACAACAGAGACAGGTAGCAAGAGAGCTAACAGCAAGTCCAATTCCAAAGCGACAAGTCAGATCAGAGAAGCAGCATCCCAGAACCGACCCTAAAGCAAGCCTCCGCCAACTCGGCCAGCCAACTCATCACCACCTTTCCCCTCAAAGATTAGCAGATTGGCACCCTAGCAAGCAAAGGGGCTCCCGAATCTCTCCGCACCTTACCGCTTTCGACTCAAGATACAGAGCATATGAAGAATCTCAAAGACACGGAGTGTGGCTATACTGTGCCAGCCCGCGGTGTCTCTCCATTTCGGCGCTCGACTTGACAGGTGGGCCACCCGGGGTTGAGTTTCCATGTCCCGAGATCTGCGACATTAGGCAAGGGGTCAACAACAGTCTGCATCGAGCCTCGTGTTCAACAGCTCTCTGCGCTCAGCTGTCTGGGCCCATTGGAATCGAATTTCCATTTGTGCAAGGCGCATTGCATTCGAAAATCTTGGCGCTTTTGCTTCGCGGACAGATAAACGCAGCTGAGACGATTTCATCGTGTCCCCCATCGTGGGCCTATAGGACTTCTCCACGCACAGGGCTGGAGCCAAGACGCCCTTTTCTCTTGCGACTCCACC